AATTCATGTGATTATTTTAATTTGGTTACAACTTTTTTTTTCTCGATGTCTCTACTTACCTCCCACTAGAAGTTGTGAAAACCTCTGAATAACAATGGAAACCTTACCAACTGAATCATCATGAAATTACATGTGGAAATTATTGAAAACAAGAGGATAATTAGAATGAAAAATTTCCTCTCTTCAAGATGAAAAGTTAGTTGAAAGTTTTTTTTTCTTCTTACGAGAAAAAAGAAGAAGAAGAATCGAAAAAAAAAGTTCTAATGTAATCGAAAAGTAGTTTTTTGTTGTTTTCCTTTTCTTTTTCCATTCGTTTCTTATATTGATGGGATTCTGTGTGTTGACGATTTTGTTTATCAACCACTTTTGTTGTTGTTCTTGTTTCAATCATCTTATATGGTGGACAGAGTTCTGGTCACTTCGTTTGGAGGGAAAAGAGACCAGGGAGTTTTTTTTATTCCCTTCCAATGGATGGGCAACAATAACATTGTGATAAGATGTTAAGGTTTGCATATAAAACGAGTTGATGGAGAAAAAAGTTCTCAAGATTGATTGACAATTCTGATTGTTGATGGGAACTTTTTTTTTCTTCAATTTTTTTTTCTCATCCATTTATATACATTATCGCCATGTTCATCATCTTTCCCTTCACACATCAATCAGCTAAGGTTAAAATGGTGAACGATAAAAGGTAAGACTCATGATAGATATGAAAAGATAACTGTAAGTTGAAACAGAAAAGTTATCATCCATGTCACCACCTTATCATCAACTTTATCTTCATCCTTTTCTTTATCAGAATTATCATTTTTATCTTCCGATAGTCTATCATTTTCACCATTATTATTATCTCAACATGTATTCAGATTATTCAATGAACATTTACGAGAAGAAGAATAAAAAAAAACAATGAAATATTAGATTGGAAGGAGAAAAAAAAAGTTCTGAAGATGAACATTCTGTTGATGACTCAGTAGTATGAAAACATGATGATAAAACAATTTTCACATGAATAGTTATCATGAGTATTGAAAAACCTTGAAATGAACAATGAAAATCAATGAACAGAAATGAAGAGAAAACAAAAATTTAAATACTTGATACATTATATCATTGAAGTTACTTCATGATGATGATCATCGTGTATCCATGATAACTTATCTCAATTCTTGAAATTTATGAATTCCAATGAATATCAAGAATTCGTAGGAAGAGTGGAAAAGAAGAAAAAAATTCTAATAACATTTTTTTTCTTCCATCATCATTTTCGGCTCTGAGAGATAACTCTCTCTCTCTCTCTCTCTCTCTCTCTCTCTCTCTCTCCATGAAATTCATCATAGTAAATTTCCAATGAGATACAATAAAATGAAAGTCAATTACCTGAGTAAATAATGAATATGAATCAATATCCTGAAGAAATTCATTTACCCTGAACTTAAATGTTAAACCATAATGATTAGCTAAGTTTAATGTATGTTGTTAATATTGTTAATTATAATTGATCTTCATTGTGTAATTATAATATGATAATTTAATTTTCATCTAACATTTTAAATATAATACAAAGCATAAAAGTATATAAATATAATGTAGTCAACAAAATAATGAAGGCTCAAAGCAATTGATTGGAATCAATTTAATCAACTCAGTTATTGATTGATTTTTAAGGTATATTAATATAAGAGAAATTAAAATTTAATGAAAATAAATTTTCCAATCACATATATGAGTAAAATAGTTTAATTGTTACGCAAGAATTAATTTCAATCATCAATCTAAAATTTCAATCAATTTCATTGATTAATCGATTAACTTTGATTTGTTCTTGATTGAAATGAGACAAAAAAAAGTAATTGATATCTTGAGAAAAACAACTGAATCAGCTTAATTAGCAACTGTAATTAACTAAATTGCTACTTTGGTGATAAATTTATATATAAATCACAAAAGGTTAACATTTAAATCAATAGTAAGTAGTGGGTATATAAGGTTAACACTAATTAAGACTAATCATCTCTGAGAAAAAAAAAAGTTAACCAAAAGTATCAGAACAATTTTAATCAATGACCAGAATTAAAATAATATCAATTGGCTATAACACCAATTAGTGTTAAATTGTTTACTTTTGTATATTAAGTAATCAATTAACGATAATTAATCACAACTTTTACAATCGATCAATCAACTTTTACAATCAAGAGTAAGAATAAACTTTTTGTTTGTTTACATCATGAAAACTTTTCTCAGCGATTCAAATCACGTTCGAGGAAATTATTGGTCTCACAATCAACTGATTGTTGATGATTTAAACCATAAGAATACATTTCCATCAAGAATTAGAACATTTCTCTTTTTTCTTGATTTCGATTTTACCTTTAAACTTATATATAAATTATATTGTCATTGAAAATTCAATTGTAAATGACAATCAAATTTAAAAATTTGCCTTCAAGGTTTTAGACAATCAAGTTAATAAAATCAATCAAAATAATCAGGTTACCATAATTATTGGAAATTATTGATAATTTTAGATGGAGAAAAGTTGTCACTCGATCATATCAAAGGCTCGAAAGTACAAAGAAAAAGTTTTCCAACTCGAACCTCTTCAAGAACCGGAAATACATTAACTTACAATTTCCGGCGACTCTTCAACATCAACACTCACTCATTCAAACATCATGATGGTCAATGGTGTTTTTATAACTATCATGGTCATTGGAAGATGATAATTTCAACTTCCGAATGTTATTTTTACTAATTGATTGTAATCATGATCATTTGAACTTAATCAACATCGAGAATTAAACTACGATTGTTAATCATGAACGAGGAAAAGTTCATTTGAACTTTTTGGGATGAATAAGATTACAACTTGGAACTTATCGAATACTCATTTTTTTCATCTTTCGTTTCCAGATGATCTTCTAAATTTTCAACGAATTTGAAACTATCATCATCATGAAAAGTTCTGGGGACAATTTGTTTTCCTTCCAGGGTGATGATGATGAGAAATGATAATATTTCCCTCCCATCGAGTTTTTTTTTCATATTTGTTTTCCAACCTTGTACCACACACCCTAACCACCCATACCCACTTTGTATTAACTTACCTTTTGGGACTCGTTTCATCATGATAATCATGAGAATACATAATAATTTAAACATGATCATCATATAAACACAGTTAATGTTGAAAAAAATGACAATAACATGTAATGATAACCGAAATCTGTTTAAACTTATTGTTCAATTTAAAAAGATTTATATATATATTGAACAGGGAGAAGGAAGAAAAATAAATTCTCTACTCAGAAAAATTCTGTAAACTCTGAATTCCCTTCAGTGAGGTAAACAGAATTGGAGATAAAATCATGAGCATTCTGAATTGAATATTTGTTGATAATATTTTGTGAGTTAAGTGAAAAACTGAGTATTTAAGGTAAGAAATATTATCTGCCAGAATTGTATGTAACATAATGATGACTCTGATGATGATCATCATCATCATCATGTTGGTTAATATTGTTCATGAGAAGTTCATTTTCTCAACCTAATATGACAATGAGAGATGATGATCCTAAGGAAGAAGACTCCAAGTTAGAAATGTTCATTTGGAATTTTTTTTTTCTCTCTTTTCTACTATTTCATTTTCTTCCATTAGAATAAGAAAAAAAGTTCTTGATCGACGGTTCAGTGTTTAGGAATCAGAATCGATAAGAATCAACATTTTCCCTATGAAAATGATGAAAGTTTTTTTCTTCTTCTTGTTCAATCTCTTTCTCTTACCATTCATGTCATCATGAAACTGGGTCTTGAACAGATTCCAATGAGATATAACTGAAAAAAGGACGATAAACATTATATTGCATCAGAATTGATAAGACTGAGTATTCATAGAGATCATGATGATGACGATGATGGTGGTGGGAAAATATGAGAATAAGGTTTTTGGTCAACAGGGGGAAAAAGAATAGAATTTTTTTTCTTTCTCTTTTTTTTCATCATGTATTTCATCATTTCGTGTGATAATGTTATCTTCATTTTCATCATCATGAAATGGCTCAAGTCCAAAAGGGTTGGGAAATCGTGATTTCTTTCATGAGTCTAAATAAATTGTTCATTTGTTTTGACAAAAATGATTTAGTTTGGTTGTTGGTCAACAATCAACTGAACTTCATGGGTAGGAAAAGGTTCAACATTTTTTGGAACAATTTAATGGATAAAGATGATGATGATGATGATGATGATCGTCATGATGACATTTAAGGCGAAAGTTAGGCAAAAACGATCTAGAACAATGTTCACTTCGAGTTTGTGGAGGAAAAAAAACTTTCACAATTTGTTTCTTCTTCTTTCTTTTGCTTTTTCATGATATTATCTGATTCTAACTGAACGATTCTGAATGAGTACAGATGAAAATGATAACGAAAATTTCAAGATTCTTTTTTTTCTTTTTAAGTGAAATGCTCACAAATGAAATCGATATTGGTCATCATTGAACTTTTCTTCTTCTTTCTCATCAAACATAGATTTTTTTCTTCTCTCTCACTAGGTCATCGTCTATAAATTGGTCAAGTTTAATTACGGATTTGATTTTTTCCTCGAAATGTTCAAAAGAAAGTTTCGATTCCATTTTTGTCTTTCCATCATTTTTCTCATCTGAAATCTCAACCATCGAACTGGTTTTCTTGAAACTTTCTTTTCCTCTTTCTCTCTCAAATCATTTAATTGTTTCCAATGTTTCGAAATCAATTTAAATATTAAAATAATAGAAGAAAAAAATTTTATTTCGAAATTCGATTAGTTGAATTTTCCACCGCTAGGGGTCAGTTTTTCTCTTGATTGTTTTTCTTTTAATCAGCTGATTGATCAATTGTTTTCTTTGTGAATGAGTTAATTTCTAATTGCTCTCCTTTTCCCTCTCTTGTTATGTGATTTGTTTTTATTTTTATTTTCTATTCATTTGTAATTGTTGCTCATCAATCTATTGGTAGATGATTATGATGCGACGAAGTCTAACCAGAAGCCTAACCAGAAGTCCAACTCCGATTAAATATGATTATGATATTTATAAGAAGCGAAGTCCAACTTTTGGTAGGCGATGTCCAGTTTTAAATCGTCGACCTCGAAATTCTGTTAAAAATGAGATTAATAGTCGATCTAAGTCAACAGTGGTAACATCAACTTCACCAGTAACAACAATGACACCAACAACTACATCAACATCTACCACAACAACATCCACAACATCTAGACAAGATCAACAACAATCTATTATTTCTTGCAGTCAATCAACAGCAAATTCTTTGGGGAATAGCAATAATAATAATAATAATAATAATTCAAATGATTTTAATTCTAATTCCAATAAGGATAATAATAGTAAACAGAGAAATAATCATGATACTAATAAATTGGTTTCTTCTCGACTCTCTAGTAGTATTAATGCTTCTGGATCATCTTGTAAAAGTGCTACAAGTCGTTCGATAAGTTGTTGGGATAATCCATCTTATTTTCAGCATGATGATAGAGAATCTCAATCCACCGGTGGTAAAAATGGTGGTACTGGAGGTGGTAAAAAGATGTCCAGGAAAAGGAAACCAAGACAATCTCCATTTAGATGGCAACATGATCTTTTTGAAGATGATAAATCTCCCTTGGAAAAGGTTGAATCCAGAACAAGTCAGAGGAGGAAAGAAGCCAAAATGAGTAAAAAGTGTTCAGCTGATTAAATCTGGTTAACAATTAAAGAGCAATTTCAACTTTAAAGTTAATCAAATCAACAACTGACAATTGATCAATCGAGTTGAAAAGCGAAAGCAAAACAAATATCGATGGAAATAAGTAGAAAACATGGAAAATAATTAACAACTATTATCAACTAAATAATCAACATTGATTATCTGATTGTGACAATTAACAAGACCAATGAAAGACCAACAAATCCAAGCCAAGATGAACATTTTATCAATGTAAATATTACAATCACAATTAACTATCAAAAGAAAACTGTTCAACTTGAAATTACAATTGTTGCTTTTACAATTACAATTTCAATTGGTCAGAAAAGAGAATCAACAATCAACAACATTTCAAAATTACTTGCATTAATTATTATACATTATTAATTATATACAAAAACCAACCAAACCAATTAACTTAATCACGAAACTTGAATCAACTGTAATTACTAATGATTAATGTCCAAAGGTAAAAATTGATTAATTTTCCCTTTAAAACTTTCTATCTATTCCATATGATATAATCTAAACAATACTCAGTCTATTAATTGAATAAAAAAACAATCAAAGAGCAAAAATTAAAAATTTTACCAAATCAATTTAACTGCCAATTAGAAATTCAATTCATTTCGATCAATAAGAATTAAATTTTTTCTCAATTTTGAATTTCGCACATTTAGAACTCTCGTTTCCATAGTAACCGTACATGTGAATGTTTATCTTCTCGGTTGGTTAACACTCGTTAACTTTAGTTGGTTAATTGCAACTCGTTTTCTTGATTAACTGTCAATCCTGTTTTCGCATTTCAATTGGTCAGGTTTTCTATTCTTTTTGATTTCTTTATTCTTTTCATGTAATTGTGATTTTCTCTTGTTAACCTTAATCGGTTTCCCTGTTCATCTCATGGATTCTTGGGATCCTTTTCGTAGACCCAATAGCGGGATTGGTGATCCTGTTTACTCAACACCAAATTCACCAAAATCTTTATCATCATTACCTTCACCTTTACGTTTACCTTCACCTTCATCTAAATCAGTTACTTTTGCTGTTCCTGTTGCTAATCAAACTGTTCCCTCTAAACCAATAGCACCAGAGAATTTATCAGATTTGATAAATAGCGATTGTTTTGATTGGGATAATATCGCCGCTGCCGCTCAAACTGTTGCCTCACCAGCTACACCATTAACTCCGACTAATTGTTTATCATCACTTTCGTTACCTTCAAATCCAACGGTTATTTCATCAAGATTGTTTGAATTAATTAGACAAGAGGAGGAAGTTTCTACCCGAAGAAATCAATTGGAAACAGAATTAGCTTCTGTTCGTTCAAGAGAGATTGAGCTTTCTCAACAACGTTCTCGACTGATTAAACAACTGAATAGTATACTTTCACCACAATCAAATGCTTCACCAAAATCGTTAACAGCGCCATCAGTAAATTCTCCTTCTTCTATCAGGCCTGGAGAAACAACAATTATTGAATCTATTCCAGATTCAGAGCCAATACAACCTCGTTCTGATTTAAATGCTTCCACTTCAACTTTAATAAAGAAAAAAATAGGACCAGCATCTAAAACAGGAGTAAAACAAATTAGTCCAGGGCAATTACCACCTTTAGGACCAAGCCCAAATTCATCTAAAAAATCACGTAAAGATGGTGATGATTCACCCAAAAAACCCGTTACAACAGGAGTCAAACAATCAAGACCCCAACCAATGAGAGCACGAAAACGCAACAAGCCAAATGAATCAGACTCTGCCACAGAATCACAACTAAACATATCTAGTCAAGATCAAATTGGTAAAGACAAACAATCACCACAATCAACACAACCCCCACAACCATCAAAACAACCTCCTCAACCACAACCACCACCACAAACGCAGCCACAACCATCCAAACAACCACCACAGCCATCAAAACAGACACCACAATCAACACAACCACCACCACCACCACAAAAGCTGCCACAGCCTCAACCGTCGCCCCAGAAAACTCATCCACCAAAACCTCAAAGTTCAACAATTAAAGAAAACACTGGAATCACAATTAAAGAGGAACAGCATCTTGAATCACTATTAGCAACACTCGAATCATCAAAACCTCCAAATCCATTTGCCAAAGAAAACATGAAAGTCATAGTAAAACAGGAAAAACTTGACACCCAAACCAAAACATCTCAAACTCCACAACCTCAAAGTTCAAGCCCAAACAAAGAAGAGGCAAAAACCAAAATAAAAGAGGAAAAAGTTGAAGCTAAAATGAAAAAAGAGCCAAACAACAATTAGCCAACAAATTAACTTGTAATCATAATAATTCCAATTGAAAATGTATCTTCCTTCCATGACCATCAAGATAATTACAAACTATTCCACAACTATAATCAACCGAGATTCCAACATCCCTGAAAGAAAAAAACAAAATTCCAAATTAATTCAAACAAATTGTTTCTCGGACAAAATCAAATTGTAAAAAAAAAATCTAAATCTAAATCCCAAACCTACAAACAATTAACTCACTCGATTAGAAAACATTACAAGACAATCAATTCTCTATCAATTTAGGATTGAACGATTGACTCAAGAATGATTCCAATCATTTCTTAAAATCAGCTAATTAAACACAATTAATCATCGATTTTTAGTTAATTTAAATTTGGAGGATTAAACTTTTTCTCACTAAATTAGTAGAAAATTACGTCAATAGATGTCACCAGTTTTCTCGAATTCTCATCAATTGAAATTGTTTTTATTTTGATTTTAATCTTAAGACAAATTAGATTATTATCATTTCTAGTAATTTATATTTCTATTTATCTAGTTAATTGTTTTAAATACTTTTGTTGATTGTTGATTGTTGTTACAGTTTCTGTAAATGTTAATTATATTGATAAACTAGTTTTCTACCGGTGAGATAAAATCTTTGACCAAAAGAAAAAAGCAACACATCAAATTGGATAATATTTTTTTTCTGGTGAATCTTTTTTTTTGGTAAGAGAAAAGAAAAAACGAAAATTCTCTTCTCTTTTTGTTAACTTTTGTTCTTTTCTTTTTTTTTATTTTGATGATAATATTTGTTTGTTTAGAAGAAGAAAACGAATTGGTTTGTTAATAATATATAATAATTATTATTATTATGAGTGAAAATAAGTGTTTCCGTTGTGAGAAACGTGTCTATCCTATTGAAGAGTTAAAATGTTTGGATAAAATTTGGCATAAAAGTTGCTTCAAGTGTCAAGAATGTGGTATGACACTTAACCTTAAAACCTACAAGGGTTACAATAAGATGCCCTATTGTAATGCCCATGTACCCCAAGTTAAATATACAGCGGTTGCGGATACACCGGAGGCTCGTAGATTGGCTGAAAATACAAGGATTCAAAGTAATATTAAATATCATCAAGATTTTGAAAAGCTTAAAGGAAAAGTCACCCAAGTTGCTGATGATCCGGAAACATTGAGAATTTTAAATTCCTCAAAGATGATTAGTAACGTGGCTTATCACGGAGATTTGGAGAAAAAGAAACAAATGGAAGAGAAAAGATCACTTCTTTCGGATACAACCGAATTGCCCGTTGAGCCTCAAAATGTTGTTATTAATCAAGGTGAATATAACACAGTTACAATTAACAACAACAACAACAATTGAGAGAGAGAGAGATAATCTCATTTGCATGTTAAATATTGATTTTAAAAATTTTCTATTTCCACAACTTAACCATAACTCTAACTAATATCAGTGTTTTGGGTCCAATATTTATAACTAGTTTTACTTTAATCTCTTATAGGGGAGTGATTACTAATTAGTACTTATTTCAAGTATCATTAGCTGACTTTTTAACTAACATTTTATTACTAAACTACATAGTAAAACCATTGATTAATTAATCATCTTGTAAGTCAAAGAGTTGTCAAGATGATTTCTACAAACGCTCAGATGATTAATGAACAATAACTAGAAGAAAACATTTCCAGTGTATATATTAATTGTTTAATTTCAATTCTTTATATTTGTTCAGTTTATTTTTCTCTCGCTTTTCTCTAATCAATTCAATCAAATTAATCTTCTCCTCATGGACTTGTTGCTAACCAATTTTTTTCTCAAACCTTTTTCTTGTTATAAAGATTCACATACACAATAAGTGAATCAACAACTTGATTTCGTTATTATTTTTTTTTATGTCTAATCATGATTTACTATTATTTCTAATTGTTTACAGTTAATGATACTCATGTTGTACGGAAAGTTGGCTCAATTGTTAATTATGACCCATTGAATGATAATTACGGATCAATCGCTTCTGGTTATCGGCGAGAAAATCCAACAACCTTATATTTTAGTGAGTATAATCATGAAACAATCAATAGATACTCGAGATAAATTGTCTTCTTCTAATTGTTGTTTCTCTGTTTTCTATTTAGATCAACCAATCAATGTGATGGGTCAAGAAGCAAATATGGGCTATAAAATGCCAAGTCGCTTATTCCGAGCCATGTACGATTATACCGCTCAAGATACTGATGAGATCAGTTTCCGTGAAGGTGATGTGATCTTTAATTGTCAATCAATTGACGGAGGTTGGATGACAGGTACTGTTCAAAGGACTGGTTTCCGTGGCATGTTACCGGCCAATTATGTTGAACCCTATAACTGAATTAACTTTCAACAATCAACGACAACAAATGAAGTGTTTTAACTCACTTATAATATTATTTAAATATATATATATTTATATATATTATTATTATTATTATTACATAAATTATATGTTATTACTCACTAATTGATAGGAAAACAACAACAACAACAATTAAGCTTAAAAACTAACCATGACAATCTTTGCATCTTTGTAACATCTAATCAGTTTCTACTAATTTACTAATTACATTATTATGTATAATCAATTCGAGTAAACGAAAACAATCAACATCTATTTTCTAACCCATAGAAATTATCCAATTTAACCCTAAATTATTATTACTCACACACACACACAATTTTAGTAATGATTTGCTTTTAATTATGATTTAATTTAATGAGAATTCGTAACAATTTAGTTGTCCTTTTAAACGGAAAAATTAACATTACTCTTGATAATCTCAACTCTTTTTTTTTCTGTTCAAATTTAATTGTTTTCACAATTTTCTTTATTCTCATTTTTATGACACTTATCATAATTATTATGCTAAGAAATTAACTAAATTAATCTTAAATCTGATTCTACAATTTACCAGGAGCAATTTAACTCTATGTCAAGTCAATCAATCATTTTTTTTTACCAAAACGATTAAATTTTAATTGTCATCAATTACTTTTATCATTTTTTACTCTTTTTTCATTGAATTTTCAATTGTCTTTCTGATGACAATTATTACCGATTATTTTGTTAATCATCAATTGTTCCCATTCATTTTGATTGATGAAACAATTAACTAGGCAAGTGGTTAAATCTAATTAATTGTAGGAAGTTTTAACGGAAGCTCATTCATTTTTCTCATGGATAATCATTAATTGGAATGATAATTTCCGGTAATAATTTTCCAAAGGTAAACCAATTAATGTTAAAAAAAATTATCAATCAAATTGATTATACAATCAATCAAAATTGAGAAGTGTAATTGTTGTTTAAACTTAACAATTAGACAAAAATTGATGAGAAAAACGTTTGATTATTTCAATTGGTTAACTTTTTATAAAGTTTTTCAAGTCTAGATTTCTGATTGATAATTTGATCAACAGGCACAACAATCTATTTTAACAATTAATTGATTAATCTGTTCCAAAGTATTTCTGTCCAAAATGATTAGGAGCAACCGGATGAACTTCAGTAGTGTGAACTATCATCAATGGAAAAGCCTTAGTGACCATAGAAACAGCTGATTGTTGGAAGAAAAAAAGAAAAAAAAAGTTAGAATTAAATCTTTGTAAATTGTTAAATAGCGGATGAAATGATTACAATTAGATGATAATTGATTACCTGAAGGTGTACAGAATAAATTGAGAAGAATAATATTTGATTCTTTAACATGATGATCTTTAAGAACCTTAATTGCTTTGATAACCGTATTTCCAGTGCTCATAATTGGATACATGAGTAAAACCTTTCGATCGGCAATATCTTCGGGAAATTTGGCATAAAGAACTCGAGCTTCGTGAGTATCCTCATCACTTTGTATAAGTATTTTACCAATACGAATGGAACGGCAACAATCACGTAAACCTTGTTCCATGGCCTCACCACTACGGACAATTGAAACACCACAATTACCTTTAAGAAATTTTAATCCATTGTAAGTTTCACCGGTCGGTGTAATTATATCCATATCTCCATAAGGTAGACTATTAAGACCTTCTTCAACAACCAATCTAATTAAACGGTCAGCATTGAAAACGAAATCACTTCGAGAGGTTGATCTATCTCTAATTACTGTTTGTAATTCCTTAATTTGATCATTCGTTGGTATAATTTTGAAATTGGATCCAAAATTTGTCCTAGCGATTGGTTTATTGTCCATTCCAACCGGATTGTCCATTTTATTGTTATAACACACAGAGAAAGAGATAATTGAGAATCAAGAATATGATTGGAAGAATTTACCTAGTTAATTGTAAAAGAAATTGAAAATGTTGATTAGTAAATTAAATAGAAATCAATATGTGAAGATTACTCTCAAGAAGATGTTGACAATGAGCCTTGAAAAGAGTGAGAGAGAGACAAGAAAATGAGATAGGAAAAGGAATTAAGAAGATAAATTGTTCACACTTACCGATTAAGATGGAGAAATTTAAGTTGATTATACAGAATTAACTTCCAATGAATTAAAAGGATTGATTATAAGTTAGAAACAATTAATTTTCCAAATCAGCAAAAGGAAAACAAAACAAAACTCAGAAAAAGGAGAAGGAAAAACAACAACAACAGTAAATAAATAAAAAGAATTGAAAAGAAATCTAAATGAGAAAGAGTTGTAATTATATACTGAAGAAAATATTGAAAAAAAAAATTAATTATAAACGAAAAACAATTAAAAAGCTAATTAAATTGCGAAAATGAATTAATAACAACAAGATTCGCCGAAAAAGCAACAATTTCCAGTAAATTTAATCCAAGAACCAGGCAGCAATAAACCAACGATCGAAAAAGTTTTCAACAATTAACACCAAACATTTCCAATTGATTAAAATGGAATCAGAACAATTAAATTAGTGGATAATTAGACTGATGGTCAAGTGAAACAATTTAAATGAAAATGAAAAAGAAAACAAAAAGAAAACAAAAAAATGAAAGAATTCAGGTTACGCCATCTGACGAGTTTTTCCTCAGTCCAAATCGAAGAATCCGCTAGATGGAGACACTCAACATTCTACTGAGACACAAATGACAGAAACACCAAGAATAAAACTGAGAGAAAAAGACAGTCCATTTATCTTCTCTGTCTAATTTTATCATCATCATCTTCCAATCATCTTTGTCTTCCTAAAGGTATCAACAAATGAGACCATTTTCATTGATGATTTTTGTTAATTGTTATTTTGTCTCTTAATTTAGGATATGCCGAGTTGTTCTTATATTGCACCTAAAGGAACAGCTGATCGACTTGATGAATTAAATTAACTTAAAGATCGTAAAATCCTTGATTGTGGAGCAGGAACTGGACTCTTGACTACTAATCATTTGTCCAATCTGATGAAAAGTGGTATCATTTCATGGGGAATGACTAATCAGATCGTTATGCAGAACGAGATTCAACTTATGCTGACAAAGGATTTGACAAAATCATTGAAGGATTAGTTTCGGAGGGATTAGTTGAAATTTCGCTGATCATAAAAAAAATTTACCTCATTATCTTAAAGGAGAAGATGAATTTGTTTCCAAAATGATTAAAAGTTTTAATCAATCGCGATACAACAATTAACGTAATTGACTATTTACTATGACATTTGTATACACTACATGTGTGTAAATTTGTTTGTAAATAAATGACAAATGATTAGTCTTACTAATGAAAGTAATGATAAACAATTTTATGAATCAAATTTAATTACAATTAAATCAACAAGGAAAATCATGCGATCAACATGATCGCTTTTCTGAGTAAATCCAAGAAATCCACTTCATAAATGTCAACTTTTCTGTCTTTTTTGATCAAAAAAGTACAACAGAGCAATTAAATCTTTGATTAACCTCTCGAAGTTTCAACATCCCGGTTGATACAATTAAAAAACTTACATTCATCTAATGCTCTTTTTCTTAATTGTTAGTGAAGTGATGAAATGATAAGAAAATTTTCTTCTCTTCAATAGCGAAACATATGAGAATCAGGTGATCGATGTTTACACTTTTCTCTCTCACAAAGTTACTCTCACTTTGTCTCTCTCCCTCTTACTATTTACTCGGTGATTTGAATGTTTCTTCAAGAACAATGGAAAACACAATTAAAGGTAATTATCAAACATTCCTAATCACCAAATATTCGAAATCAACTAATTGTCTACAACTAATTGACGATTAGAATTTCAAAAGAGTAGAATTAATTTTTTTTTTCTACTTCTTTTGTTTTTGTTTTCTGTATTTTCCAAAAAGTAAACATTTCCTTTTACACTTTTCCATGTTTATTGTGATTGAATAAGATATGTTGGTGTTGATTAATTTTCTCCACTAATTGTACCAGATTTTCTTGTAAATTGTTGTTCCCATTAACTGGATTACCTGAAGATAATCTTTGGTTACGAATAGAATTTCCAATTTCTAATTCTGATGGTGATCCTTTTTGTTTTTGTTTTCTTTCTATAGATGTGATTGTGAAAAAAGCCGAACCCAATAGACCCGGATGTAAGAAGTGCGGTTTCTTTGGTCACTTTACTTACCAATGTCGGAATAATTTCACCACCAAGTCCAGATTAGAATTGGCCTTAGACGGACCAGTACAAGCGATGAAGAATCTGATCTGGATGAAATCGGTTTACCTTCAGGTTCCAACAGTTTGTTACCTGGTGATGGGAGGAAAACATTACCATTCACTCATAACCATCGGTAATTAAACGGCAATTTTTTATTCTTTAATGGTTATAATTGTTTCTTTTGTTAATATCTTATGATTTTCTTTGTTTTTGTATTTATTTTCTTCTCAATTTTCTGTGATTTAGATCAACTCATTCGGACTCGGAAGATGATGATGGTGATAGGAAACATGGAAGATCTCGTTCAGTAAAGAGGAAGAAAAGTAAATCTCGTGAACGAAGTAGAAGTTCACATAAAAAAGGAAAAAAACACAAAAAGAAAAGGTCACATTCGAGTAAACATCGCGATTCCAGTTCTCATAGACACCGAAGAAAAGAAAAGAAAAAATCATCTTCCAGTTCAGATTCGTACGTTCAAATTATCAATCATTCTAATGGTTAACAATTAACAACTATCCTTAATACGGAACAACTTTAGGAACAACAATCGATTTTATCACTTGATTGTTACCCAACCTAATTCACTTAATTTAAGTCCTTTGTCATGGGAGAAATTCAATCATCTAGAGTAATACCTTGTCAGATATTCCGATAGAATCTCTGATTTTCATGATTAACCAGTTTTCTCAATGATCACTAATCTTATTACAATTAAGGTGAAGTGATTAGGGTGAAGTTTCATCTTCTTCAAAGGAGAAACTATTCTTATCTAAATTGTTATCGAATTGGTTAAATCATTTAGATTTAAATCTGATGATTGATAAAAACTCGTTGAACTTAATTTCGTCAAGTTCATTGTGATTTAAATTGTTGTTAAAGTTGTTCAATCAGATTGATTTTAAATTTTAAATCTTCCACTTGAATTTGTATTACTTTCTAAATTGTTTTGATTCATTTTTCTTTCTCGTTTTTTTTTCTTAATTCATCAGAGAAACAGATTCAAGTTCATCATCTACTGATGACCAACGGCGATCTCGTAAACATCATCACCATAATCGGGAAGGTAAAGACCGGAAAAGTAAACGATCAAAGGACAATCGTCATGAACGGAAACACCATAAAGATAAACATCGCCGATCAAAAAGTCGCTAATGAACAATTAGCTTAATTGTTCATCATCTAAAATCACCATGGCTTTAATTGATTTTCACCAAACTCAATTGATAACATATGGTGAATTGAGATTCATTTGATATGTTTAATTTTTCATTTTACTGGCAATTAGTTGATCTCTTAAATTACATTGATTATTTTTCCAACAAATTATTATTACGATTTCTCATAATAACAAATGTAAATTGTCATTTAGTTGACAAAGTGAGAGAGAGAGAAAAAAATTAATCAATAATAATAATTTTCACTTTGTTAATGAGAGGAATCAATTTTAATTATGATAATCTCATCACGATTAACTCTTTTTCCAATTGTTCAAATATATTCTGTATTTTCATTGTTTACGTTGATTGTTTACTTATTATCAGGTCAAGCGGATGGTCAAGACTCTTGGATTGAAGGTGAGTGGTAACTATGATTAGTTAATTGTCTTCCTCTTATTAATCTTCTCTTAATTTCTCTCAGGTATTCCCGAAATTTGTACCGATGATCACAAAGAGTTTCATGGGTGTGGGACAGCGTGTCCACCGACCTGCGTCAACCCTGAGCCCGAATTCTGTACCCGTGAATGTGTTTCCCGTTGTTTTTGCAAGGACAATTATCTTGAAAGTCCCAATGGAACTTGTCTCACTCAGAATCAATGTAAATCAATCAAATCAACAATTAGAAATTCATTCAAAACAACTGACCATTATCAACCCATTTTGATATTTCCCAAGCCCCAAATGAACTGACCGAAAGTTAATCATCACAACAATCAACTAACAATGTAAACATTTCACACTTTAATTGAACCAGTAATTAAATTTGACTATATTCAAATTGGAACAATTAACTGTGATTATTTATTTCAATATTCCAATCAATAGAAATCTCAATGATAATTAAAATTAAGATCTAATCAAATATGGTAATTGTAATTTAAAACTTTTCCAGCCAATTTGAATTAACTTTTCATCAGTAAAGTTGATCAGAGTGTTAATCAAAATAATCATAATCGATAATGAAATTAAATCTTATATGAAAATCAACTAATTAGTTAACAATCACCAAGAATATTGTTGATGATTGAAAAAAAGTTAAACCATCAATGTCTTACCTGTTAATTTGGTTCTATTTAATTAGTTCACAATTAATTGTTGAAACAATTACAACTGAAAATTCAACCCTTCAAACAACCACAATACTAACAACAACAATTAACCCATCAACTGATGAATCTAATGGCAATGAAAGTGTAACAATTAATTCAACAATTGGCCCACAATTTAAAAACAGTGTTGATAATTTTGGCAAAAAATTAACCGTTAACATTGATAAATCAATAGCAATTATATTCACCGGTAATTGTTCAAATCATTGTGGTGGTGTTTTCATTGGACCAGCAATTATAATCACAACATCGAGTTGTGTTAAATTGTAAGTTGTTAATTGTTATACGATTAAACAATTAGCCAATTAATTAAATTGTTTCTTTCCAATCAGAGGAAGCAGAAATGTCCGAGTCTATCCTAATATTGACAATTATTTACCCGAATGTCATTGGGATCAAATACCTTATCCAATTTTCCGAATAATTAATTATACTAATTTCCATCGATCATCAGATAAAATTAACGGTAACCTCGCGTTAATTGTACTATTTAATTCAATTGATCAATACGTTGAACCGGTTAAACTATTGAATGGAAATGTGACAATTTCTCAACAATTACTTTACTCACACAGAGAATTACCAACTAAATTGTTTACCTTTTTATGGCCAACAATTAACTCAACAAATCACAGCAATCATCATCATTATCAAGATGATAATAATAATACTAACAGTTTATCAACAATTAACAGCATGAAAAAAATATCAACCCGATTAATTGAACATGAAACTTGTTCATTATTCAAAACTAATTTAACACCAATCGATACGATTTGTGGTTATTATGATTTGGAGAAAGCTAATTGTTATGATCAAGAAGGTTTTCCAATCATTTATTCACAGCAATCAGTTAATCCACTTGAATTAAATTACTATTTAATGGGTTTAATTGGTCATAATTCATGTGAGATGAAAAAAACTGAACTTTGTCCACCTTCAATTACCTTATATCTTAATTTAACTAATTACTTACCTTGGATATTTAAGATATTTTCAATTTATCAACCACTAGAACCAATTAAATCAATTAAATCAGATAATCCAGTTAATATTGTTTACAATGTTCATTACAATAGTCACAATGGTAATTTACATTTACTTGATTCTCATGATAAAGTTACAAATACAAATATTAGTTCAATCAACAACAATCAACGATACAATTTAACCAGTGACTCTCATAATATATTGAATGATTTAAGTAATTTAATCAATGCTACCGGTAGTTTTAATAATCTTCCAGTTAATAGTTACAATTCAAATGAAAGTAATTCAATTTTGATTAATCAAACTATAACTCAAGATAATTCAAGTCATGTTAACAATATGGAAAATCATATTAATCAAAATCAAAATGTTATTCATAATGATTCAAATAGTAATCAACAAAACACTAACAATGATAATAATAGTAATCAACAAAATCACAATGAAAATGATAACAATCAACAATCAAACAGTAACAACACCGATAATAACAATAATAGTAATGATAATCAACAAGAAATCAACAATCAACAAAGTAATAACAATCAACAGATTAACAATAACAGCATATCAAATGATGTAATCAAAGAAACTGATCAATCTCAAGTGATTAATATTAATTTCCCTAAACAAGTTGATAATCAAATTAATGATTCTAATATTGAAACAACCACTCAATCCAGTGAAGTTTCAGAATCAACAATTGAAAATCAATCAACCACCACCATTGGAATTGATAATAATAATAATAATAATAATCAAGGTATTAGTGATTCTCCCACTAATCAAGATGATAATAATAATAAAAAAAATGATGATGGTTTGCAGGTAACAATTAACAATGGTAACAATCAAAAAGATGATGGTGACAATCAACGTCCACGAGTTAATCATGAACACTTTTGGAATCAGGTCCGACAATGGCCAATTCAAGTACTTCAATCATTGAAATTTCGGACAAGAGCCCCAAATGATTAATTGCTCATCTAAATTGTTAATTTCTATTAATTGTAAATTGATTTTCTCTAATTGTAAATAAAGAAGAAAAAAATTTCCTATGAAAAGATCAAATTGTTAATTGTTTTCCAAATCTTTTCTATTGACTTTAATTCTCGAATTGTAATAATTGTTACAATTAACGATTATTTTGATTTGGGTAATTAGATTGACTATTTAGATGTTTTTCTTGTAATTAACTGGTTGATTGTACTTTTTTTTTCCTTCATTAATTTGCAATTAAATGTCACCTTTGTTGGGAAAAGTTTCAACAGATTGTTAAAATTAAGTTGATTGTTGGTGATTTAAATTGAATCAAATGTGTTATTTCAATCAAAGTTTAATTGTGAAGTATTAAATATCAAAATTGTTAGTAAATTGTTAGTTGATAATAATCATCAATCTAGATTTAGATTTTTAATTGTAAACAATTTAGTAAATTGAAAAGTTATCTAATCCTTGAATAATCAATAACAATTTAAACCAATGAAGTTGTTTTTTTATCTCTCATTTTTTGTAACAATTAACAATTTGGAAGTTAATTGTTTCGATTATCTGAGTAGTCAATTCATCGCGGTAATTTTTTCAGGAAGTTGTGATAATATTTGTAGTGGTGTCTTTTTGTCCGATTCCTTGGTACTGACCACTTCAAAATGCGCCAAAAGGTGAGTTAATTAATGATACGAAAGAGAGAGAGAGAGAGAGATGTTAATTAACCAAATTAATTAACTGATAATCAATTTATACATACAAACACACTCATTACAGTCCAGAGCCCGAGTTACGAGTTTATATAAATCTGGATAGTTATTTACCTGATTGCAATTGGAAGGACAATTTAAATCCAGTTAAGGAGAAAATGTTTCCACTGAAAGACGAGGAAACGGAAATAGATCACAACGATGAACTCGACAGGCTAATCTTATTGCAATTACATGAGGGAGTGACTATTGTTGACACGGTGATTCTTCCCGATCATCTTGACTCTGAAGATGAAACGATTGAGCGGGAATTTATTTTATATTTTTTGGGCTCTAACGGGCGTGCGACTTTCAATCATGTCGAGTATGATGACTGTCCCGATGATTTGGTCTGTGGTACATTGACCTTACCCGCTGATGAGGTAAATCTGGAAAGACCAGGCAAGAATAGATATTGTGCCGTTGTCCCTGGATTACCGCTCATCTCGTGGTCAAGGGATGCAAATGGAGTCCTGGAATCCGTCTTGGCTGCATTGATAACTGGTACTAATTGTACATTCAATTCAATGGGAAAATTTATCCCTTTCGTGGATTATTATGAATGGCTCAATGAAAAGGTCATCCAATTGACCAAAGATGAGGCATATGAGGAATTCAGTTTACCTTTCAACCATTCGCCAGCCATTGGTGGGCCAACTGGACCAAATCACCACCAAATAATAACTGGTAATGGTCAAGATTATCATGGAAACTACAAACCCAACTCATATTCAACCGATGAACAAAATGTTCCCGTTATTCATCTTGATGCTGAATCGATGATGAAATTTGTACCAAATTGTATTAGCGATTCTTTTGTCGAGGACAAAAATCACCTACAGGATGGTAATTGTATCTGTCAAGTTCAAGAGAGACAGTTGAACATAACCCTTGACCCTCAGGCAGTTTTGTCAATGAAAAACCATATGACCTACACCAGGAATGATATTAAAATCGATATCCACAATAATAATAATAATAAAAAGGGCGGCAAAGGTGCAATAAATACTGGATAACAATTCTGCCCCTTGGCCCTCAGAATCCTTGACCTCTTGATTTCAATCAATGTCAAGGGTCATTTGAGAGATTCACAATCTGTGACTAATATGACAATCGTTTATTGGTCTTAACTGTAAATCTATCTGATGATTAGTTGATTTGGAAATAATTAAATTGTGATTGAACAATTTTACTTGTTAATTGTATTTCGTTGTCAATTTTAATTGTAAATAAAAATTGGGACAATTTGAGATAATTTTTTCTCTTGATTTTATTTTCTCACTTAATTTAGTTGTTGCTCTGCTTGTTTGGTGGTTGATTAGTTAATTGTTACATTTATATAATAACAATTAATAGACGTTAAAGTTTCCATCTTATTATCATCAAAGATTATTAATTCTCGTTGTAATATTTTATTCATTGATTTAATTGGTTACTGTTAACTGTTTGGTGTCTAATTACAATTTACAGATTGTTAACTACCTTTGATTAAGTTTCAAATTAGTTGTAATTATCAATCAAATATGTTTTCTTATATCCAATTAACTGACAACAATTAATATTGAATGTCAACAAAGTTGGTGACTTTTATTTTCCAAACTTTCATCAGCTTTGATTAGTTAATCATTTTAAACTAATTCAGTTAATAATAAACTGTTGGTGAAGGTTAATGAAGTTAATTGTCAATTTTTAACAATTTAAATTGACAAGTATATAATAAATTGTTTCTTATTTATTGTCAATCAAGAGTAAATTCAATTCCGAGACCAATGAAGTTAATTTTACTGTTTATATGTTTCGCGTTTATGGTAACGATTAGCAATTTAACAGTTAATTGTTCTAGTTTAGCAAATCATTCAGCGAATCATGATGAAATTAAAATCAGACACAATCCTGATGATCGATATCGATTTATGGCCTTAATTTATTCGGGAAATTGTTACCATGTTTGTAGTGGTATCTTTTTATCCTCCAACTTGGTACTGACCACTGCTGATTGTGTCCAAAGGTAAGTAAAGTTAACCAAGAGAAATTAATTTAATCAACTAATCAACTCTTAATCTATCACTGATTTTATCATTAGTCCAATAGGGGATATACGAGTTTACGAAAATCGCGTAAATTATTTTCCCGATTGTACATTTGACGTTGACCTGAACCCGGTGGAGGAAAAGTTTTTCGCGATCAAAGAGGGAACGGGAGTGATGCAGAAGCCTAAAAATCCGGCCTACAGGCCAGTTCTATTGAAACTAAGCCCTTTCAACTACCGAAGTAGTTTCCTTCCTGTAATCAACAGTGAAGTCGAAAGTGAATTAAATTCTGAAAGCAATTTAGAAGTCATCTATCCGGGATATGAAAAGAGGGCCTCACTTACGAGGCCCGACAGTCCTCACGATTGCCCTGAAGATCATGACCTTATCTGCGGAAAACTGAACATGTTAGATAGTCATCTTAATGCTGAAAAGTCATACCAACCAGTACCAGCCCACTGTCTCGATATTCGTAGTGTACCGCTCATGTTTATGTCGAGAAAAGTCAAAAACGGTCAAACCTTTCTGGTTGGATTGTCCGTTGATTCCCCGTGTAAACTCAACAAGATTTCTCGATTTATTGACCTAAGTCCGTACAAATCTTGGATCAACGAGCAGGTCACATTGTTGGCTTCAAAGGAAATCGATGAGCTGAGTACACAATCACTGAATCTTGAAGACGAAAATGGCCTGACAATTCCCACTGTTAGTGCACAATCAAGATCGATTGACAGACAAACACCACACTTACCTTATGGTCTTCATCCAACTAAACCAAGTACATTTGGACATTCAACTGATTCCATTGCTAACAATATCAATCGTCAGCCAAATCTTTACATAGATGAAGGTTCGAAGATGAAATTTATCCCTAATTGTACCACCTCGTTTAATAGAGATAATGGTCGCATTGGTGATGGTAATTGTCTCTGTCATGTTCAATCAAAAGAGATCAATATCTCCCTCGATCCTGAAACTGTCAACATACTTAAAAAACAGTCTTCTCACCTTCGTGAAACTTTACGCCAAAAAAATATCAACATCGATATAAATAATAATAACAATAACGGCGGAGGAAATATCAATCAAAATAAAGGAAAAAAAAACCCCAATAATCCCCGAGGCTCCTTGGAGATCAATGAATCCCACCAGTCCCATGAATCTAATGAATCTCGTATTCCTCATGGTCCTCATGAACCGTTTGGCCATTCTACCGGAAAGGAGCATATCAATATCGACATCGACAACAATAATAATAACGATAACGATAACGGTCCAAAGGAAGGAATCAAAATCGAGAATATAATAAACAATTCAAATACAAACACGAATCAAAATTTTCGAGCTTAAAATTCAATCGACCAATCGGTTAATTGTGATTCTTAATTGTTAAACAATTCCAATGTTGTGTTAACTAATGTTCAAATTAAAATGACTTCCGTTCCTTTGATAATTTGTTTGATTTTCTTAATTCTCATTTGATTGCTATGGATTCTAATTGTTACAATTCATTCATTTGAATTGAAACCATAAAAAAAAAGGATCAACTTAATCATCAGTGTTTAATTTTTATATACTCGAGTTAATTGTTATGTATGTTGTTGGTTAACATGAATGGTAATTCCAAGTTGATTTAACTGATTTAACTGATTGTTTCGGTTATAATAATTATAATTCAAGTTTTTCTCATTTGTTCAATGTAATCAATTGATTTTTCCCCTTTCCATTTAATTGTTCATCTTGGAAACAATTGATATTCAATTTATTCATTGGTAATAACAATCATCTCTAAAATTAGCTAATTTGATTTGATTGTTACCTTGAATCACATTTGTATTAAAGTGAACAATTAAAAGTTAAACTAATTGTTTAAATTAATCTTCATTTTTGGATAACATTCAAAATAAAATTGAACAATTAATATTTATAGTTACATGATGATGACGAAGGTGATGATGATGTTAATTGTTATTTTTAATCAATGGCTCAAAGACCTTAGATTGTTAATTGTGTGACGATTGTTTTAATTGTTGAAGTCAAATTTGTAAAGAGTGAAAATCTTTGGATACAATTACAATCAATTTCTTTGTCAAGGTTTTAATCATTGGAACAGAAAAGTAAGAGGAGAGAGAGAGAGAGAGAGAGAGAGAGAGAGACAAAAGAAAGTAAAATGCCCTCGGGTGAACACAAACAAAGCGGGAATTAAATTGTCACGAGAATGAGATCTGTTGATTGTGAACAATTAAAACAAAAGCCGATGAATTTTATTTGACTACGATCACTTGAATCTCATCATAAAGGACCAGGACAAGCGCTGCCCCCGTGCCCCTGATCATATTGGTGAGAGCACCTCGATAAAAGGCCTTTGCTCCTTCGAGTTTGTACATTTGCGTCCAACAGTGGACTGTGTTTTTGTACATGTTTCGAGAGCCTTCGAGGCCATTTTGCATCATCATCCGTCGTTTGACCGTATCGAGTGGGTAGGTCATTATACCGGAAAAAGTTTCTGCCGCTTGGGCCACCATCCAGGTTACAATGATTGAAGGCTTGCCCGTTTCACTGATGATACTTTTACCGGTATCATAGAGGCCAAAATAAGCTGATCTGTGGTAAATACCGTTATTCTGGTTTATTAATTTTCGAGAAAAATTTCCGATCAACAATCATACCGATAAATCATTGTTCCTGTTAGAGATGCGTTTAAACCTCTGTAGAGACCAGAAAGTCCATCGGACTTGACGGTTTGTGACATTACATCGTAGAGACCTTTATATAAACGCTCTGACTCGGTTCGACCAATGTCCACCGATAAGCGAGTTCGGGCATAGTCAAGCGGGTGAACTATCAGCGCTGAAGTCGCACCAGCAGCTCCACCAGCGGCTAAATTACCCAAGAAAAATCTCCATAGTTGTTTGTCCTTGTCAATATCATGAAGAAATATCGTTTTGTACTTATCCTTGAACGCGAAATTAAAGGCCTGAGTTGGAAAATATCGAAAGATATTGGTCAAGTTTCCTCGCCATAGACTGAGAAATCCTTGTTCGGCAGGTATTCTAGTGGCCGCATCGATAATACCTCAAGAAAAGACCAACAAAATACAAACAGACAAAAAAAATATTCAATTCGAGGTTTGAACCATTGAACATTTCCTTTTCCTCTTTCGGCAAAAACAATTACTAGTACCACAAATTGTGACCTTACCTTTGTATCGTTGACTTTTGGTTATCTGTTCAGATCCATGTTGAACTTGTAAGATTAACTTAATCCGTTCAATTGGTGCGATGATTGTTTTTGCAATGGTTGCTGATACACCGCCTACAATGAAATCTTTGGTGAATGAGACAATATCTGAAGACATGATCAACTAATTGTTAGTAATTAACATGAGAAAAACACTAATTCACTAAAACACCCGCAATTTACAATCAAAAAGGTTCACGAAAGGCAAACAGTCAACAACAATTAACTATTCAACTCGATTATTAATAATACATATTGGCAATGAAAACATTAGTTTGGCAATTATCTTGATCAGTAAATATCAAATTAGGCTAATTAGTGGCAAATGGATAACACAATTAATCTGGTTATAAGATTAGATTAAACAATCATCACTCAAATCGTAATAATTAACGGTTTAATTGTGATTGTTGAAACATCTTGGAAAAGTGTTCACATCATTAGTTAATTATAATTCAATAAATGTATTAGTTAATTGAAAAGTTTTCCCCATTAATATGTAAGCTTATTGACTCAATTGGTAATCAATTTTAATTGTTGTGTTGTATTACAACAATTAGATGATTTTGCAGGAAATTAAAGGCTTTTATTTAATCGCACTGATTGTAATTAAAAAATTTGATTTGTCATTTGGGATCAATGACAATTAAACATTATCATTGATGGAGCAAGTTTATTTAATCAAATTATTATTATTAATATAAAGTTTAATTGTAATTAGATTGTAATTTTAACAATAACATAGAGATTATAAATTTCTTGCTTTTTTGATAAGTACAATTAGTTAATTATTATTTTTCTCGGTATATTATTATTATTATCATTCTCATCAGCATTATTATTGAGGTAGGAACTCAAGTGTTGGTGTTAATTGTTGTTAGAGAAGCTCAATAATTGTGTTTGGTGATTGGTGGTTGATTGTTGGGTGAACAATTAACTGTTGAACATGGTTAATTATTATCAATCTTGTATTATTATGTTTCAAGTCTTTTTTTTTGTCTTTGAATTGTAATTGTGCTCGTTGATTGTTTTAAGGTTTCACTGATTGTTGTTGTTTTTCAGGATTCGAGTGAATTAAAAGTTGTGACCAAATTGATGAAGAGAAAAAAATTACAATTTCTATTGTTGATGGAAACATAGAAATGACAATAGATTAACAATTAATCCAAATTAATCTTTTTCCATCCGATTCGTTGGCTAAATCATCATTTAGTTGCAATTTTTTATCCAGTTGAATTTAAGTTGATTGTTGTGAGCAGGAACAAGCCAATAATTAGAGAGAAAATCAATCAATCAGATTGATTTATACAAAATTACACATATGTACGTTAATCATATAAAATGGTAATCAAGACGAGAAAGCAATTAACGTGATAATTTATGGCTGAGAGCTTTCATCTAGCAAAGCAAAAAATTACAATTCAAGTTGGTCACTTAATTGTTGAACGATTGGACCATGTTGGTTTTAATTGTCAGTTTTGAAGCAAAAAAAATTAAACAAATTTGAAAAGATCACTAGATTTGGTTTCCTCTCTTGAAGGCAGTTTTAATTGTTGATTAACTTCAACGATTTTCATGGAAATGATCACTGGTTGTTGATGATGATGATGATGATGTGGTTAGGTTTGTGGTCACTTCAACCAGATGACCAACCAAACCCATTAGATGTTCAAGTTTACCAGAATTTTCAACAACTTTATTATTCACATAGGAAAAGCTCTTGGTCAATCCGTCCTCCGTTTGAGCGGAGTTGTTTAATCTGGTTTCTAGTGTTGACATTTTCTCATTGCAATGGGTCACATTGAGACTTAATTTGTTTACTTGGAAGGATAAATCGTGCAATTGACTGGGCAACCAATTAAGATCAGGTAAAATTTTACTATTAGATTTTGTTGTGATTGTTGTTGTTGTTGCGGTCAACGGTGAGGTTGACATTGGGGAGGGATTGATATCACCATCGGTCTCGAGTCTATTATTATTGTTATTATTTAGACAGGCACTTATATTTGATGTTAGTGTTAATATGATTGAATCATGATCTTGGGTCTTTTTTTTCAATGCGGTCAAAGTTGTCGCCATCCCGTGGTAATGGTCATTCAATGATCTTAATTGAATTTGAAGTAACTCAATGTGAGTTTGAACATTAACCACGACAAATATTAACGCCACAAGAGCAATTAAACCACCAAAGGTTGAAAATAATTTAACTAAATGGCAAAGTTGACTTGGTCGACCGTTTCTCCGATCATCACCACGATAATAACCTGATCGATAATTTAAATTGTGATCTTTGGCTCGACGAAGTTTCTTCTTGAATCGTACTTTTTTCCCTTTAATACCAACACCATTAAGTCCTTTACCACATTGATTAATTAATTCGTGTGAAGATGATGAGGAAAGAGATGAAGTTGACATTTGATCAATTAAAGTTTCATGACGTGATTTATTTATCTCGATCCATTCTTGAAAATCTTTGGCATCTTTGGTGTCTTTGTATCCATCAGTTGACGAGGCCATGATGATGATAATGATGTTAATTGTAATTAGAAGAAAATTTTTAAGGCAATAGTTAAGGTGAAGGGAACCTTGAGCAATTGATTATTGATGAAAATTGGAGCAAAATAAACAAAGAGATTGTGATATGAATAACAAATTGTTTCACATGACCAAGATTAACCAAATATTTGTTGATTGGTTAAAAGTTAATCAAAGTTAATTGTTACTTTTAATCCAAATAACAGTTCTCATTACATTTTGTTTAATTGTAATGAGTAAAGAAGATCAAAAAACCGAAAACAATATTCACTGAATCAATTGAAATGATGATGATGAGAATTGCTTAATAGTAGAAAACGATTGTTGTTGATATCACTTATTGTTAATTGTTAGAGTTACTATTCTGATGATGATAATGATGATGTTAAAGATTATACTTGATGGCACATAAGTTGCTTTTTCTGAGTGAGTGATGGTAAATAATATATCCAAAAAAGAGAGAGAGATATAAAAACAATCAAGTGAAATACACAAACAACAAATAGACACAATCAAAAATGATGTTGTTGTTGTTGTTGTTGATGATGATGATGATGATGATGATGATTTAGTAACAAATTGCGATTTAATTTCCAAACTGTAAGATGATATCTGATGGGGTTTTTATATATATAAATTACTGGATCAAGAAAACTCATAAAATTGTATTGAATGAATTATATAAATTGAAGTAAATCAGGTTAAATGTTTATCAGTTGTATTGATGTTTTCCAAAATGGATTGTGTATCGTTGTTGATTGGGAGATTTGGTGTAAGCAAATACAGGACCAAGAATAAAGACAATTGGGTTAATTTGAAGGATGTTTATCAACCAAAATCCTAATCAATTGTCATCACCATCAAGTATAAGATCAGGTTGGAGAGTCGAGTGAGAGAGAGATAAATGTGAAAAAGAAAAAAAAATTAAGATTAACCAAGTGAATCAAACGATTAAAAACAAGAAAGCATATGCACTGTTAATGTTATATGTTCGTTGTGTTTATATTTCATCAGCAACTCTCACATGAAAAAAGTGTTGATGAAGAGTAAAAAATAGTATCTCTCATGTGAGAGTGAAAGAGAAGAGATAGAAAATGAATAGGGAGAGAGAAAGAAGGAGAAGGAGGCGGAGAGGGAGAGTTAGGTGATGATGAGAAGAAGATAATTGATCAATATTGTATTAGAATGATTATCAAGAAAAATATCTTCTTCTTTTTGTTTTCTTTCACAGACACAATCAAGGGGAAGAGATTAGTAGTTAATGAAGAAAACGAATATTGATCATCAATGTGTATAGAAAAGGAGATTAATTCTGTAATCTTGTTGACCATAGAATAATTTAATCGCAAGGTTGATTCTTTCATCAGTCTTACCTGTAAAAATGATGTAATCAACAAAAGAAAAAGAAAAGAGAATTAATAAAAAGATAAACACAGAGGAATCAATTGATTCTTTGGTGATAATCAACAGTAATCATTGGAAACTGAACCAGAAGAGAGAGAGAGAGAAAGAAAAACAAAACAAAACCAGAATGAGAGAGATGTAGATGTTGTTGTTGGATATCAAGATAACCTTGATTGTTGTTATGGACTACACATTGAGAGAGATAAAAAAATCCAGGTAACACATTGGTGACTAAATCATGATTGACTAGCTTTAAATAAGGTGGAGTCCATACCAATGTAATCCAGAGATGATACAGTTTAGTGATAAAGGTAAAGTGTTGTTGTTGTTGATACAATGATGAGAATAGATTTTGTTTGTTTCTCTCTCTCTCACTTTCTTTCTATACAAAATGGGAAATAGATGAATGTAAAATTACCTTAAATCACTAGATTAACACGATGAATAAATAACATTGGAACAATTGTTAGTTTAAATTTAGAATAGAACAACAATAAAAAAAAATGTCAACCAAATGATAGAGACGATGAAATGTTGTGAGTGAAGAAGCAAAATAAATGTTGTTATGAGAAACCAGAAAACAACAAAACCAAGAAAGAGAAAAAAAAATGTTCTCTTTCTAAATTGGTTCTCCTTCTTGTCTCATGTTAATCACATAAACTAATTGTTCCAATTTAAATGAAACATTGAAACAATTTAATTTCCTGATTGCGGAATAACAAATTCAAAGGTAAATAAAGAGATTGAAATGAGAGATTGCCAATGAATGGCCTTCACTTTTGGAGGGAATCACATTGACTCTCTGCCAATGACACTTTGAGCTCCAATTTTGATTCGAATTTTTTTTTCTTAATTACCTGTAATTAAGTGTCCATCTTCATCATGGTGTTGAGATTTTGTCTCTCTTCCTGTATTCAGAAGATGAGAATCTTGGTTATGTGAATTATTATCAAGAAAATTGTTTCTTTCCTGGTTTTCGGTTTTAATTTGTATGTGTTACCAGTTTGGTTACGGTTTCGATTTTGTTGTTATATTATTTTAATCATCGCCTTAATTGTTGATTAATTAAGGTGAGAAAAAGGTGAGTTTAATTACTGTTTCCATGTCTAATTGTGATCAATCATTGAGAGATATTAAAATTTTTTTTTATTCATATGTATGAATACCTTTGGATAATTGTATTAATAGTAATCATCCCATTGAAGGTTTTGTATTTTGATATGATAACATCATCTTAATTGTTATTACCTTGAGTTAATCATCACTGATTGTTAGATAAATATTATTACAAGGAAAAGGTTGAAATTAATTTTAATTTTCTACACAATTAACTAAAAAAGTTATTATCTTGTTGATTAACTCTCATCCTGTTCACCCAAATGTAATAATCAAAATGAGACCAATCAATCATTTAACAAGAGAAACATAGTTACATTAATTTCACTTGTATACTTAATTAATACCTTGATTTTGGTGATTAACTAACTATCCTTTTCAACTGATTAACAAATTGAATGATTATAAAATCAAGGAAAAAGGTTAAGGTCAAGTTACAAACGTCAATTTAATCCTAAGGGAAAGTGATTGAGTTAAAAAGACTAACCAATAATTTCAATTACTATTTAAATTTACCAATTGGATTTAAATTATCCCTTGATTATAGTTAATCCACTAACCCAAAACATAACACACAAGCAATTTAATCGTAATTATTTAAATCATAATGTTCTCGATTAATGTTAATCAGGTGAAAATGATTTGAACGAAAAACGGTAAATTGTTGGTCGATTCGTGATAACAATTAGAAAGTGAATTAAATTAGCCGATCAATTATATTAATGAACACACACTCGAAAATGGGCAAATCGAACACGAAAATATAATAATCTTCGAACACACTAAATGTTAGATCTAATTGTACAAAATTTTCGACGAATATTGGTTCGAATTATCAAATTAAACTATTGATAGATTAAAGTTTTTATTCAGAAATTCAAGTTACAATTAAAAAATCTTATTCTTTTGTGTTCTATCAATGATTCGTTGGTGTATCGTCAGCATTTCCATCGAGTGATTAACTGATTCCATGTTGATTATGGTGATGGTTTCGTCAGCGTTTCAGCGACATTCGAGTTTGTTACTGCGTTATCTGAGTGCGTACAAGCGGCCGAGAAGCGATAATTTCGAGCTGGTTCGAGATTTTCGATCGAAATTTTGAAAGTGGTCCTGTTTCTCAATACAATTCGAGTATAGTGGACTTTATAAGCTGTCAACGAGAACGAAATTGATTCAAATTAAATTGTTCTTGCATCGAAAATCCATTTACCGTTAGATACTCACATTCATCCGCTGGGGTCCAAAAGGGTTTGCCCTCAAAATCTTCTTGAATTTTCACTGATAATCTACAATTTTCGATTGAATTATCAGATTCATTTTCTTCGTAAGTCATGTTTAATTTAACGTAATTAGCACCAAAATCAACACTTTCCAAGACAATTAAGGTTGAGGTTATTTGAGAAGCTCCAATAATAATCGGTTTTCCAATGGACTTTTGATCACATTGGACATTATTGATGATCGCAACGATGAGAATGGAGAAAGTCACTAAATAATTCATATTCACTTTAATTGTAATTAACTTTACAACGAATTAATTTTCTTCTGTAATTTTAAATGATACTAATTAGTAAATTTAGTTGTGGTTTTTATACTCAGAGAAACTTATTGAAAATTTATCACTTCGAATCCTTTTGATTTAATCAATTTGAGCTCAATGTTTATCATTGATTGTTACTAATTGTTCAGCTTAGTTTTAATTGTTTGTAATCTTTTCGCTTCATAAATGGACAAATTGATCCAATCTAATGGGTGTATTAATTTACTGATTACTGAATAAGGAAAATATTAAGTCGATTGACATTTAGAAAACAATTGTATCGGAAATCAAGGTTGATTTGAGAATCAAAATTGTGACTAATCAACTAAATTAAGAGATTTTCTTTGTGATTACAATGGTAATTTAACTCTATGACCTTTCTAATTGCTTTATAACCTTTGGACAAAAAGTTCGAGAGTCGAATGATAATTTAATATGATCAACATCATTAACTTGACTCAATTCTCATAAAGTAGACTCATTATAAAATCAAACTCTTTCAGTTGATTGTAATACAATTTGATTGTAAAATCGTGATTATTTTTGCATTATTATCATTACAATCATTAGGAGACAATAACAATACCCAAACAACAATCAAAAAGTAAATCCAACAATTTAAACTAATTGGTATTGTCCATTATATCAAATGGAAATGGAAATGGTTTCTCAAGAGGAATGAAAAATAAACATTATCAGATTATCATGATTAACGAAACGAAATCAACTAATAACGAAAAAGTTTTTCTTTTCCTTTCCAACAATTTAGATTAATTGTAATTCAAATTATCTCTCCTGGTTCAAGTCAATTAACTTAATCATCTTGGAAATAATTTCTATTCAGATTATGATTACTCTGTTTTTCGGCATCTCTTGTTACCTAAATAAATTATTCTAATCAATTTGGTTACAATTGTTAATTGTTAACAATTACGGTGAGTTTAAGGTTAATTGTTTTGTAGATAATTGAATTGATCTTCTTAATTCTTGTTTTTTTTACTTTAATTGTGATTAACCAGCTAATATGTTGAGCTGAAAACTTGTAACAATTTAGTTTTGTGATCTTAATTTGTAATAATTCAATTTATTGACAATCTATTTTTAATTCAGTTCGTTTAATTGTTTCACTGATTGAATTTGATTTTTTCTATCTAATAATAATTAGTTAACTCTATCTTTTTGTGAAACAATCAGAATTAATTTTGGTAAATTCATTGAATGACAAAACGATTTGACAAATTGTTGAGTCAAATTGGTTACAATCAACTCTCTAAATTTATTAATTGCTACAATTATTGTTAATTTTCCTGTTGATTGTTTAGTCATTGACCTAAGTCATTAGCTTTACAGATTGTGATTAGTTAATTGTGATCCTTGTTATAATTTACTAGTAATTTTATTCAATTTCAACAGTTTTCCTTAATTTTGAGAATCATGAACAATTTAATAATGATAATAATTGTCAATTCGTTTTGCTAATTTACTTACTTTATGGTTTTAATTGTAAACAATTGACAGTTGCAATTAGATTAGTACAAAATACTCCTTTTAATTGTAATCAACTCAACTATAATTTTATCAAGATTGTTTAAGTTTACTAATCAATTGGTTTTATATTGTTTTCCTAATGGCCTTTAATCAAAGTAACAACAATTAAAATGGTTCACTGATGGTTAGAAATATTAATTACAATTAAATGTGAAGATGATACAAAGTAAATACCAAAGGGAAGAAAATTTAATTTAATTTGATAAACTTGGCTTAACAATCAATGGACTGAAGAAGACAATTACAACTTTCCCTAAATATAAATTAACTTAGTTTATCACAATTAAGGTTAGTTTATTACTTTTCATAACAATTATCATTAAAAAAAACCTAAATTGTTATGTTTAAATTTTCTGGTTTTGGTAACAATTTAACAATAATAATAATAATAAACAAAATTAATAATAAACTTCCTTTACAATTTATGATCCATAACAATTTAAAAATTGTAGACACATGGAATTAAATAATAAAATAAATTCCTCTATATTCACGATTAACTAAGAAAAATTATCCAACCATTTTGTTTAAATTGTTCACAATTAACGTTAATCTTTAATCGCAATTAATATCTTCCTCTATTATCATTATCAATGGAAAAAAAGAAATAACAAAAAACCAACCAATCGAAATGAACACGATAAGTAAGTGAATGATTTTCTGCAGAAAATTCAATTTATCTGAGATTTGATTATCGGAATAAATTTTGATTAGAAGACAATTAAAGATTATGATTAAGATCTCATTCTGTTAATTATTATTTTGAGAAGGAAAATTTTTGAATATTATGAAAAAAGCGCTTCAAATGTTTTCGAATTCAAGTTACTCCCTCTGGTGGTTCTTTTGGTTAACGTTGGAACAATTGAAACTTTATTTTTTTATTTTCTCAATTTAAATTAATTTAGTTGATTTGTTTTCGTTAGTAATTAATTTTTTTTTTGTAGGCTTTTTCTTCCTGGTTTGATGATTATTGAGAAATTTATTTTTATCATTTGAAAAGATCATCATAACCTTGAGATTTTCCTTGTTGTGAATGTGTAATGCAAGTGGTTTAATTGTCAAATCTTCCAGTTTGTTACTCATCTTCAGTTCCCTTTGCAAAGGCGTTGTAATTTTGCTCTGTTTATAATTAATTCTATATTGCAATTATCTCCCTGAATCATCACTGAATTTCTTGCTTCTCCATCTGGATTGGAATTCTCCTATTTCACTTGTAAATTCTTCAATAAATCAATTTGCAAGAGAAATTCTATTTGTTTTTGCTTCTCTTCTACCAAAAATTCCATCAACTGCCAACTCTCAGTTTTTTTCTCTTTGGAACATTTATTGAGAATTTAAACCTGATCCTGTTTTCTATTTTTTTTTGCCCCACGGACCTAAATTATTAAAACTATTCTACTTGACCTGTTGTATTGTTTTACTCTTTTGTCCTTGGTATCATCATGATGGGATCAGAAAGTCAACAAGGAGTACCTGCTGAATGGTGGGTCGTTTCTTGGAGAAATCAAATTGTTACTGGTTTGTCGTTACTCCAAGTTGTCTTTGGGATAATTACCTCTCTCAGTCTTTTCTCTTTTATTGCCTGTGTACCTACTGGACTTTCACTTGTTTTCGGAGCAATTGTTGTCCTTTCTATCGAGGCTCCTGCTTTTGTCTCTTTCATCCGTTTCGCTCAACCTATTACAGCATTTTTCGAGGCAAAACCTTTGTGGATTAAAGTTGTCACCTACGGGATTAGCCATTTTACCTTGTCTATTTGGCTGTTATGGACCATTCTTTTTCTTTGGCTTCTTTTGTGCTCTCGGAACCACTGCAATTTATGGTGTAATACTGATTGGACAGAAAGCTAATCAAGATGACATGAGATTCCAAGCTGGTGGATTCTCACCAGCTTAGACCTGGCATCAAATTCAACTCCAATCTCATTTCATGTTCATATATTTATATCCTTCAGAAAGAGAGAGAGAGAATCTTATCTCAATATTTATCAAAACACACCTCTAATTAACACTTCTCTCTCATTCGTCATCATATAGTTGCCTTGAAAGGCGAAATGTTTAGACTAATGGCCACCCGATAAACTCTGATCCTGAAACTTATTGAAAAAGAAAAGACCAAAATTATCCCATTTCGAGCTCATCGATTTCCACCTGTTGAACAACCTGTTGTATCTTTGATAATCATCGTCATTTAACTTTGGAATTGTCAATCAATTTACCAATCTCACCTGAATCATTTTTCTGAATCTTCCACTATTCCATTTCCTGATGAGCTGTCTGACTTTTTGTTGTTTTCTCTCCAGAAAGATATGAGATCATGTTCTTGTTATTACATTTTTTTTTCTCCTTCAATCACATAAGGAAACACATATATTCCATATTTAAAGTATTTACCCAATTCGATCAATTCTCCGTTCAACTAATCGATTGCTTCATCATGGCTACTCCAAATTCCATGTTAAAAAATGAATTAACCAAAGCGACTTAATCGTTGAAATTACATTTACCTCCAAAAGAAAATCATTATTACCTGTGCCTTTGGATGGGGATACAAAAATCATCATCATCTTGTTTGATGATTAAACCAATTTCTAGGATAAAAAAAACATTACTTCTGATGATTGTAATGATTCCAGTTTAACTCTCATATTTATCACTCAACCATAAACAAATCAAATTAACCACCACAACTACATTGGGATCATGTTTATATCACCTTAATAATGATAATCTTAAATTGCTATCAAATTGCAACTGAAGCCATTTAACGAATTGTTTCCTTTAAAGTTAATAATTTGATCCAAACCTGTTATTATACATTATCGAAGACAACAATTTAATGGACGAACAACAATCAAGCCTCCATCAATTACCATCTCTATAATTTAATTGTTAAAAAAAATCGTCAAAGTTAATCATCTCTTCCTATGGAAATGAAGTAAAAAAACTCTTGGTTGATTACTATTAATAACATTGTCGGAATCAAGATCAATTAACTTGAACAATCATTATGACACTAAATTGACGACCAAACAATCAACTGTTTTTCCAACAATTTATTAATCATCCATTCTAATTGTAACATGAAAAAAGTGCAATTTAATATAATGCAAATCAGAAGCTTAAACCATTAAACAAATTAAGCCAATGAAAATTGAATTTTATGTTTTGTTTTTAAAAGCAATTAGATTAATTAATTTATGATTAGATAATCTCAGTTCTTGTGCTCTAACCAATTAATTTAAATTTCATTATTTAGGTTTTCAAGCTCCAGTTGAACCAATATCACTTAATTGTGTTTAGCTAATCAATGAAAATCCAATCTAATCATTGAATCCAATTGACGGAAAGGTTTTCATTGTAATTGATTGTTTGGGAAAAAACAACAACTTTGAAATTAATTGTTGATCAATTAAATTATACAATCAATAATAACAATCAAAGATGATAATGGGAATACAATTGATACAAATTAATAACCAATATCTAATTGACACAGAAAAATTAACGATAGTTAATCAGAAAATCAGTGAAAAAACAGATTGGATATATAAACGTAAGTTAATTGCTGAGATCACATTGAATTAAATTGAACTTGAATAAGTTACGAGTTAATTGTTGACTAAATATGTTGTTTGTTATTTTCTCGTGTTTTCTTTGGACACTAATTAGTGCCAATGATTTAACACCAATCGTATCGATCTCAAGTGGTCCCGTTCAAGGCAAATTTGTTGATTTTAACGGAATCAAAGTCGCTCATTTTCTTGGTGTTCCTTATGCTAAACCACCGATCAAATCATTACGATTCCAATCACCGGAAAAAGTTGACCCTGGACCGAAGTGAGATCGGTAACTAATTATGGTGCTTCGTGTCCACAACGAAGTGAACATATTAAACCTGAAGAAACAAATGAAGATTGTCTCTTCCTTAATGTCTATGTTACCGAGTCCACATTTAATTCATCGGCAACTCGAAAACGACCTGTTCTTTTCTGGATACATGGCGGTGCTTTGACCATGGGTTCGGGCAATGAATTCTATCCTGGCCTTCCAATGGTACCTTTCGAAGATGTGATCCTGGTGACCCATAATTATCGTCTTAATGCTTTTGGTTTCATGTATTTCGGTGCAGGCGAACCAAGGATTCCGTCCAATATTGGACTTCGAGATCAACTTATGGCCATGCAATGGGTTCGAGAAAATATCGCAAAATTTGGCGGTGATCCTAATCAAGTGACCATTTTTGGTGAATCTGCTGGTTCCATGTCAGTTTCGGCTCATATCTTGTCCCCACTGACCAAAGGTCTGTTCAAACGAGCAATTCTCGAATCAGGAACGATTTACAATCCAGTCGATGATCCAAGTTTCTTCATTGGCAATGCTTGGTCAGTTCTTAATCGAACCTCATGTGCCTCATCTCACGATATTCTGACCTGTTTACAAGGCTTATCGGTACCCGAAATTATTGACAATCAATCTGATGGTTTACTTAGATTCCGTTGGGTTTACGGAGATGATTTTCTTCCCTTCACTGTAAACGAAGCTTTCGATCAAGGTTTATACGATGATTCGGTTGATCTATTGGTTGGTACTGAGAAAAATGAATTTTCCATTTTCATGGCCAAACTTGACGCCAAACTGTTTAATCCAGTTGATCCTTCACCAATGGATTATCAAACTGCTCTTGGTTATTTAGCGTTAACTTTCAAACAAGAATCTCTTGATTATTTCCGTGAACTTTATTTCGGCCCACCAACCAGTGATTCCGCCTTTTTAAGGTCACAATTGGAAAAGGCTTATAGTGATACCGCTTTACTTTGTCCAACTTATATGTTTGGCCTTAAATTTGCCAAAAATGGTCAGCAAAGTGGTAAAGTATTCGGATATTATCATACACAAAAGGCCAAATCGACGATGTTTCCTCCCTGTGATGCAAGTTCATGGATGGGAACTTGTCATGCCGGTGAAATCCCGTTCGTCTTTGGATTTCCTTTCCTTGACCCTAATGCTACCCAATCTGAAAGAGATTTAAGTTCACAGGTCATGAAAATTTGGGCTCATTTTGCTGAATTCGGGTAAGTTTCACCAAGTTACGAAAACGATATTATTATTACGATAATGCTGATATTTTCCTCTTGATATTATCGTTTTTCTTTCTCATCATTACAGTAAACCTCCAAGTGTTGGTGGAACCGAATGGAAAACTTTAGACTCCGATGAATCAGCGATGATCTTGAATGTCGCCGATTTCGGTAAAGTTGATCGAGAACGAGTTCAATTCTGTCAACAACAATGGGACAATTTCACTCTCCATGGTAGCCTACAATTAGCTTACCTCTTGGGTGCTGCTTGATCATTCAAATTGTCCAAAGAATATATTTAATCCAATCAATAAAATAATCTAAATGTAGATAATTATGATTATCAATCCAAATCATATGGTCTTCATTTCTGTTTGTATCTCAATCTCCTTCTTGTTGTCTTTCAAATCTAAATAAGAGAGAGAGAAAGAGAATTAAATTTAAATTAATAAACAAGAATTGGAAGTCAATTGATTGTTATTAAAGTGAATTTATATCTAAATAAATAGTGTAAACAATTAAAAGGTGAGAGAAAAATATGAGAAATTTAATTACCTTGAGTAATTATTTATTCCGTCGGCATTGTAACAATAACATTGGAAAATACAATCAACACTATCACAGTTTAGTTAATTTGGATGTTAACAAATCAAGTAGATTTAATGTTCACAAGGTAAGTAGATAATTTTAATCACTAATCAATTAGAATGATTTAAATTTAAGGTGAGATTTGTTTACAGTTGGTTACCAAAGATTCAGAAGCTTTAAATTGGTTGCATAGGAAACGGTTGGTTCAGTTGTCGTTTTGTCTCAAACAAAGAAACATGAGTGAGGAAGTGAAAAAAGCTCAACAATCATCGGCCGATAATCAAGAAGATACAATTTTCGGTAAGATACTGAGGAAAGAAATACCAACTAATTTCATCTATGAAGATGATCAGGTAAGAAGAATTAAATTAATTACCAGCAATTTACTCTTTTTAATTGTTCTCTTTGGTGTTTTCTTTTTCCTTTTTTTTTGTTCTCAGTGTGTAGCTTTCAATGATATTAGTCCTTGTGGACCTAAACATTTTCTGGTTATTCCTAAAAAGAGAATCAGTCAATTGTCTAAATCAGAGGATGAAGATGAACAAGTAAGTAGACAATTGATTAATTCTGTTGGTGATTTTTGGAAAATGGCGACAAATTGACTAATTGTTTTCTCTTTTGTGCTTTTCTATAGCTTCTTGGTCATCTGTTGATTGTTGCTCGGAAAGTTGCTAAGCAAGAAGGTTTGGAAAAAGGTTTCCGAATTGTAATCAATGATGGTGTTGAGGTTAGTTAATTAATTCTACTCTAAATTGCATGTTAATTGTCTTTCTATTGTTCTAAATTCTATTCTTTTTTGATTTGCTTTTCTATTCTATTCAGGGAGCTCAATCGGTTTACCATCTTCATGTCCATGTTATTGGTGGAAGGCAAATGTCATGGCCTCCTGGTTAATTAACTTGAATCTACTCAATCTATCTTTCTTAAATTGTCTTCACTTATCCAGGATCAATTTAAACATCTCCAACAATTTAATCCATCCTAACAATTAAAGAATTGATTTCATCTTCAGTAAACTCAATCAATTGGCAATGTTTCACTTTCGTAGTTAACCAAACCGACCAAATTGAATTTTGATTTTTCGGGCAACAAAACAATTACCAATAATAGAAACACTTATCAAGTTAGAAATTTAATTTTCTCATCATTGGTTAAGAATGAAGAGAAAAAAAAATTCTCGTAATCAACTAATTTCCATGTTGATCCAAAATGATCAACTGATTGTTTGTGTTCAATTAGATTTAACAACAAGTTACATCAAAGGAATTGTTGATTTACCCTTTTCTTTTTCACACTTAATTTTTTATTGATTGTTTGCAATCGACCATGAATTATGCTGTGGATTTGCTAATAATAAGAAATAATTAGACAACAAGGTTAATTTTATTTCTTCCATTAGATTTTAAATGAGACAAAAAGAGAAAGAGAAAAAGAAAGAGAAGAAAAAATAGAAAGAGAAAATTAAATTCTCTTAGTAGGAAAAACAACCAAGAAGAAATGAAAACATTTCCATTTAGCTCAGTGTTCACCTCTAATCATTTAACTAATTATCATCAATTATCACCATCACCATGTTTATTATCAGTTCAACTAATTCAGTGTCCACAATAATTAAACATTTAGTTAGTTAATTGATACTAATTGTCTTGGATAAACCAGAAAACAAAAACAATAACATTGTCTCTTTGAAAAGGTGATTTGTTATTTTCTAAATTGTGAATTATTATTTTAGAATAATTTTTTTTTTCCAAAACAATTTAACTTCACCTTTAAACCATTGGATTCTAATTAAGATTAAATTAATCGACAATTAGATTAGTTCCAAAGAAAAGAAACCAAAGTGATCCACCAAAAAGAACGTGTTTTCTTTTTTTCTTTTTCTATATTACTCTGGATGTTTTTCTGATCTCATTTAAAAAAATTCTACAATTTAATTGATCTTGTTATCCCTGTTCTTCTAATTGTGGATTAATTTTTCATCTTCAATATTACCTCTCATCTTTAATTGTTTCATATTCTATTTGGATGATTATTTGACTGAAACTGAATTTACTTTGAATCTCATCTTTGAAGCGAAACCACTGGACAGACACAACAATGATGTCATTAAATTCTGTGGGATAAGATTAACCATTTCAATTGTTTATCGGTTGTAATTTACTTTCTTTTAATTGTATTTGGTTTCCTGTAACTATTTCATATCGAAAATGGATCTACATGATAATGCGAAAAAAGTAGTTGTATGTTCAGCATTATTTGCTGGATTCGCTTACTTTAGCTTATCGGTTCTTCGTAATGTCTTCTCACCTTCAAAGGATCAATCATCGTCTACGAATAACAATAATAACAATAATAAAAATGGCCGAAAGTCAAGTCAATGTGTTCAAACGGAAGTTTCGGTTCCCATTAAAGAGGACAAAAGATGGTACAAATTACCTCCCGAAATGTGGGGTCCATGGGCTAAAACAATCCAAGATCGTATCAAGGAGCTTAATCTACAATCAACGGCAAATAATGTTATCTTTAGATCACCAGGTCGAATTCAATCAATTACCACCAATGGTACCAGTTTAAGTTCCCATAATACACCGAGAAATTCACCAAGATGCCGAAGTCCGAACAATTTATCTAAGGAAAATAGTTTGAGCCGATCGGTTGACAATTTATCAAAAGACAATAACAATCATTTACACCAAGGTGACCATTTGATTGATGGACCAATAATTAAACCACCAAGTGAAATAGAAATGATTAATTATAAGAAAATATTGGACAAATTGTTTGGTCAAAAGAATCCCAATTTATCCCAACAAGAGGCCAGTGTCCTTGGGATGTTATTAATGTGTGATGATGATGAGGTTCTGGTTAAAACACTAACGGTGATTGCTGATTGTGCGGTTTTCACACCAAATATCAATGTAATCTGTGATTCCGGTTGTTTAGTTATGTTATTACATTTACTTAATTCTAGTACAATTCCGGCCGTAATTGCCTCGACAACTCAAGCGATCGGTAATTTGGCAAACGGTGAACGATCACAAGAATTAATGAGACCATTTATCATTCCATTAATGGATAAATTGAAAACTGCATCACATTTACAATTAACTTGGTCATTAATTGCACTTGCCAATTTAGCTCATCGTGATTCTAATCATATCGATTTTCTTGATCATCTAAATGAATTAATTGTTCTCATTGAAAAGGGTTGTACTCGTGTTCAATTACAATCTCTTAAAATTTTGGTTAATCTTTCATGTAATCAAAATTCAATTGTTTACCTGTTGGCTGCTAGATGTCCGGTTAACCTTTACAATTTACTAATTCCAACAACTGATGAGGAAATTTTAATAAGATTATGTTCATTTATCAGTAATCTGGTTGAATCTGTTTTTCGACGTTCAATTAAACACACTCATCTTCCAACGATTAATAAAGTGGCCTCACCGGAAACACTTTACTCTGGATTATTTGGTGTTCAAGCGGTGGAAACAATTAAAGAAAAATTGAAAACACTTTCCCGTTATCCCAATGAAAATATTGTTTCTAGTGTCCAAAAGATAGAGAAAAAATTAATCCTACTTTAGATTTACTTAAATTGTCACGAGATTTACATTTAATCGAGTTTTTTTTTGTCCAAACAATTAATGTTTACCTAATTTGATGAGTTCTTTCACCTAATTTATTTTTGTGATTCTTGGTCGTTATTTTGATTTTTCTTTAATCAATCTGATTTCTTGGCAAATGATCTTCTCTTTAATCCGATTGTAATTATTTTTTGTCGACAAAATTTTCGATTAATCAGAGAAATTAACGATCAAAACTCTCTTTTCTCTGATTTGAGATTCAATTGATTGTCTCAAGACTGAAACTTGTGAAGATTGTGCCAAGGCTGAGGAATAAACAATTCCTTTTGCTAATCATCTTTCATTTTCTATAAATTGTTAAAATTAATCAAGTGTGTACTGAGAAAATAATAAATTTTTCCTTTAATTAACTGTATACATATTTTCACATTACATTTACCATAATTTGGGTTTCGGTCTTGGCTTTAAAACAAGTCGACCATGATCATCGCAGGTCATGTTAAAATCAGACAAAACTTGACGAGCTCTTGCCATTATCCTATGGACAATCAAAAGAAAACAAATGACAATAATTAAGGATAATCAATTTCAAATCATTTAATCCGATTAACGGTTAAAAATGATACTTACACTTGAGGTGAGATGACTTTCTTATGAATACTAGTAAGAGCAAATAAGAGTATCAATATGATGGCATTAATTGTGAAGAAAGGATGATTTAGCAGTGATTGTAACAATGAGATTCTTGAAGTTAATGGATCAGTTAACCATTGGAAAGCTCCATAAGTAGTGAAAGCAGTTGTAAAAGCTAAAGCTAATCGATATTTTCTCGTATCCGAATTCATACCATTGACAATCTCTTGTAATCTTCTTTCAAACGCCTTCAAATCTAAAAAGAAAACAACGAAATAATAGAAGAAAAAAGAGTCAAATAAAATAGAATAGAATTTAAATTAACAAAAAAAAAAGAACACTAATTACCTTCACAAGATGTTTTCTCCAATGACATTGTGATAAAATATTGACCAATAATTTAAACTAAATTACAGTTGTCTCTGTGTCGATGTTGTCAAAAGTCAATTTAACCTCCTAAAGGATTAGCACCATCCAGACAAATCAATAGATTAAATTAAGACACAATTAGTTGATACAATTGCGATAAAAAAATATTCCAAAACTAGAATAGAATAAAATAATTGAGTTAATTAAATCGGCAAGGAAAATAATGAAAAAGAGGAAGAAAAATAAAATTAACAATTTGTTTACTTTTGGAACAAACTAAATCTAAGCCATGTGAGTTTCTTTTTTCGGCTAAGCCTTTTCTTTTCTTTTCTATTATCGGCTGATAATTCGGCTTAGAGGTTTTTTTAATTTTCGTTTTCAATTAAAAGAAAAGAAAATTTTTTTCCAACTGTTGTTGTTATCAAGTTCTTTTATTTACTCAATTATTCTTATTTATCTTTCCAATAAGTTGATTGATGGAAAAATGATGATGAAGATGAAATAGAAGAAGAAGAAGAAGAAGAAAAAAAATGAAACAAAAAGAGAAATTGGTGAGAGAGAAAGAGAGAGAGAGAAACTATTTTAAGTTCTCTTTTATTTAGGTTAAGGAGTTAACGTCCTGGTCTCTCTCCGTGTGTTGGATCAAAATGGCCTGTCCACTCTTGTCTAACGGGTTCCAGTTTCGATGATTAAATAATCAAAATCCCGATAAAGAATGGAAAATGATTTGTGTGTGTTAAATGATTAGTTAGATGATTGGAGTTGAATTATTGTTGATGAGAAAATGGTGGCTACTCTCTTTCTCTAGCCAATATTTGATTCATTGTTTTTTTTTCTCCTTCTCTTTCATCGTTTCCATTTTCATTTGATTCTCTTTTTATTTTTTGTTTAATTGTGTCTTCTATTGTAAACATACAATCTAAATTGTGATTTAGTCTCGCAATTGTGTTCATCGTCATCATTTTCTCAGTATCGCCGATTGTGATCTTCTTGTAACCTTGTCTCTATTTATTTCTCATCTTGCCTGTTTCATGTTCTCGCAATTGAGAGTTAATTTACTCAATTAACTTGTTTTTCTATTGTTAATTTTTCCTCTTTTTTTTCCATCAATTTAATTGATGTCCCTAGATGATTTACCTGATCTTCTAAAGTTACTAATTACTCATCAAGTATTTTCTCATCTTATCCTTTCAATTCATCATCTAAATTTGGAATCTTCAATTTGATTGAGATTTGACAAATTGGTTTTGTCAACTTTTGGATTCCCTCTCTTTTTTGTCGTTGTTTTATTGCTTAAAGTTTATTATTTTTTTTGTTGTTGTTTCATTGGAATTGTTTGAAAATGCCTTCGATACTTAGTAAATTGTTACCTTTTCCTGATATGGTTTTACAGTTTAATTGTTACGAGGTTGGACATACTTGGACACCATTTTGTTCCCGTGCAGCTCTTGACATTGGTGGTTCGGTTTTTTTTGAAGGACTTAAAATGTACACTGGTGTTTACCTGTTTGGTCAATTGTTGGCTCGTCGTTATGATTATAAATCGTTCCGGGAAACAGTTAAATCAATTTTACGTTCATCAACATTCCTTGGTTTTAATGCTTTCGCAGTTCTCTGTCTATTTTGCTTCAGCTACAGATCCTTGGGTAAACTTTATCTCTCACTAATTGGTCATGTTCCCTCAATTATTGGTAGTTACATGGCGATACACCTTGAGAAACCATCTCGAAGAGGACCATTGGCCTTTTATGTCGCTAATATTGCTGCTGAAACTTTATTCTCAATCGCAGTTTCCAATCGTATTATCAAACCAATCAAAAATGGTGAAGTTGTTTTATTTGCATTAAGCACTGGAATTCTGGTTTATTTTATCAAGAAAAATGGTATTGGACATGACATGATCTCAACAATTCTTAAATCAATCATTGGTAAAGATGAATTGGCTCGAAACAAACCGTTAACAATTGAACGTAAAAGTGATGAAAAATGTGAGGAAAAATTTGATTCTACAAAATCAACTCTTTCATCATCTCGAATAAATTCTGGTTGCAATGATAAACTTTCCAAATCAAATTCAATTCGTTCTCTACTTGTTAAAACTGTCAATGGATTATCTTCATTTCTCTTTAAAAATCATCCATCTTGTCCTCATTCATCTTCTTGTCTTCGCTATTCAATTACCACTTTTCTCCAACGATTTCTCATCGGTTGGACTGGAATCTCAATCATACCGACAATCTTACGATCACCATCATCATTAACCTCAATGTCAAGTTTAACCAAAGGTCTTAAAGATCGGAAAAATATCAACTTTGGCCTTTTCTTGGGTCTCTTTTCATCAACCTTCAAAGCTTGTAGTTGTCTTTTACGATGGTGGGACAATTCATCTAAACACTGGCACGGAACTGTGGCCGGTATGATTGCTGGATCGTCGATGGCCTTATATCCAAGTAAAACAATTGCTCAATACATTTTCTGGAAAATGATGGAAACACTTTTCTGGGAAAATGTTTCCACCGGTAAAATTAAACACTCGGAAACAATTATATGTTTAACTTACGCTCTTGCCTGTTCTCAATTGTTTTATGTCGCTGTTATTTGTCCGTCTCATTTACGTCCCAGTTACATGAAATTTTTAGATCGATTTACTCATCAATGTTTACGTCTTCTCAATCGTAATGTTATCGACCTATTTGGAACCAATTCTTCCGCTGGGTTTAAAACTTTTCTCCCTGATTTTGATCTCAAATATACAAGTAGACAATTCCAAGAATCAGTTCTTGTCTGGACGATACAATAATTCACCACTCAATTAGTAAAGGAAAAGTTTAACGATTAACTTGAACAATTAGGATAAAATTGCAAACTGTGATATCTTAATCAAGTTTTTTCTCTCTCTCTCCTTCCTTAACAATCAAATTTATTTAGTTCAAATTGATTGCTATGGTTAACTACTATTGACAAACAAAATTTACTTTACTCTTGATGGATTTTGTTTACTTCAATTCATTTACTTAAAATCATTCAAGTTGCTGATGATTGTACAATTTGGCTAATTGAATATAAAACTGGATCTTGAAACTGGTTCAATGATTAACTACTTCAGAAAAATTTAATTACTTGACATGGAAAGAGAGAGAGAGAGAGAAAGAGAGAGTTTGGAACTGGAATCAATTGTGATCTACCATCATTCATATGAATCATTACGATAATCACCTTAATGAGGAAATTTGGACATCATTTTGTTCATCATCACAATATAAATTGTCTGATTAATCATCAATTTAACTTCCTGTACAATTAGTTTCCAATTTTCCTCATCATGAAAAAATCAATCACAATCAACGACGATCAAAACAATTATTACAATTTACAATATGAAGATTTCCTTCATCTCATAGAGATTGAAACAATTTTCACGTCAATTAAGTTAAATCTTAAATCAATTATAAAAATTAATTAATTTTGTCATTTTTTCGATGACAAAACAACAAACTCGAAATTAATATTAATACAACAATTTATTTCTCCTGAAATTTTCCATCGCTATATTTTTGATACAATTTAAATTGAAATTTGTATAATTAAATAATTTTCCATTAATCAAATGAAACTCTATCAACAATTAATTAATTTTTCCAATTTAAATTTAGAACTAAAAAGATTGATTATTATGAGACGTTCCCTAAATGTACACGTGAGAAAATTTTTTTTCAGAATTTGTGACAATACGTTTTGTTTTTTAATCTAATTAATTTAATTAATTTAATTGTGTTTATTCTAATTGTTTTGATTAAACAATTTCATCATGAGTGGTCGTTTCTTCAAAGGAGTCTCCGACTCGGAGACTGAGTCTTCGGAGGCCGAATCAGATATTTTACCATCCCGTCCGTTGGCTGTTACCTCGTAAGTACATTCATTGAATGGGTTCACCATGTTGTCTTTAATTAGATTTTATTTTGCTTCTCATCTTAAATCATCTTGTAATTTGGTTTTGTTTTAGTTAATTTGTTAAATTGATTGAATATGTTTTTATATATATTCTATGGGCTAGTTTTCTGTGGGCTTTTGCAGAGTATTTAGTTTGGTGTATTAGTATTTGTGTATAGGAAAACATTTGGTTATCTCTTTTTGCCTGAGCCGGCATTTTGTTTTCTCTCTCTCTCTCTGGTTTGCTTATCAATTTTATTTCTTTGTTCTCAATCTTTACAGAGCTTTCCTGTTAGTGATGAAGAGGAAGAGTCAAAGCGAGTTGTTCGTACTGCTAAGGAAAACGGTATGAAGAGCTTAATACAATCATCAGGCAAATCAGGAATCACAAAAAGATCAAGGATATTTCAAAAATGCTCAGTGGATTTGAAAATTTGACTCGTGCCTTTCAAAAAGCTAAACTGGTCATTGAAAGAGATGAAAACAACAAGATACCAGCTTTCTATTTGAAGTGTTTGGTTGAATTGGAACAATTTGTCCATGAAACATGGGAGGATAGAGAAGGTCGTAAAACTATGTCCAAACAAAATTCCAAATCTTTGGCCACTTTAAGACAAAAGTTGAAAAAGTATAACAAAGACTTTGAAAACGAGATTAACAAATATAAAGAAAATCCAATTGATGATGACAAAGAGGAAGAATCTGAAGAAGAGGAAACAGATGAAAGTGATTCTGATGATGATCAAATGAATTTTCTTAAAAAACCCTCGGAAAAGGATATGAAAGATGAAGCCAAGGAGGAACTCAAAGCTGCTAAGGATGATGAAGATGACGATGAGAGTGACGACTCTTACTGGCAAGGTGATTCTGATGACAGTTCACTTTCTAGTGATGACGAAAAGTATGGTGGCAATCGGGCTAAAAATGTTTTCGAAAGAGATATCGACAAAACCAAAGGACCTGCTAAACGAAGAAGAAAACCCAAAGAAGGTAATTTAAATTTCTCTTCCCTTTGATATTCAATTTAATCAAGGATCAATTTAAATTTTCCAAATTTTTCTTACCAATTCTCAGGTGATAATCGTAAACAGCGTATGTATGGAGATGAAGAGGAACAAGATGAGGGAAGATGGAAAGAGGTATCAAGAGGTGGTATTCTAGGTGAGAAGCCGAAAATGTTCAGTAAAGATGAGGAAGTAAATCATCAATCAGTTATCAAGAAATTACTTGAAATTCTTGCCATGAGAGGTAAAAAAAGGATCCATCGTAGTGATCAGATTGAAATGCTTGTTGAATTACTGGAAATTTGTGCTTTCCATAAATTGGGCCCTGCAATGGACACTAAAATTATCCTCGGTATTATCGCTGCTCTCTTTGAATACAATCCCAATGTCTCACCTTGTATGAAGTCGGAAAATTGGCAGAAATGTCTTAAATTTGCCAATGCATTGTTCGATATTCTATTAGAGAATCCAGAGATTGTTGTTAGTGAAAATATCGCTGAAGAATCTGAAAGTTTCTCTCTTCCCTCTTACCGTGTTCATGGATGTGCACTAACCCTTGTTGAAAAAATGGACGAAGAATTTACCAAACTTCTTCAAGCGGTTGATCCTCATTCACCTGATTATATTGAAAGGTTAAAAGATGAGAAAAATATTTGCACAATCATTGAGAGACTTCAAACTTACCTTGAAGCCCATCAGAAAGGTACATCTTCTGAATTGTGTCGAGCCTACATTTTGAGAATTGATCATCTTTACTTTAAATTTGATCCACTTGTATTCAAAAAGCGAGAGCAAATCCAAGCTAAACAGAAGAATGGAAATCTTGTCAATGGTGATTCTGATTCTGAAGTTAAACAAGAAGAAGAAGAGAAAAAAGAAACTGCTCCTGGTGAAACAGAAGAGATTAAACCTGAAGAAGCTGAAATTGGAGAGACAAGTCTTGAAGTTATTGATCGACTTTGCAAATTTATCTACGCTAAAGATACAACCGATAGGTTGAGAACTCAGGCAATTTTATGTCACATCTATCATCATGCTCTTCATGACAATTGGTTTGAAGCTCGTGATCTTATGCTTATGTCTCAACTTCAGCATAATATTCAAAAAGCCGATATACCTTTACAAATCATTTACAATCGAGCCTTAGTTCAACTTGGATTATGTGCATTTCGACATGGTAACATCCGAGATGCTCATCAAGACCTATTGGATATTCAATTTTTCGGACGTGCCAAAGAACTGTTGGCCCAAGGGTTATTACCCAAACCGCAAGAGCGAACTCCCGAACAAGAGAAAATGGAGAAACGTCGATTGTTACCATTCCATAAGCACATTAACTTAGAGTTAATTGAATGTGTCTATTTGGTTTCAGCGATGCTTTTGGAAATACCCGATGTGGCTGCGAATGAATTTAGTGTACGAAAAAAGGTCATCTCTCGTTCGTTTTACAATCAATTGAGGAAAAATGAAGAGCAACCATTAGTTGGTTTACCTGAGTCAATGAGAGAGCACGTTGTTGCTGCTTCAAAGGCAATGAGAGTTGGTAATTGGAAAGCATGTAGAGATTTTATCATCAATGATAAAATGAACACCAAAGTTTGGAATCTATTCTATCAGGCTGATAAAGTACGAAACATGTTGGTCCAAAAGATTCGAGAGGAATCTCTTCGTGCTTATTTATTCACCTACAGCCATGTTTACGATGTCATCTCGCTGTCAACTCTCAGTGAAATGTTTGACCTGGAAACAAACATCGTCCATAGTATTATTTCAAAAATGATAATCAATGAAGAATTGATGGTTAGTTACACTTTAAAGCGATTAATTATGTTCCATATTTTCTCACAATATTCTAAACAAAACTTTTTTTTTCTCTCTTGTATTTTTGTTTACCCTTTTTTCAGGCTTCTCTTGATGAACCTACTCAAACCCTGATCATGCATCGTACTGAACCCTCACGAACTCAAGGATTAGCTTTACAATTGGCTGACAAGGTAACCAATTTGGTTGATCAAAATGAAAGACTTTGGGACTTTAAATCAACCGGATCATTTGGACAACAACAACGAACTGGTTATCAGAATCGTAATCAAGAACATCAGAACAAGAATTACCAAGAATACGGTCAAAGACAAGAGCGAAATAGAGACAATAGAAGATCAAATTATCACCGAAACAACAACAATAACAATAATAACTCTAATTCTAATAATAATAGAGAAAACAGTAAAAACCACCACAATAGCCACCATAATAACCACCACCATAACCACAACAATAATAGTAACAACAATTGATTTCAATCGATAATTAATCAAACAAAAAAAAACTGGATAAACATTCAAACTTAACGTAAATCAATTTCAGCCAACACAATTAACTATCTAAACAAATCTTTCTGGGAAAAAATGACTTTCGCATTAAAATTTTCCAATTGCTGTTTTTTTCTTAAAAACAATCATATAATTTTGTCTCGCTTTTTTCATCGCAATTAATTAATTACAATTTCGAGTCTTCAAATGTTGATACTCGATGATTTCTCTCAATCAGCTGTTCCAATGAGAGAGTCAATGATTGGATCACATGTTAGAGTCTCTCAAACACATGGACCCTTTTTCTTAGTGATTTTGTTTATTTGTTTCTCTTTTTTTAATTGTTTAGATTTTTTATTATCGAGAGTTGATTTTCCTCATTTAATTTTGGAAACAATTAAATGAAAGTTAATTGTTATTTCGGACTACGAATTGAACTAATTATGGGCTTTACTTTTCCATAGAGTTGATTACATTTATCTAAGATTAATTGTCTCATTGTAATTATATTATTTTCTCGTTTATGTTGAACCTTAATTGGTGTTAATTGTGATTTTGCTATTAACTATGATTAGTAAATCATTGGCCCCAACAGTTAAAGGAATTTTCCCTTTCTTTAAAGAGCCTGGAATCAACAATTATACGATAATTAAATGGGTTAAACTTCACATTACTTATGGTGAGATTTATTTGATTATTTCACGAATTTAGATTAAATTGTTATCCACAAATTAACTTAATCCAATTTCTAATTATCTTGTTGATTGTTATTTAGAATGCGTAATGAATAATCAATGGTACAATCCCTATGTTGATATTTATCGAGCCCTGGAGCCATTTGCATCCGGAGTTTTAGGTAAGTCAACAATTAGAGTCCTAATTGTTACAATTAAAGTCTCTCTTTGATCAGAATATTGTTGTTGCCTTGTTGACAATTAACTAATAATATACTTGATTCTTTTTCCATTTATTAGCAATCGCTATCGGTAAACCATCTCTATATATGAAATATTTAAAATTCTGTGATTCTAATTACACTCTTGATCTGCGAATGGGACAATCAACGATTACCGATTATTTTGAAAGTCCAACAATTGACAGTAAACCTTTTGATCATATTAAACTGGAGGATGTGGAAAAAGTGGCCCGATCATTTATTGGACCTCAAATTCAAGCACTGCCAAAAGCCCGTTTCCTACGTCCACTAGGAATTTATTACGGAGACTATGATCAATCTAATGACGAAGAAATTAAATCATGGGATCAATTCTTACATATTAACAATCAGATGAGATTTGTAGCCGGTGATCGTCAACACCATCGAAAAGTAACCTGCCACTCGATCGAAGTAATCAAATTTAATCCGCCTGATTTAACGTTACAATTAAGTTGTGATGTTCCGTTTTCGGTGAGATCATTTGCCGAAAAGTTTTTCACCGAATTGGACACTTGCGGATCGTTCACTCGAATACTTCGAACCAAGGAAGGTCCATTTACCCTTGACCAGTGTATCGATCGGACAGATTTGTACCTAAAGTACTTGATGCCCGCTTTACGGAAACACACTGAACCATTTATCGACCACGTTAGGCCACATTTGGATAAATTACCTTTTCATGACGATGTGCGAATGGGTAAACAACGATAATTAATTGCAATCGAAATTGTTTCAATTGATTAACTTTCCATCTAAATGTATATGAACAATTTTATGAAACAAACAATTAGTTTTATTATTATCATTGATGAAGAGTTAATTTTCCGCAACTCTTTCAATTAAATTAATCTCCTTTTCTGAGTTTAAATTGTTACCTGAAAGGTAAACATGATTTCAAACTAATTTTCATTGCAATTAGTGATGAATTAACTAAAGTAATCCTTTGATGAATATCAATTGTAGTTGTTAATATTTGTTACAAAAGGAAATAAATTTTGCTCAATGATTAAACATAATAATGAAATTTATACACAACAATTACAATAGTTAATTGAATGAAAAGTTAATATGGTACAAAATATAATACAAAAGCAAATGAATTAAATTGATAGTAAATAGTTATTACATCAATTTAGTAATTGTCTAATTTTAGGGTGTTGTACATTAATTGTTGTCGATATGAATGATATTAATCAATGGAAACACATTGAAAACATTTCAAAAATGGCAAGATGAGATCGTTGGGTCAACAATTAGTGTAATTACCTTTAGCTAAATTTGTTTACAAGTTAATTTGCTAATCATCATCATAAAGAATTAGGTAAAGGTAATTTATCTTCCAGTATATCGTTAAAATTGATTGAATTGTTTTCGATAGATTGAGAGTTTAAATCAATCGGTTTGTAGCCTAATTGTTGGAAAACAGTTGAACATTTATCTTGAATTTCATTGATTGTTGATCCATTTAAATCTTTCGTCCATTTGGCTATTACTTGTTTAGAGCTTCGTCGAATTGAATATGGATCAATGGTTCGATTATCGGGTAATTCGGCCTCAGTATTGATTCGTAGGAAGCGACGAACGGCCGATGTGAAAGGTAATCCAAGAGAAGTGAATAAACTTTTCCCTACTCCATAAGGATCAAGGGAAAGATCCTCGTGTCGAATGGCAATGATTTTATCTCCATAAGTGTCGACCAAACGTCGATAGGCAACCAGGTCAGAATTATAATCGTCACACATTAAATTGTAATCGCCACAAGGTGTTTTGGTGCACCATTCAAGTTTAGAACGGGAATTGTGTACAGCACGAGGATCACGAACTAGATAGACGACTTTAAGGTCAATTGACTTAGGTAAAGATTGTAAAAGTTTTTCCGTTGACTCGAGACTTAACCGGGTCACTTTGATTACACGATATTTGGTTCGCAGGCAAAGTTGACTTATAAAATCGGGATCATAGCACCAATAGCGATGAATATTACAAAGGCTCCACAGAAAACGATTCCAAGTTAAAAGAAATTTATTCTCTTCTTTTCTGATCCAATTAACATAACCTGGTTCAGAGGTGAAAGTGCAAGAGTAAATGTTTGATAGTAAAGAGAGAGCAGCGTTTTCTTGATCACTTTGAATTTTATAGTTGATTTGAAACAAGTGTAAAGGCTCAAAGGAGTAAAATGTTTTCCAATTTTGCTGTAAAAGGTCACCAATGAACGATGAACCCGCACGGAAATGTGAGACCAATAGAATGTAACGAATAGGTGATGAGGCCGAGGAACCATTGATTATCGGGAAACTTGCCAGTGGGTCAAAGGTACGGAAAAAAGCTCGACGATTGAGTTTATCAAGCCAACCAGATGAGTTACGACGATGATCACGAGTCGATAAAACTTTCAACAGCATTTCAATTGATGAGAGTTTATGGTACGATGATAGACGCGAACGATGTTTGGGTCTTTTGCGCTTCTTATGGTTCGATCGAACTTCATCTTCGAGACTTTTTAGTACATCATAATTCTCGGTATTCAGGTAAATCTTAAAGTTACTCGTTCGATTGGCGAGAAGATTTTTTATCCTTACAAGATTAGTCTCGACATCGATTTCTGTTCAAAGTAAAGAAACGAAAAAACTTCCAAGTTAATCAATCGATTAAACAAAAATTAATACAATTAATTGTGAGTTAATGATTACCATTAGAGTTTACATTTCGTGGCGTTAACATTAAATTACTGAATCTTGACCAATCCCATGTTTGATTTAGTCCATTTTGTAAAATGACCATAACCATGCTACAGATTATGAATACGATGAAAAGTTGAAGTTTCTGCATGATTTTTTGCCGATTGTAACAGCAATTAGATGATTATTAAAGTAATTAATAGACGAATGAATAGTTTGTACGTTAATTGATTCGTTGATTCTCAAAGGAGTATAAAAGTTTGCCATTCTTTGACCATATTAATGGTTTGGTTAAAGTATCTCAATCAAGGTGAGAGGTCAAGCTCCAAGATTGACCATCAGCTCATATTGATTATCTTGGACAATTATTTGATCAGTTTGCTTCATCTCGTTCAATACAAATCAAAGTAAAATAATCAACATTAACTAAGAAGGAAAAAAAATTAGAGAAATGAATCAATAATTAGTAATACTAATATTTACTTGTAATGAATGTAAGGATGAGGATGCTGAGAAAAGGGGGAAAAGAGGAACCAGTAATAATTTGTTTTCTTTCATGATCTCAGCCCCGATAACAAGTTGGATCAGGTCAGTCTGGTTTTCCGTTGATTGGGTTATTAACAACAGTCTGAAAGTTAAATCATTTTGACTACGTGTCCAAAAGTTTAACTGACCATTTTACCCCAACAGAATCACAATTAATTTTTCTTTCATCAACTTTGATCATTAGTGAAAACTTTGTTAACCAAGTTAATTGTTTTGATTGGATAAAATATTTTCCTCTCATTTATAAGCATCAAAATGATTAAAACTATTGGTTATTATTTGGCTTTGGTTTTGGCCATTTTTTCAGTGTTATTTTTGTTTACCTGGTTAACAGTTTACGAATCGGTAACCTGGTTATTGTTAATCACGACACTTGTTTACCTTTCGATTAACATTGGAAATCTAATTTGGCCTGAGGTTCAAGTTATTCCAAAGGAAATGATCGATGCTAAAAACAAGGCCGTTCTAATTACTGGCTGTGATACCGGGTTCGGTAATAAATTAGCCCAGAGATTGGCTCATTATGGTTTCTATGTGTTTGCTGGTTGCCTTGAGCCTGAAGGTTCGGGTGCTAATCAATTGCGAAAAAATTGTCGAAACAATGTCAAAGTGTTGAAATTAGATGTAACAAGCGATGAAGATGTTAAATCAGCGATTAAGATTGTCGAAGATGGTCTTAAGGGCCGTTCTTTATGGGCTATCGTTAATAACGCTGGTATTTTAATCTCAACGGAAATTGAAATGGGAGATATGACTAGTTTCACTAAGCAAATGGAGGTTAATTGTTTGGGAACAATTCGGGTTACAAAAGGATTTGTACCATTGATCAGATCAAGTGGATCAATTGGTGGAAGGGTAATTAACGTTGGATCGATTGCTGGTAGACATTGTATTCCCGGTATGGTTGCTTATTCGGTTTCAAAGGCTGCGGTCATTTCATTTAGTGAAGGGCTAAGACGAGAATTGAAAAAATGGTCAATCGATGTGATCACAATTGAACCTCATTTGTTTAAAACAAATTTAACCAATGATCAGGTACAGAAAAAATGGTTAGACGAAGCATGGAAAGTTACACCTGATTCGGTAAAACTGGACTATGGTCAAGATTATCTTGAAGGTTATCAAAAGTTCTTGAACATTATTCTTGATTCAGCTCGACCTCAGGTTGAAGCGGTTGTTGATACAATGGTCATTGCGGTCACTCATTCATTTGTATCACCAGCTTACAGGGTTATGGGTCATTTGGAAAGGATAAGAGTTGCTCTCTATGATTATCTACCTGTACGATTACTTGACCTGATATCTCATCATTTGGCAACAATTTACACAGGTAAACCAGCATTGGGTAAACCAGATAAACAAAAATAAAGTGACCATCATGTCAATGGTAATCTGATGACCATCAACGTTGTAAACAAAGAGATAAATTAACTTACCCAATAAGATTGTTTCTCGTGTTTCTTTTTCCCATCAAATGATTAATTGATTGATTGTGAGCAATTAAAAATTTCTATCAATAGAATTGGACAATTAAAGAGAAAACAATTAAAATTAAGCAAAAACAAAGGTACATTTCAATGAGAAATTGAAAGAAGGTCAAGTTGATAGGTTAACCTAATATTCAGATCGTTTGGTTTATGTTGTTCAATTGAGTTTATGTGTGTTGATCTATTGATTAGAATTAGAATCAGGATCAATATTCTATTGGGATTAATGGTAATTATTGGAAAATGATTAATAATTTAAATCGGTAATGGAAATTGAGATGGTCAAGATTTGAGAAGAGAATGGACCAAGCCCATTAGGAGAAAGTTTTGTCAAGTTATAGAGAGAAAGAAAAGAAAACTAGAGATGAGAATTGAATTTTCTCTTACCTGATTAACACAATTTAGAATATTGATTGACCAAAACAATTAATTAGAAAGAACAATTAACAAGTGAAAGAATTGATGATGAAAAGATAATTAATAAAAAGATGGAGTAACAAGTGTAATTAGAGAAAAGTGAAAATTTTAAATTCTATCCAAATATTAGATTGAGAAGATTATGAGAAACCATTTAATTGATTATAATCTAAACACAATCAATTGTAGAGAATCACAATATAATTAAATTGTTAATGATGGTTAACAACAATTAAAAGAAAAGGTAAAACAAGGACAATGAACAAATAAAAGAGTGGAAAATGTTTACAGACAAAAAGGTAAACAAACAAGAAAAAAAAGTGAACACTTTTTAGTAAGAAAACTGAAAGTTACCTTTATGTTAATAAGTTAATTAGAATTGTTGATGAGATGATGATGAGGATGATTACGAATTATATTAGTTGGGTGAACATTTTTGTTTAAATTGTTGTTCATTTGGATGATTTAGATTGGAGAATGGACAAAGTTTCTATGAAGAAATACAAAAGGAGAATCACCAGAAGCAACGACACAAACTGATCGCCTAAGGGCAAGTTTCACTTTCAAAGAAGAAGAAGAAAAAAATTCAATCGGTTGAAAGGGATGAAGATTATTCCAATGATGATGATGAGGATGATGATGATGGTCTTGCTTAGCAAGTTACTGATGGCGAAATGAATTTATCATGAAAATAACAACAGAAAAGCAAACAAAACTTACAGGGTGTTAGTTGGTTCGAGCTTTTCTTTTGAGAATAAAATTAAAACCAATCATCCGATTGTTGTTTAATTTAATCAGCAATTGATGATTAAATATTGTCAAGTCAATTAGTTAATTGTTTAAACTTTTCTGATACAATTTTCGCTGAAAAAATGAAATTTAAACTTAAAAGATTCTCATTTAGTTGATAACTAATTCACTTGGAGTAGTTACGAATTTGAGTTTCTTGAGCAATTTACAAATTGTTCTGGAATCGGTTTAATCATAGTTTCGATCTGAAATTCATCAGGATAAAGTTATCGTTATCGAAATCGCCAAAAAATGAACTAATCACCCTGTAATCATGATGAGAATGGGAAATAATAATGATAACGTTGCAACAAGAATGAAATTTTGACCGGACTAAGTTAAATCCGGTTTTCTGTTTATTATCATTATGATTATAACTTTTTTTTACATTTATGATGATTAGTTTTGATTATCTGATGTTAACTATTAACAATTTAGTTAAATTTATTTCCATCATCATTACCATTCATTAAATAATTCAGCCAATGTTAGTGTTTGATTTGGTTGTGCTTAATTTTTGCAACAATTTTAATTTCTTCTCATATTATTGATGGTAAAAGGGTTAAATTGTTTAATTTAATTACATCTCTTTAGATTTTAGTTAATTATAATAAACACTTTTCATTTCAATAGTTACAATTTAAGGTTAGATTTTGATTATTGTGTCTTTTTGTTTAAATTGGTTATAAACATTAACATGAGTCCACCATTTTCCAATAGAAACTATTGATTAAAAGTTTTGGTTTTCCATTAGCAATTAAGTTTGATTGTTTAACATTTTCGCTAATTGTAATTAACTTACCAAAAGAAAATGATATGAATCTAAAGTGTAAAGTCCTCCAAGACTGAATCCAATTCTGTGAATATTGATTCGTTCACAAGTTGATAAAAGCTAATGATTGAACAATTAACTAACTGATAGATCAACAATTTAATACTAACCTTTAATTGCGTCTTTAAATCCAGTTTACAATGTCTACCGATTTGATAGTTAACTTTTTGGCAAATTAAAGCCTATCATTTGTATGGGAGGGAAAAAGTTTCTCCAATTAATAGATTGTTGATTTGATTGTGGAAAATTGAATTTGATTACCTGGTTCGCTGTGAATGATGATAACATATTGATTATAACAATTGAATTAAATGACATACAACCAACTGCGAGAATAAAATAATCGAATAGGCCACTTCCCGTTCCAATGAAAAGACTGACAAACATTGCGAAATTACCGGTACCCGTTACGATGATTATCCCGTAGCAGAAAACTTGACCCATTCCAATGGTCATCTGATAGATAAAATTGTAAATTTTATTCTGTTGGACTAAATATTTGACCGATTGACCATTTTCATTGGTCTGATCTTTATCGACAATCAATTGTTTACCAAATAATTGATTAGATGCCAATGAAAAGGTGACAAAAGTGATTATCATTGAGATGTGAATGTACAACCAGATTGTCGGGTAAGCGCCTAAGGTGAAAATGGTACAAGTGACAATCGTCCATAGACCAGTGGTCAGTAAACTGATTGTACTCGAAAAGTTGATCTGATTGGTGTAAAAGGCATAAATAATCCAGGTCGAAATTGCGAAACAAGTTATCGGTGTTACGATGAGATAAAACTGTCCAAAAATATAGAAAATTTTTCTCATACTCGAACAATGAGAAGGTGTTAATTTAAATTGTTCACAATTAATTGCCGAACTTTTTAATCGATAATAAAGTGTCAAGGGTTCAACTCTACCTTTTCTTTCAGTGTAAAAGCCGAAGTATCTTAGACCACAGGCCAATAATAGAAGCATATTGATCATCATTGTTTGGATATTATGAACCGATGAGCCGATGAACAGGTCACCCAGATACATTTGGACATTTGAGTTCGATACGAAGAGAACGACAAATCCTTTGGCGATGGTCAACAAGCCGACGAAATCAAGGGTCAGTCCGATAATGTAATGTTTCCGTGTTATCCGATTGACCTGTTGGTACCCACGAAAGGTACAGCACCAACGGAGTCCAGATTTTTCAATCAAATTAAGTAGTTGGACAATTAATATTGGTGTTGATCTAATTGCTAACCACCGATGGATAATTGATTCGGTCCGGTCAAATTCACGATATTTTTGATTGGTCATATTGTATTTTCCATTAATCATAAATAACAATTAAAAGTTCTATATTGTAATCAACACCACAAACTTTAATTAGCAGAGAAAAGTGTATTTAAATTTACATAGTTAACGAAGTTATTGTAATTCATTAATTGTAATTGTCTTTTGGAAATGTTCAACATTTCATTTTTTGATTTCTGCTCAGGATCAATCACTGATCTTTATGATTAATCACGCAATTGATTCATTAATTTAACGATTAACTTAATCAACTTTGACTTTGTCAAAAATTCAACTTCCCTTTTTATATTATTATTACTTTCGCAATAATCAAGTTCACTATTAATGATTGTGAACAATTAATGTTCATCGTAATCAAGAAAAAAAGATACATTGTTTTACCATTGAAAATAAAAGACAAAAATCAATTTCTATCAAAGATTAATTAAAGAACAATTATTTATAAGATGATTAATCAAATCAAATATCTGAACGGAAATTTGATTAGACTTAAAGTTTAGTTCGTTGATCACAATTGAATCAAGAGATTTAATCAATAATCTTTATAGATGTGATTATTTAATCAACTGATTGTCTTGGAATCGAGGTAATAAGTTTTCATTTAAAGAAATCAAATGAAATTGTGAAACTTTTTCGACTCCTACAATTAACAATTAAATTAAATATAAATTAATTTTCTACGAGTTTTTCATCATGTTTTCAAGATTTCAATTATCTTAAATTGTTGGAATGCAACTGATTAGTGAGTTGATTCATTGCGAATCAAATTTAATGTCTGGAATCATTAGAAAAGTTAATTTAACTTGATTTAGTTTTTTTTAACAGCATTTGAAAATCAATCAACAATCAATTTAGATTTGATTTCTTTTTTTATTGTTATTTACACTTATGTTATTGGATAAGTTGGTTTTTGTGTAGATCGATGCAATTAATTTAGTTGTACAAATTACAGATTAATTGCTGTAATTTTGATGCTACAGAAAAATAAGCATACAAAATTGGTAGTTGATTGATTGATCGATTAAATGATGAAACGAAAAAAAAAATTTGATGAAATTTGCTTTGTTTTCGTTCATTATTTTAAAGCATGTGAGCCCATTTGATTTGGATCTTGAGATGGATAGTGAATCATTGGTACTTGGGATGATGATGATGTTGATGGAGCTGAAGATGAGGTTGAAGGAGTTGGAATAAGATAATCAGGTGATCCAATTGGTAATCCAGGAACGGGAGCAAGTTTTATTTTAGATTTTTCATTATCTCCTTCGCCCATGGTTCCTCGTTTGGCTTGAGCTTTACCCCAACGGATAACAAGTTTCTGTCCATTAATGATAAGTTTACCGAAAGATTTGTCAATAGCATATTCAGCAGCTTCTCGAGTTACATAGGTAACGAATGCACAATTTTGTTTCCTTAGAATAGCAATTGAACGGATCTCACCAAATTGATAAAAATGATCGCGTAAATTTTTCTCTGTCATAATTTCACCGACATTACCAAGATAAAGGGTTGTGATTGATTTATCTTCAGGTGGATGAGGTCGAGGCATTTCAGCGACCCTTTTTAACAGTTTCTCGGCCACTGGATCATTTTTACCAAAATAACGATCTTTAATATTCTGTTCTGATAGAGGATCTTCAGGGTCAGAGGGTTTCTCGTGTCTAAATGGACATTCATCTCCTCTTTTACATTCACCTTTAACCCAGAAAGAGCAAATATGAGGTCGATTCCTTTTGTAGTAAGGTGAATTACGAGCTAATTTTGCTAAAACATCACTTGGAGGTTGAGATTTATGAGGTCCCCAGGCTTCACTTGGATCTATATAATAATTGGAGGGATAAAACAATCACAGGTTAAAGTATTTAAATGATGGCTTATTAAGGATGTTGGAGTTTATATATGTATTAAAAATGATATTTACCTGATTCACGAACTGCTGCATCTAAATTTTGGTTAAAATACTCTCGGTTTACCTCATTTTTAGGTATTTCTTGGTTTATATTCAAAACATTATCTCGTACCTGAACTGGAAGTCCATAGTTTAAGTCTAATAAACATGTTTGGCAGACATTTTTAGCTCGAGCACAGGTTTGACATACTTCGGTTTTCTTGTATCGCATTTTATGACCTGGACACCATCGGAAAACGGTAAATGGACGATTACAAATTTTACACTCAGAACCATATTGTTCTTTCATCATTCTCAAATAGGGATTATCACCACAGCAAGTTTCACATAAAATAGGAAATTCTGAATCTTCCCAAACTTGCCGATTGTAATGAGATGTACCTTTGGATAAGGCCATTTTTCGTAGTATTTAGAGTTATATAAAACAAAATCAATACACAATTTAAACCAAGAAAACCAAGTAAATGACCAAACAAAATAAACCGAAATTAAAATTTTACAACAAAAGAAATCCTCTTGTCAGCTGTTTGGTAAAGCTCACGATTTACACTTTAAGCTGTTTTTTTCGGCTCACGATCACAACCACAAATAACTATCCACTTAATTGTTCACTTGATTGTCATTGTTTAAATTAGTTTAGACATCAGTATTACACTATTAATAATTCACAATTGATAAAGGGCAGAGGGCCTGAGACTATCAAACCAACACAGAAATAGAGTAATTAAAGATGTCAACAGCTAATCAACCTTTTCTTACCTGTACGCTTTTATTTCATTGTTAATTGTTGACTAATTTGTTCCTGTTGTATTCAAAAGGTGTCACATAATTTAAGATTGTTGAGTTAATTGTCCATTTAATTGGAATAATTAATTTTCTGAAAGGCGTCAACCGAAAGGAGATCAGCTCGTTGAGCTCTACAAAGATTCGAATCCAAGAGAATTGGTATCGGGATCCAACCGGTTTTCAAGCTGTTCTTTTGTTGGAAAAATTAATTTTTCGGTTTATTTGAATTAGTCATTTAATTTGATTTTTTCTCATTCAATTGTGTCTGATTTTTTCTTATTACTCTATTATTAATTAGTTAATTAGTTGATTCTTTTCTTCAAACTGAACATGTTTGACTTTGCAAGGGAAACTTTTCTCAATTTACGTGACAATTATTGGAATCCACCAACACTTTTTTGGGCAATTTTCATCTTCTCATGGATCGTTTTTATTTGGGATACTTACATTGGATGGCGTCAGGTAATTAATTAACTAATTGACTTCAATGATCTTTTAATATCAATGTTAAATCGTTAATAATGTTGATCTAGTAATTACCTTCCATTTGGGTTAATTGTCTCTTTCTAATTCTATTGTCTTTAATGTCTCTAATGGTTTTGTGTTTTGATTTTCCTTTTTCTCTTCTTTATTATGTTTACAGTTTCGTATTGTATTGCGAACAACCAAAATGCCTGTGGAATTATCTGGAATCATGGATAGAGAAACATTTAACAACGCTAGAGCTTATAGTATTGATAGAACCAAATTTACTCTATATTATCATGCATGGAGTCAATCGTTTTCATCGGTAATTTATAATTTTTCCACTTATGATGAATCACTTTTTGTATTAATGCAACATAACATGTGCTCATATTTGACAGATTTGATTTAGAGTACAATTCAAATTGCCAATCATCTACTTGTGAACAATTGTTTCTCTTGTACATTGTTCATTAGGTGCAAACAAAGTAACAATCTATGAGCACTAGTTGTCGCAATTATTGATCATAGAGATGCAAAAAACGCCTTGAATTAGTTGATTAATTTTCGTTTGATTTTGCTGACTTTCTTTTTCATTAGATTATTTTACTCTATGATCTGATGCCACTTTTATGGAATTTTTCACTGACACTTATGGAACCTTTTGGTTTTGACAAATCTTATGAAATCACACGAACATTGGTGTTTGTAAATGTTGGAGCTTGTGTCTCAAAAATTATCGATCTTCCCTGGTCCTATTATTCAAACTTTGTTATCCAAGAGAAACACGGTTTTAACCGGCAAACCAAACCTTTTTACGCTAAAGATCAGGCCAAAAAGTTTATCGTCTCTCAAGCGATCACAAGTCTCATTTTACCAGCTATTATTTGGATTATACAAAAGGGTGATGATTATTTCTTCCTTTACCTATGGGGATTCTGTTCACTTATCGTACTCCTTATGATGACTGTTTATCCCGATTTTATTGCTCCTCTTTTCGACAAGTATATTCCTCTACCAGAAGGATCACTTCGAGAAAAGATCAACGTTATGGCACAAAGTCTTAAATTCCGTTAACCAAGTTTACATTGTCGAAGGATCTAAACGTTCATCTCATAGTAACGCTTATTTATATGGTTTCTATAAGAATAAGAGAATTGTTCTTTCGATACTCTCATGGAAAATCCTCCTAAAATGAGTGAATCAACCGAAGAGTTAACAAACGAGGATAAGGAAAATATACCAGAAGATGGACCATCAAATCAAGAACCAGCTAAAGTTTCAGCAACTGAAACTTTAAGTGAAGGAAACGGCGATTCACCAGCTGACATTTCACCTGATGAAGATGAAGGAAAAGATATAAAAGAAAAGAAGAAAAAAGGTTGCAATGATGACGAGATTTTAGCTGTTCTTGGTCATGAACTTGGTCATTGGAAACTTAACCATGTTTTCATTAATTTAATTATCGCCGAAGTCCAAATGTTATTAACTTTCATGATTTTCGGTTTCCTTTACAAAGATCCAGTAATTTATCGGGCTTTTGGCTTCAATGATCAACCAATTCTAATTGGACTCTTAGTGATAACTCAATACATTTTTGCTCCTTACAATGAGGTATTTAAATTGACTTTATCTTAGATAATCAAAGATTATTTTTATAATTTAAAACTAATTATCTGTCTGTTTCTGTTTTGCTCAATTCTTTCGTACAGATTGTTGGATTTTTGATGACTTGTCTTACTCGACGTAATGAATTTGGAGCTGATAATTTCGCAAAGAAAATGAACCGAGCATCTGATCTAAGAAGTGCCCTAATCAAGTTAGGAAACGATAATCTTGAATTCCCTGTATACGATTGGCTTTATTCAGCGACCAATCTCTCTCATCCACCTCTTCTTGAGAGACTTAAAGCACTTGGTAAAATCGATTGACTAAATGTTTGAGAAAAAGAAAGACAAACAAAAAGACCATGAAAGAAACAAAAGTATTCAAAATAACAAGAAAAGACTATTTCCTTTTCCTCTACAATTGCGATACTTTTATATAAAACAATTTTCAATTCAACACTCACATTACACACAAAAGGAATATGGATTAATGTCTCTTTCTCTCTGTCACCTCTCATTAACCGAGAAGTTAATCAACTTCCAGTTCAAAATTCATCACAACAAACATACTTACAATTTTATCGCTTTTTTATTCATCAAATCGCACTCTAAACAAGAAGACAATGAAGAAGAAAAAAAAAGGAGAAAAGAAAACAACTACATAAACAAAAATTCCAATTAAAACAAAAGAGCTTCAATTTCTCAAGCCTTGGAACAAGCGGAAAAAAATGGTCCACCCAACAATTAACTTGATTGAGTTTAAATCAAATCTTTGAAAAGGAAAGTGATGAAAAAAAAAACGATTCTCTTACAACAATTATAACTAAATTTGTATTGATACCAAAATAAATCAATTAAAAGTAAATAATCAACATCAAATTAAGATTATCAACTTGATTACCAAATTTCCATCCTAATTAAGTTTACTTAGAAATTGATTATATGTTGATGAGAGAAACAAGAAATTATTAATTAAGAGAAATTTGGTCACAATTAAGGTGATGATTTAATCTTGTTTTTAGGTTTTCCATTTTGTTTTTGGTTCAATTGATTAGCAATCAATTGATTAAATGATTAGAGACAATATTTTTGTTTGGTTTTCAATTTGTTTAAATTAAAATCATCAGTTGATTAATAATTGATTCTGTGGACGGTATTGACTTGATGCAAATCATAACCTACATCGTGCTTGATGAAGCCTCGAGAACAGTAGTTATAATTATAATAATAATAATAATTAAAATGAATTAATAATAATTATATAGTTGATGATACTCATAATCATCAACGTTGTCATCAACAATAAAGAAGTTGATTATGTTAAGTGAATTGTAAAAAAATTTGCTTGACATGGAGATTGAACAATTAAAATGGGATGAACATGAAATGATGACAGTTCAAGTAGTTTTCTCAATTGTTGATTATCATCATCATAATGGTGACAATTTGTTTGGGGAGGGGCAAAAGGGTAACATTTAAAATCAGGGTGAGTAGAGGGTAAACCAAGCAGGCAAATTGTTGAGAAGATCAATTTTTTTGTCTGATTGTGATTTTCATTTGAATTGAAACTATTCAGCTTTTTGTTTTCTTCTCATACTCAGTTTATCTGTTTAAATTGATTTGATTCTGTTTCATGATGATGAGTTGATAACGATAATCATGATGGTAAAGATGGTTAACGATGATAACTTTTGATTGTTGTCGATTTTGTTGATCGTTATCATCCACAATTAATCCGTTAATCGTTTAGATTCTCGAGTGAGTTTACTTTTTTGGGTGCGAATAGATTTTCACTTTTTCTTTTACATTCGGGATGATGATGATGATGAGAATTTGTTGTTTGTTTTGATTGCATTTTTTTCTGTTTAAATGTTCATTGAGACTCTGATCAGCGTGATTGTAATTGCCCTTTCACAATTTATCCATTTTTTTTTGGTTGATTTGAGTTATAATTTATTTCTAATGATTTTCAATCTCCTCGTCCGCTTTGCGGTCTAGATGCATGATTACTGGGCGATGAAGGTGGCCTTGGACCGCCTAAATTGCGAGTGAACAAAGCTCTCGTACGATTTGGACCACGAGATAAGTTTGACTTGTAGGCTCCATCTTTAATTGTGGCATTTTTACCTCCGCTGTTTGAAGGTGATGAAAGTAAATTACGTTCTCGGTCCATTTCCATTTCTTCAACTTTTTGGGTTAAAGTTAATTTCTGACCGATGGCCATTCGTAGGAGAGAGTTTAAGGTTTTCTTTTCGTCTTCGGATGATTTTAATTGTCGCTGGTATTCATCGATTTGGGCGACATACTCTTCACATCGGGCAGAGAACATTGACCTGAGAGAGGCAAAAGTGGCAGCATCTTCTTTTAACGCTTTCAATTCTTTCCTCAATTTTGTCATGGTTTTGGTTACCACGGCCTTTTCAGTTTCGTATTTAGATTTTAAATTGGCCAGGGCCACTTCGGCGGTCTGTTTATTGGCCTTGAGAACGGTTCGAAGGGTAGCGATCTGTTCTCTCTTTGTCGCCAAAAGAGCTTTTAATTTGATCAACTCTTCCGATGCATCACCAACCGAATAGGGTGAAGGTGATGAAGCAATTCCGGAAGAATTGGTGGAAAGGGAATGTTGTTGAGAGGCGGATGATGTATTATTATTTTCGGTGGTAATTTTGGTTCGAGCGGGTGTTTTCATTTCGATAATCAATTCAACTGCATTGTTCAAGTGTCTCATCTGATCGTCAATGGTATCCATTGTCTTACGACACTCGGAGGTGGCTAGAATTCCAGATTTCCAATTGGCTAAAAGTTTACGACTTCGTTCATCAGTTAAACGATCTTTAAGTCCTTCCGTTCGTAGGCTTAAAGGTGCTTCCGATTTATTTGCATGATCTAAAATAATTCGATATGGTTCTTCACCGCTAACGGAACAAATATGGTAATAAAGGGTGGCCAATTTTTCCGATATCCGGTTAAGATCTTCAACGGTTGCGATGGAACCGGAAGTTGTTTCATCGGCAAAATTGTTTAAAAGGTCAAGATCCGATGTAAGACTATCACGAATGAGTTCACATTCTTTTAATTGTCGTTTAATTTCATTGAGTTCATCTTCTCCTTCGGGACTTTCTTTTGATTTTCTTATTCTATCACACAATTGACCAATAAATTGTTTACATTCAGGGAATTCAGTTTCAAATGAATTAACCATCTCATTATTGCCTTCACTGTTAATTATATTGCTGATATGATTGGTTAACTTGGAAAGTCGTGACTGTTGAGCCAATAATTCAGCTTTCGTTGATTCCAATAGATTGTGAGTCTCACTGAGTTTAAGGGTAAGTTGATTTTTCTCGTTCTCAGCCAATTCTAAACCTTTTTCTAGCTTCTTGATTTCGGTTAGATGAACTTCACCGAAAAGAGATGAAGGTTGTGAGGTTGATCCATCATGGCCATAAGAATCGTGTTCAGATCCTTCACATGCATTCCTTGCATTTAACATATCAGATTCCAATTGGTGGAGTAAAGGTGAAGATCCTTCCTCGTCAAGTACCTCGCCGGCCGATGCATCAGCTGACACTTGACTCTCGAAAACAGCTAACCCTGGAAATCGAAGGCCAAAATTGGTCATGTTTAACATTGGATCACTGGTTAATCGTTCGTCTAGTTTTTTCTTTAGCTCGTATTTTTGTTCTCTCTCCGATTCTAATGCTTCCAATGCTTCTTTCATCTGCTTTTCGGCGATATTTTTCAAAGTTTCAAATTCTTCAACTTGAAGTCGTCTTAGTTCAATCTCTTCATGTAAACGTCGAACTTCGTGTTTAGCAGTCTCATAATCGATTTGATTCGATTTAAGATTAGAAACGGTCTTTTGTAAACTTATATTCTCATCTTCCAATTCATTCATGTCACTAGATAATCTTGATTCTCTCATTTTCAGTTCTTTTATCTCTATTCTCATGTTTTTCCTTTCCCATTCTGAGATTTCCAGCTGCTTGGATAGATCGCTATGCTCAGAGAGTAACCTTTCCTTTTCTGCTTCCACTCGAGCCAATTCCGAACGAACCAATTTCAATTCTCTTTCAAGCTCATGTAAAGCGGTCGCAAACTTGGCCTCCTTGGATGCAGATTCTTGAAGTAAACTCTCCTCTTGCTCGATCCCTCTGTCCGCTGATACCTTTTGACTTGTCTGAAATGAAGCGAAAGCATTTCGCAAGGCTTCCAATTCTGTTCGAGTTGCTTCGTGTAAAGATTCCAGTTCATCGTATCGCACTTGAAGTTTATCTTTTTCATCCAACAAATGAAGGCCCAACTCAGCAGATTGGTGTTTCTCTTTAGCTGAAAGGGTGAGTTCCTCTTGAAGCCTTTCAATCTCCTTTTTAAGGGCATCCCTTTCAGAAGATAATTTTTCCACCTCACTCATGGTAAAACCAGAAATAATTTATTACCTTTTCACAAGGAAAAGAGAGATAATTTCTCCTTCGTTTTCTTTTATCACCAGGTCATTATTTACACATAGAAAAACATCCCGAAGATGTTTAATTTTCTTCTCAATAGAAGGAAGAAGAAAAAAAAACAACACAAGTCAAAAAAAAAGGAAGAGGAATAGATGAGCTGATGAAGATGATGATGAGAAAATGATGTTGATTGTTTACTAATACGAATTATTAGTTAATATTGGTGCTAATAAATACTACAAATATTGAAAGTTAAACAGAAATTAACACAGATGATGATAAACAAGAGGGATGAGGAAATCGGAGAGAGAGAGAGAAATTATGAAAACAATCAACATATGAGGGAATTGAGGTGAATTGTTGAAAAATTTATGATGATGGAGAGATGAAGATGGGGATGAGGATGATGAGAGAGAAACAAGATTTAGTAATCGATTAGAATTGAGAATCATACAGACCAGAAAGAAAAAGATAAATAACAAAAGAAAAGAGACTAACAAGTAAGAGAAGGAGAAAGAGAAATTAGAAAAAAAATTTTCTTCTTCCACTTAGTTTACCTTTAGAACAATTTGATCACCAGGTGACTCTCATTCTAATTGTCATTGATTCTCATTTGATGATGTTGACAATTAATCTCAACATTTAAACAACTTTTTTCCTTTCTGTTAATTGTTTTATTGTTCTTTATGTTTCCCTTAAATTAGTTGATTGAGTATGGATTCCAGTGGAATAACATTGAGAAGCTCTTTGGTTAATCCGTTGATTAGAAAATGGATGTGCCAAGGATCAGTTGATTTTAATCCTTCTAATTTTATTCTTCCTCTTTTCATAATTAACAATGATGATCAAATTGAGGAAATTGCTTCCATGCCAGAGGTTAATCGGTATGGGGTTAATCGAGCAATTGAATATTTAACTGGTCTGGTTGATAAAGGACTTACTTCAATACTGTTGTTTCCTGTTGTCTCTTGTAAATCTGTTGATAATTCAATTGATCCAAATGTTAATCCGGTTCTTCGTTTAATTCCTTTGATTAGGGAAAATTTTCCAAATCTTTATGTTATTGTTGATGTTTGTCTTTGTGGTTTCTCTCTTGATGGACATTGTTATCAAACTAGTGATCAAACTACTGGAATTAAAGATAATCAATTAACTCTAAAGGCTTTAGCTGATTTATCTATCGCCTATGCGAAGGTTGGTTGTCACATGGTCGCTCCAAGTGATATGAATGATAATCGGATTGGAGTAATTAGATCAGCACTTAATTCATCTTCTTTTCCCGATGTGAGTATCATGTCTTATTCTGCTAAATTTGCTTCCAATTTCTATGGGCCATTTAGAGATGCAGCCGGAAGTGCACCTAAACATGGAGATCGTAAACAGTATCAATTAACATGCGGATCTTCTGGATTAGCAATGAGAGCAATTGAGAGAGACATTAACGAGGGAGCAGATATAATTATGGTTAAACCAGGGTTACCTTATTTAGATATTATCTCAGAGGCTAAGAGGCGATTTCCTGATGTTCCAAGGGCAGTTTATCATGTTTCAGGGGAATATTCAATGTTGTATCAGGCTGGAGTTTCGGGTTGTCTTGATTTGGATCGATCGCTTTGGGAAATTCTGATCAGCTTCAAAAGAGCCGGAGCGGAGATGATAATTACTTATTTTACACCCAAAATTCTTGATATGATTAATAATAATATTCCAATGTAATTGTAAGAGAAAAGGACACAATTTGTATACTTAAATCTATTTCATGGGCTAAGAATTTTAAACAAAAAATTAGTAATAAAAATGTAATTATGAGCAATTGAATATCGCGAATTCAATCAACGATTAATCAAGTTAGAATTTAGTTTTTTTTTTAGTTTTTCCTTGGATTTAATTTATTTCCAAAACTTATTTTTTTACTGAGTCAACCATCAAAACTTCATTTTATGAGGATACATGTTATTACGAAGGCAGAAATATGAACCGAGATAGCCAAACATTAGCTTCTTTTCAGGATGTTTACGAATAGCTTCAATTATTTGTTTGTCAACTTCAACTTGATCTTTACGGTGTTGAAGGTTTGGTTTATAATCGGCAGATTTAGTCTCGAAAATGTTACCTGCACCTTTCTTTCCCTTAGCCTTTTGTCGAGCAAATTTACGACTTTTGAAATATTTATCATTAATATGTTCAGGTATTTTGACGCCAGAAACATCCACTCTAGTGCTAGTAACGATGGTAAATCTTTGATGCATTCTCCTTAAAGGACATCCATTGATTTTGTGTGGTCCAGTTATCATTAGCATACCACTAGGAAGAGTTTTCAAAACTACTACTCTTTTACCCTTGTGACGACCAGCTAAAAGGATGACAACACGACCTGGTGAAATACCTGAACAAATGAGACAAGAAAAAAAAAGAAAGATAAGCATCAAGAAAAAACAAGATGAGAAAAAGAAAATATTAACATACCCTTTTTAAAGGTCTTTTTGTGCATTTTGAAAGTGATTTTTCCTGTCTTTCGCTTTCTTGGTTTATCCTCAGTTGGATAGTATCTTTGCTCTTTCTTAACTCTGACCAAACGTTTGCCTCCATTCTTTTCACCTCCAATTTTTTTCACAACAAAATTAGGCTTCTTCTTGACTAAAGTACTTGGAAGAACACCTTTCTTTGCAGCCATTCGCTTGATTTTAGCCCACAATGGTCGAGTAACTTTATGACTTGTCAATTTACGAACTAATTTAAGAGTTTTTCCAGTCATAGGTGGTTTTTTACCAGTGGATTTCTTCTCCTTAGTGGCTTTGACAACTTTTTTAGCAGCAGCAGCAGCAGGAGCAGCCGCCTGTTTGGGAAGCTTCGTTTTAGTTTCAACCATCTACAAGATAACAAAAAGAGAAAATGATTAAACAAATTGACTGAAACAATTAAAACAAAAAGTAAAATTAAATCACAAATAAAAATCAAGTCAACAATTAACAATACACGTTGAAGAAAACCACTATCACGCTCGCAAGAAAAAAGGATACATAGAGAAAAAAGAAAACCGGTCACCACCACAAACTCACTTTTGGTCAATCAATAAATAACCAAATTCCAAATTTACTTGAAAAACAATAAGAACTAATAACAGGACAACACTTTAAACTATTAATTAATTAACAATAAACTTAATTGTTGATTAATTTAGACAATTAAACAATCAACTTACCTTAAATTAAAATTCAACACAAAAACAACTAAAATTTAGACGGAAACAGGAAACGTTGAAATCTTGTCTTCTCTCAGCGAGTAACTGGCGACATCTGGGAGAATAGTTTCGGTTGCCAATGGCAACGGCGAAAAGCACTAATTTTGTTTTCTTTTTTTCCAATGTGATTATTGTTATTAAATTTTCTCTATAATTTATATGGTTAATTATTTTCTCCAATTCTTTCAGTATTTTCATTATTCTTTTTTTTTTGATCATTTGTTTATTGTCTTTTTGTTCTTTCTCTTTTTTTCTAGCTTGTTAATAATCGATGATTACGTTGACTGGTTTTGTTTACCATGAAGAAAGGCCTGTCTTTTTGTGCCCCTTGTACCATCCATGTGTTGATGAATGGGAAGAGAAATCAAATATAAACAAATCGGGTTGGATTTCATTGTTACCCAATTCATCATATATTTCATCAGCAGCCTCTTGTCATTTATCTAATACTTCACCATCATTCTCACCTTTACAATCTTCAAAGGAAAAAAGCATCAACAGCCCAACATCATCACAATCATTATCACCATCATCATCATCGTCATCGTTTTCATCGTCGTCATTGTCATCATCAGGATCGTCTTGTTCATCATCATTTACATCGGTTTCAAAGAAAACACCAACATGTTCACCTTCATCTTCTTCTTTGACAATTTACTCTCATCCCAATGGATCTGGAATTCATTTTAGATTTGAAGTTGATAGATGGTCATTGGTTAAATATAATCTTACCCTTAACCAATTAACCTTTGTTTTCAAAGAGATCTGGCGAAGTAAAAACTTTCGAAAATCAATTGTTCGAAAAGAATTGATACCAAAAGAATGCCGTCGTTCGATACGCACTTTAATCTATAGAGGAGCTAATATAGATTTATTTGTTCGGTTTAAAACCGATGATTGTCAATCAACTTCTATCGATTGGCCTGGGTTAGTAATATTTATCTCTGGAAAATTGATTCTATTTTATTAATGTTAACCTCTCAATCTTTTAGCAATTACTTATTTCTGGCCTTGGTTTCGACTAAATTAAAAATTGAAGAAACATTATCCATCTTATCGACTCTTGGTGGAGCATATTCATCTCTTGGAGAACATTATTTGCATTTTGTAATATCGATTATTTTTTCTTTTCATGTTCAAATTTATTGTTGTAAACTAACTTGACATTTTCTATTCTCCCCTTTTTCTTTTGCTTACAATCATTAGGCTATCAAAGCGGGTGAAACATCAATCAAACAAATTGGATTGGCTTGTATTACCGCTGATCCAACTATTATCGCTCGTTGTTCAATCTACATGGTCTACAGTTTATGTCAACGAGGTCTTCGTAAACGAGCTCGTCATCTCATGGTCACCTTTATCTATCCATATATTACCAAAATGATTATTAAGAAAACCTGTGATAATATTGTTCGCAATATGTACAAAGCGGCTAAATTTAGAGTTGAACATTATTATAATTGAAATTGATTGTATCCAAAAAAATCAACTCGAAAAATTTTTGCTTCTTTATGGTCCAAAAGTAACTGTACAAGTTTCACACTATATTATTGACAAAAATTTCAACATCCAATCAATTCTCATCCAAGCAAATGGTTTTCAAATCAAATCAATCAAATTTGAAAACCAACCTGAACATGATTAATACCATAAGTAGACCATAATCATCTTTCAGTGTCATTTAAAAATTAAAACATCAACAGTAGAGAAAATCAACAAAATCAAAGTAATCGATTAGAAAAAGAAAATTGATCGAAAAAACAATCTCTTCTCACTGTTATCCGAACACCTTATTGTTAATCGAATATTTTCAGGTTTACTTTATATCTAATTAAGTGTAAACAAATGATCTTGTTATTTTATACATTTAACAATTAATAAAAATGAACAAAAAATCACAATTAACAATTTTAACTATGAGGATCATTAAAATTCCACTAGATGGCAGCAGTTTCGATATTCGATGTTTTGGTTCTGTGGGAGGAGTCGAATTTCTCCTCCCCCTTAGTAACTAGAATACAAAATGTTTTCTTTTCGCCCAAAGGCAAATAAATTATCTTTTTTGTTTTTGTTGTTTCTCTTTTATTAATAATTATCTGGATTTATTGATAATCATTAATAAACTTTTATTTTCTCTTTTTCTCATTTTTGCTGTCTCATTGTGAGTACCTTGTAGGTTATATCTTGATTATCCTAATGGTGGACAATGAAACGGTTTCTGGTGCTGCTCTTCAAGCAGTTGAATTGGAAGTTGGTTCTGGTTCACCTCATTTAGCTTTAAATAAGCCATTTGATCCTGAAGAACATAATTTAGATCCATCTTTTCGGTTGACTAAATTAACCGAATTAAAAGGATGCGGATGTAAAGTTCCTCAGGAAACATTGAGGAAACTTCTTGAGGGACTTGTAGATGACCAGCGTAACTCACCATCATCATCTTATTATGCTGGTCAACAGTTGGGCCTTCCAAGAATAGGTAATTAACTTTGATTTAACACTCTCTCTCATTGTTTAGCTCAATTTATATATTTATAATTGATAACAGGTATTGGTATGGATAGCAGTGTAACTCCTATTAGGCATGGAAGCTTATTATTAGTTCAAACAACCGATTTTTTCTATCCCTTGGTTGATGATCCTTATGTCATGGGGAAAATAGCTTGTGCCAATGTTCTAAGTGATCTGTATGCCATGGGAGTCACCGAATGTGATAATATGCTTATGATATTAGGAGTTAGTCAACAGATGAATGACAAAGAACGAGATACTGTTGTACCTATCATGATGAAAGGATTTAGGGTAACATCAATTGGATTACATTTAATGATGAAAAGACAATAATTTTTTTTTCATTTCTATTATTTTCACTTCTCAGGATTGTGCCTACGAAGCTGGTACCAATGTTACTGGAGGACAAACAGTTAAAAATCCTTGGTTAACTATCGGTGGTGTTGCAACAAGTGTCTGTCAACCAAATGAATATCTCATGTAATTGTTGATCATTTTTTATTCTTCCATATTTCAAATGATTATATAATCTCTGTATCAATTTTATATTCTATTTGTTATCCAGTCCAGATAGTGCTGTTATTGGAGACGTTCTGGTTCTCACTAAACCTTTAGGAATTCAAGTTGCTGTCAATGCATATCAATGGTTAGATAATCCTGATCAATGGAACAAAATTAAATTAGTTGTCTCTGATGAAGATGTACGAAAAGCTTATCTCAGAGCAATGGATAGTATGAGTAGATTGAATCGTGTGGGTTAGTATTTATCGAATTACAATCAACAGCCAAGTAATTGGACTAAATTTTATTCAATAACTTTCAAATGGAGAAAACTCTTTTGAACTGTCAGTTAAAGTCAAGGGTGACAATTCTCAAGTACGTGGGCTTATAACTCCGAAAAGGATTGACAATCTAAGATTTTGAAATGATTAAGAATTGAGAAAAATAATCTGATAAACTCAGAATTGATTGAAAAACAAAATGATGTCTTGATGACTGAAAAGTTTTGAGATCTTCATTTAATGTTTACTTGGTACTACTGATACATCAGTGGAGGTTAATTTTGACTAAAAAGTATCGATTGGGCAATTAGCTCATTCTGTACGTATAAACTAATTCTACATGAGTCCCACTATTTGGTTGTTGGTTGTAAATTAACAAACATCATCAAATTGTCCATTATTAACAATCTTTTTCTCAAAACACTTTAGCTGCTCGATTGATGCATAAATATAATGCTCATGGAGCAACTGATGTCACTGGATTCGGAATTCTTGGCCATGCTTCTAATTTAGCTAAAAATCAAAAGAATGAAGTTTCATTTGTTATACACAATTTACCGGTCATATCAAAAATGGCCTCTGTCGATAAAGCTTGTGGTTCAAGGTTTCGATTGATGCAAGGCTATTGTGCCGAAACCTCTGGAGGTCTTTTGATTTGTTTACCAAGGGAACAAGCAACGGCCTTTTGTAAAGATATCGAGAAACAAGAAGGATATCAAGCTTGGATTATTGGAATTGTTGAAAAAGGAAATCGAACGGCTCGAATAATCGATAAACCAAGAGTTATCGAAGTGCCTAGTAAAGAAAAAGATGGCGAATTGTGGTAATTGAGCTATTTATTTGCTTTTTAATCAACTAATGGCTTTACTTTAAATTTTACACGTTAGAAATATCCAAAAATGCCAAATCCATGTATATTATATTTCTTTACTCTATTTTGTCATTGAAAGTTTACTGTTATCAATTGTTTGTTGTCATGATGATGTTCTGATCATTGGTCATATTAATTATTATGATGATGATTATTGTTTCATCTTGAGGATAAAAATACAAAAACAATAACTGATTTTGTGCATCATAATCAATCATAAATTGTATAACATCAATTAAACAACAATTTAGCAACAGTATCAACAAAAAAAAGGGAAAAAGTTTCAATAAAAAATATTGTAATATATTATAGAGAGAGATAGAGAGAGTTGTTATTAGTTATTAAGGAGGAAAGTTAATTATTATTCTGATATTAATAAGAGTGGGAAAAGAAGAAATTTAATTTGTTGTCTTGATTTGATTAATTAACGAGTGAATATTGAGGACAAGCTTGATCCCATTCGCAAGAGTGAACCCCATTAACTGAATTGGCTGTTCGATGGCAGTAGAAACATTTTGATTCAAGAGAAGACGATGTCGACTTTTTTTCGGTCAATTCGAGTCCCGCTTCTTTCCAAACTTTTAGAAGGTGAAAGACGAATTCCTCCATCATGGCCTGAGAGTGGAATGGTGTTGGTGCAATTCTTAATCTCTCCGATCCTTTGGGAACCGTTGGATAGTTGATCGATTGGACATAATGTCCATGTCGGCTCATCAATTGGTCACAAATCCAACTACAAATAACTGGATCTCCAACGGGAATCGGAATGATGTGACTTTTACTAGGCATTTGTGGGATCTGAGCTCTTTCGAGTAAACTTTTCATGTAAGATACATTTTCTTGGTGAACTCGACGTAAATATCGACCTTCTTCACCTCGAAGTATCTAAATTTAACACCAACAATAAAGAGAGAGAAAATTAATAATCAACAAATGACCGATTTTTCCAGCAACAAAAAAAAAGCTATAAAAACTTAGAGCTTCAAGGTAATCAAATTGATTGATCTTCTTTTTTTTTCGTTGTAACGATTTTCAATCATTCATTGTGATCGTAAATTGTCACTTATGATTGACATGGGGCTTAATTAACTCACCCGGACAGAGGTCAAAGCAGCTTTAAGATTAGTCGGAGGAAGCGAAGTCGTAAAGATGAATCCAGCGGCGTAACTTCGGACCATATCGATCAGCTCATTCGAACCCGCGATGTAGCCACCAATGTTGCCGAAGGCTTTACCTGATTTTCGGGAACAGTTCAAAAGTTAGAATTAAAGTTCAAATCAAGATGGACGACGATGATAATTTTTATAATGAAATGATTAACGGTAAAATTGATTAAATTATAAGTATAACAAGAAAGGTTACAAAAGTGGCACTGATATTAGTCCATATAAAGAAAGAGTTGAAAACATCAAAAATATGATTAATAAACATGATGAATAATTGATAATAAGATAATGAAAAGTTAATCAAAAAGTAAATATATATTATCGTTCAGACGGACAATTTAAATGAACATAATTAACTTGGAGAGTTAATTATATTTATATTGTGTCGATTTCGAGTCTCTCACTTTGGCTAATTTTAAATTGTGTGTGTGGGTTTGGATTAAATTGTTTTGCTTTCTTGAAGGAGCATAAAACTCAATCAAGATGACCCAATAAGTGAATATAATCAAATTGAACATTTTTCGTTTGACCTAATTGTTGATTCAATGTACAAAAGATTATAATTATTACCATAAAATTAATAAAACGGACTTTCCTTGTTTCTTTTTTGCTTTTTTTTTCTATCAAAATTTGTTTAACTGCTCTCACTATTTATTATTTCTGATTACGAATGTTATTAAATTGTTATAACTATCATGTGCTGTCTGGCTGATTGCTGATCAAGATTTGACATTGATTGTTTGATCAGCGTAACAACATTCATGTACATAACGATACGAAAGTTAGAGTTAGTTAAGGAGAGAGACTGAAGAAAAAAAGTGCAATTGTGATGTAATTTAACTCGTTTTAATCATTGAATTTGTTAATTGTTTAGTGGATTCTCTGTACTTACCAAGTGTTCCTGATATGATATCAATTTTATCAACAACCGCATCTCTTTCAGCGACACCAGCACCTTCATCTCCATATAATCCAACCGCATGAACTTCATCGACAAATGTAATTGCACCAAATTCATGAGCGATGTCACACATTTCACCAACCGGACTAATATCACCGGTCATCGAATGGACAGTTTCAAAGGCCACAATTTTGGGTAAACTTTTATCTACCGATTGTAAAAGTCTTTTCAAATGATCGACATCATTTGATTTAAAGATGAATTTATTTGCTCCACTATTGCGAATACCTTGGATCATGGATGCATGATTTCCAGCATCAGAGAAAATTTGACAATCTAAATTGAAAGAGGAACATCAATTTTAAGATTAACTTTCCAATAACCAAATTAGAATCCCAAATTAATCACTTACTTGGCAACGATTTACCCAAAGTGAACAGAGTTGAATCGTTGGCGACAAAACAAGAAGTAAACAAAAGCGCTGATTCCTTTTGGTGCAAAGAGGCCATTTCTTTTCCAATTCTTCATGTAAAGGTGTATTACCGGAGATATTTCGAGTTCCCCCTGAGCCTGATCCATATTGTCCAACAGTTTCACTAGAAGATACACAAACATTGATTAGAATGGAACAAAAAAAAACAATTAATTCAATAGAATAAACTTTTTCTTCAACCCAACGAAGAGCAATTGATGTGAGAATAGCTTCAAGTTCACTTGAAAATCTCAACTTGAGATAGAAATTTCTAGATAACTGAAATTCTGTGTTAACATGAGAATAAGATATTAACTCAGTTGATTCCAATTTCTGATCAATACTTTTTTTTGTAGTGTAAACATCTCGTTAATTGATTATCTTGTTATCTTCCCTTTTCTACCCTTAACAAGATACTTACATAACCGCTTGACGAACCATAGGGTGACTCGTCATTCCAAGATAATCATTACTGCACCAAACAGTTATCGGTTTATCATTTGATGATAATTCTTGAGCAAAAGGAGGTTTATCGGCAAATCGAGCCACTTTTTAAAACACGATATGAATGATCCTTTTTCTTCATCAATATCTTGTCCTGGAAAAACTTCTGATAATGGAACAGGTTATTATTATCTATCCGTGGAAGAGAATCAGAGAAAAAGATTGTTATTATTATCTTGATACATGGAGATTATTGTGAGAAGGAAGAGAATTAAAATTGATTGGATTGGGATAATTAGTTGAGGAGATGATATGAAACGACAAGAAAATTAAATGGTTCATTTGGATTGATTGACTGGTCAAACAGCTGATCTCCTTTTTGCTTACCAGTTTTATCAACAGGATGAATTATATCCTGAGTGACCATTGGATTAGCTAATTTGACCATTGGATTAACTTCTTTAAGAAATGGACAAGTTGATGGGTCACCACCTTCGTTGGTCATTCGTTTACCATGTTGAGTATTCTCGGAATCTTGATTAATAAGCAACGAGAGAAAATTAATTGGTAAGGTTAAAGAAAAGGACATGAGGGTAAATAGAAAACATTGAGAATTTTATTTGTTTACCTTTTCCATTGTTAATTAATCCTTCGTTTGTGGTACTAGTTGAATATAATCGCGATATTTTGGACATAATTGGACAATAAGGTGCATAGTTTTCATGAGAAGCGATGAATAAGATGAAAGAAATGAAGAGGACATTTGGTTGAGAAAAGGACATTTCATTGTTTTCATGTTTATTTTCTTGATTAGAGTAATTCTTTAATTACTGGCACAGAAACAAAAGGATGAATTTATATTAATGAAGATGAAGAATTATTGTAAATAGTGAACTTTGATTAATCTAAAGAAAATAAGATTATTTGTTGTGAGAGAAAAACTGGTTCACATTCAAGTGATTGTTGATCTTTTCAGTTACATTAACGAACTGGTGATGAGTATGAAGAAAATAACACGATGAAGGAAAGAAGAGGGAGAGAGAGAAGGAGAAAGAGAGGGAGAAGGAGAAGGAGAGGGATTTCGATGAATGGGATTTAATTGGTGTGTGAGTTGCGAGAGAACTGGTTGTGATGATGACAAAATAATATTGGTCAATTATTTTCTTCAATGAAGTTGTTTACAAAATAATAAATAGAAATGATGAAAATTTCGTCTTTGTACTCAGAGAATAGCGAAAAATAACATTGATTCACCGTCAATCATATTTTCCATTGAATAATTTGTCTCTGGAGGGATAATCACTGGATCTAATTTCTTAATCAGAGCCGGAGGGTCGTTTTCAATCTTGATGGAGATACTCCCTTCCATTAGAATGTATAATGATAAATATTGGCCTGTTTTGTTAACTGGTTTGTCGCATTTTTCGATAAAACGGAAATAACCAACGGTCTGATTTGCTTCATTAGCTGTTATTAGTGTTGCATGTTCAAGGTTCTTGTGGACTTTTAATTTTTTCCAGTTGAGATTTTCTCGATTAAGGAAAATCTTGGACAACTTTTCCTTTGTTGTGTCACTTTTTTCCACAAAAGTTTCCGAAACATCGACTTGGTCTTCGGGATCTTTTTCCTTTGGTTCGTTCATTTTTTTTCTTTTCAATGTTACTCGCTTTTTTCTTTTCATGAAATCTGGAGTGTGAGGAGCTGAAGTGCCGATGATTTTGTAGCATCCGTTTTCCAATGGAACATAAATTGGACGTTCTCCTCTCCATGTTTGAATTCGTTTGTTTTTAAGGAATCTTTTAGGTCTTGATGAAGCACTAATTCTAGTTGGTGTTAAGGTGGTTGGTTGAATGGTTGATGATGTTGATACTCTGGCTGATGAAACACCTGAGAGAGATTTCCTTGGGGTATCAATCTTAGTCGGTGTTAAGGTGGTTTCTAGAACTGTTGATGTTGGGGTGGTTATCTTAGCTGGAGTATTGGCCACTTTTTCAATTAAGGTCGTTAGTCGACTGGTAGATGGTGTTTCTACAACGGTATCAATATTATCATCAGTAACCACTGGATTATCCAATTTGAACGATTTAACAGGCGAATTAATTGGTGAATTAACTGGAGAATTTACAATAGAATTAGCAGGTGAAGCAAATGGAGAATTAAGTGAACCAATTGATGTGTCGGCTATTGAAGAAGATCTCGATAAAGATTTGGTAGTTGTTGGAAATGAAACCAATGGAGTTGTTGTCGATGAGCTTGATGATTTGTTTGCTTTGTTTGATTTGTTGGATCTGTTGGATTTATTAGCTGACCTGGAGGTTGAAGAAATTGCTCTCGAAGTTGGTGGAGGTGTTTTATTGAATAAAATGGAAGATGATGGTTGAATTGAAGCTCGCAATAATTTCGGTGACTCCAAATTAACTGCTTCATTCATTGATGAAAAGAAATGTTTTCTCTCCAACCTCTGTCTCGAAAAGATCATCAGGTGGTAACATCATACTCGAAGCTTCCGACATGCTGATTTCGGAATTTGTCCAAGCATTTGTTGTTGTCGACCTTGTAGACATTTTGATACAATTTCAGACCAACTGAAATCATCTTCATCTTTATCAACATTGTTGTTCACATTAAAATCACAAACAATATGATTAATTGTAGATCTGAGTGACACTTGTTTCATTTTATTGAACATGATTAAAATAAACAAAATTTAAGAAAAAAAAAGCGACTTGACAAAGACAAATTTGAATTTCTAACCAACGGCTGATCGGTAATCGAACAAATAATCGATTTCAGAAGATCGATTTTTACCGCAGTCTTTCTTTTTCTCTTTCTATTTTTCCAAAATCGATTACTTGTTTTATCTCAGAATCAACGAAATAAAAGTGATAACAATTAAGAGGGAAAATTTTAATGAGTAAAAATTAAAACTAATCAACAATGGAAAATCATTACATCAATAACTAGACAATAACAGACTAGTGATTTTGATCAAATTTACTGATTAAACTCTCAAACTAGTTGATAAACTAAAATACAATTACAATACTTTTAACTCGTAATTAAGAAATGAGTTAATTTTTCTGTTGACCGGTTAATTATAAGACACTTCAAATTGAGTCTAGGTCTAATAGTAAATCAATTAATCAAATTGAACAATAGATTGAAAGATTTTCTTAACAATTAGTAAATAATTAGATAAATAGATAAGGGTAAATGTACACAAGATGAAGGTAATTAGCAATTGTTATATAAATTGTTCCGATTGACTATTGATACAAAGTTTATGTTAATATAATTATCAATTGGTTTGAATCAAATTTGACTGGATTTTAATTGCACAATCACGTAGCGGGTTCTCACTTGCTTTGATACAAATCAATCCTTTTGAACCTTCAGCTCGACTATCGATATGAGTAGTTTCCGGTAGGTAAGTTGTTGTACCAAGGTAAGTACAGGGTGAATAGTTGAATCCACATTCGGGAAATAAACTTGTCGCATAAACAATTAAACAATATAAATGTGAACAAGCGGGAGTCCCAAAGCAACCCGGTTGTTCAATATAAGAATAAGGTAAATTGACCAGATATTTAGTATGACCGGTGGCATTGAATGATCCAAACCGTAAGTTCAAAGCTTGAAGTTCAGTTAACAAGGGAATCTCAAAATTAAAGGTACACTGAACCATGTCAACGGCTTTAGCTAATCCTGGATGAATTTGTTTCTCCATAAAGTTTGAGGAAAAGTAATAGGGTGGACCAGAAGGATCTAAGCCTGGAAAGACAGAATTAAATTGTTATAATTGTTGATTGTTTAACTTTTTTTTTCCTATGGAAAATAATTAACTCACCTACTAGATGACCAAGGGTAATATTGTATGTTTCCTTTAACCAGGAAGCAATAAAGTATAACATGTTACCTCCGGCAGAAAACCCAACGACTCTTATATCATCGGGATTGATACATGGAGCTTGTTGGTTAACAATTAATCTTTGAGCAATTAAATTAACTGTAACTCGACCGACAACTTGAACATTTGCCTGCATGACGAAAAAAGTTTGCAGCCGGAAAAGGAAAGCCAAAAGCTACCATTGGATCAGCTGATGATCAAAAGTTATGAGTAAAACAACAACCGGAACAAGATAAAGTTGATCAGTTGATTGTGATAAATATCCATGGATTAGAAAGGCAACTTTAGATCCACAGGCGATGTTAAATGTTGAGTCAATCGATTGGGCGATGAACGTGATAAAAGGTAAAACTGTATTCCAATGGTATCGGGTGGTTCTGGACAAACAGAGTAAAAAATTAAGAATTATTTAGAAATTAATGAGACAGAAAGATAGAAAGAAATTCATATTGATATAAAGTGAGAACAATTAATAAATTATTGAATTTGAATGATTAAGGGAGTTGGGCGATTAACTTAAGTCTGTCGATTCTTTGAGCTTAGTAAACAAATAAAACTTAAAAGGACTAATTCTCAATCTTAATTATCTTATCAAAAATGTTTCTGTTTGAAATGATTAACTTTTAATCAGTTCTAATAGCAAGGAAAATGAAGAATCAACGTAATGAAGCTTAAATTGCAAATGGAAACTGCGATTTACAAACATCTCGTTAATTGATTGTCTTTGTTATCTTCCCTTTTCTACCCTTAACAAGATACTTACATAACCGCTTGACGAACCATAGGGTGACTCGTCATTCCAAGATAATCATTACTGCACCAAACAGTTATCGGTTTATCATTTGATGATAATTCTTGAGCAAAAGGAGGTTTATCGGCAAATCGAGCCACTTTTTTAAACACACGATATGAATGATCCTTTTTCTTCATCAATATCTTGTCCTGGAAAAGATCATGAGAGTAACAAAACAGCGAGAAAATATCCAAAGATTTTCTATATTGCGTTAAATTGCCATTTGATTCTTCATCATATCACCTCGATGAATATGATGAGAGCATTTAATTTTCCAACTTAATGAATTGAGTACAATTGAATTAATTTCCCTCCGATTATTAATCGATTCATTTGGGTCGTCGGGAGAGTTTATCGTTTAATCGATTTTGGAAAAATAGAAAGAGAAATAGAAAGACTAAGATAAAACTCGATCTTCTGAAATCGATTATTAGTTCGATTAACGAGCAGCCGTTGGTTAGAAATTCAAAATTGTCTTTGTCAAGTTGCTTTCTTAAATTTTGTTTATTTTAATTGTTTGGGTCAGTTTTTTTAATTGATTTTGTGGTTTTTTCACTCTAATCATGTTCAATAAAATGAAACAAGTGTCACTCAGATCTACAATTAATCATATTGTTTGTGATTTTAATGTGAACAACAATTGTGATAAAGATGAAGATGATTTCAGTTGGTCTGAAATTGTATCAAAATGTCTACAAGGTCGACAACAACAAATGCTTGGACAAATTCCCGAAATCAGCATGTCGGAAGCTTCGAGTATGATGTTACCACCTGATGATCTTTTCGAGACAGAGGTTGGAAGAGAAGTTAATTTCTCTGTGTCCTTGTTGGATGAAGAAGCTATTAAGCTGCCATCGCCTAAACTGCGAACTTCTTTTACTCTTCCACAAACCAATCCACCATCTCCCATTCTAGCCGATTCGCTTATTGATAGAACACCTTCTCCACCAGCTTCGAGATCAATTTCTTCAACCTCCAGGTCAGCTAATAAATCCAACAGATCCAACAAATCAAACAAATCATCAACCTCATCGACAACAACTCCATTAGTCTCGAGATCAAATACGCGATCAAGTACTCAATCGAATTCTAAATCAAATTCATCACTAACTACTCCATTAGTTTCGAGATCAACTGCCAGGTCGTCCAGAGCATCTTCAATAGCAACAGGTAGATCTGTAGCTAATTCTACTGTCAATTCTTCACTTGCTGACATATCAATTGGTTCACCCAATTCACCGCCTATTTCTCCAGTTAATTCTCCCGTTGCTTCACCAGCTAATTCTACTGTCAATTCCCCAGTTAATTCGCTTGTTAAATCTGCAGGTAACTCACCTAAAAGATTATCATCTATTGTACCAAATGAGGAATTGATAAACAATGAAAATGGTAAATACAATTTTCTCTTTGGTGTTACTCTCAATTGTTATTCCTTAAACTTATTGACCAATTTTTTTCATTTCAATATAATCCAACCGCATGAACTTCATCGACAAATGTAATTGCACCAAATTCATGAGCGATGTCACATTTCACCAACCGGACTAATATCACCGGTCATCGAATGGACAGTTTCAAAGGCCACAATTTTGGGTAAACTTTTATCTACCGATTGTAAAAGTCTTTTCAAATGATCGACATCATTTGATTTAAAGATGAATTTATTTGCTCCACTATTGCGAATACCTTGGATCATGGATGCATGATTTCCAGCATCAGAGAAAATTTGACAATCTAAATTGAAAGAGGAACATCAATTTTAAGATTAACTTTCCAATAACCAAATTAGAATCCCAAATTAATCACTTACTTGGCAACGATTTACCCAAAGTGAACAGAGTTGAATCGTTGGCGACAAAACAAGAAGTAAACAAAAGCGCTGATTCCTTTTGGTGCAAAGAGGCCATTTCTTTTTCCAATTCTTCATGTAAAGGTGTATTACCGGAGATATTTCGAGTTCCCCCTGAGCCTGATCCATATTGTCCAACAGTTTCACTAGAAGATACACAAACATTGATTAGAATGGAACAAAAAAAAACAATTAATTCAATAGAATAAACTTTTTCTTCAACCCAACGAAGAGCAATTGATGTGAGAATAGCTTCAAGTTCACTTGAAAATCTCAACTTGAGATAGAAATTTCTAGATAACTGAAATTCTGTGTTAACATGAGAATAAGATATTAACTCAGTTGATTCCAATTTCTGATCAATACTTTTTTTTGTAGTGTAAACATCTCGTTAATTGATTATCTTGTTATCTTCCCTTTTCTACCCTTAACAAGATACTTACATAACCGCTTGACGAACCATAGGGTGACTCGTCATTCCAAGATAATCATTACTGCACCAAACAGTTATCGGTTTATCATTTGATGATAATTCTTGAGCAAAAGGAGGTTTATCGGCAAATCGAGCCACTTTTTAAAACACGATATGAATGATCCTTTTTCTTCATCAATATCTTGTCCTGGAAAAACTTCTGATAATGGAACAGGTTATTATTATCTATCCGTGGAAGAGAATCAGAGAAAAAGATTGTTATTATTATCTTGATACATGGAGATTATTGTGAGAAGGAAGAGAATTAAAATTGATTGGATTGGGATAATTAGTTGAGGAGATGATATGAAACGACAAGAAAATTAAATGGTTCATTTGGATTGATTGACTGGTCAAACAGCTGATCTCCTTTTTGCTTACCAGTTTTATCAACAGGATGAATTATATCCTGAGTGACCATTGGATTAGCTAATTTGACCATTGGATTAACTTCTTTAAGAAATGGACAAGTTGATGGGTCACCACCTTCGTTGGTCATTCGTTTACCATGTTGAGTATTCTCGGAATCTTGATTAATAAGCAACGAGAGAAAATTAATTGGTAAGGTTAAAGAAAAGGACATGAGGGTAAATAGAAAACATTGAGAATTTTATTTGTTTACCTTTTCCATTGTTAATTAATCCTTCGTTTGTGGTACTAGTTGAATATAATCGCGATATTTTGGACATAATTGGACAATAAGGTGCATAGTTTTTCATGAGAAGCGATGAATAAGATGAAAGAAATGAAGAGGACATTTGGTTGAGAAAAGGACATTTCATTGTTTTCATGTTTATTTTCTTGATTAGAGTAATTCTTTAATTACTGGCACAGAAACAAAAGGATGAATTTATATTAATGAAGATGAAGAATTATTGTAAATAGTGAACTTTGATTAATCTAAAGAAAATAAGATTATTTGTTGTGAGAGAAAAACTGGTTCACATTCAAGTGATTGTTGATCTTTTCAGTTACATTAACGAACTGGTGATGAGTATGAAGAAAATAACACGATGAAGGAAAGAAGAGGGAGAGAGAGAAGGAGAAAGAGAAAGAGAAAGAGAGGGAGAAGGAGAAGGAGAAGGAGAGGGATTTCGATGAATGGGATTTAATTGGTGTGTGAGTTGCGAGAGAACTGGTTGTGATGATGACAAAATAATATTGGTCAATTATTTTCTTCAATGAAGTTTTTTACAAAATAATAAATAGAAATGATGAAAATTTCGTCTTTGTACTCAGAGAATAGCGAAAAATAACATTGATTCACCGTCAATCATATTTTCCATTGAATAATTTGTCTCTGGAGGGATAATCACTGGATCTAATTTCTTAATCAGAGCCGGAGGGTCGTTTTCAATCTTGATGGAGATACTCCCTTCCATTAGAATGTATAATGATAAATATTGGCCTGTTTTGTTAACTGGTTTGTCGCATTTTTCGATAAAACGGAAATAACCAACGGTCTGATTTGCTTCATTAGCTGTTATTAGTGTTGCATGTTCAAGGTTCTTGTGGACTTTTAATTTTTTCCAGTTGAGATTTTCTCGATTAAGGAAAATCTTGGACAACTTTTCCTTTGTTGTGTCACTTTTTTCCACAAAAGTTTCCGAAACATCGACTTGGTCTTCGGGATCTTTTTCCTTTGGTTCGTTCATTTTTTTTCTTTTCAATGTTACTCGCTTTTTTCTTTTCATGAAATCTGGAGTGTGAGGAGCTGAAGTGCCGATGATTTTGTAGCATCCGTTTTCCAATGGAACATAAATTGGACGTTCTCCTCTCCATGTTTGAATTCGTTTGTTTTTAAGGAATCTTTTAGGTCTTGATGAAGAACTAATTCTAGTTGGTGTTAAGGTGGTTGGTTGAATGGTCGATGATGTTGATACTCTGGCTGATGAAACGCCTGAGAGAGATTTCCTTGGGGTATCAATCTTAGTCGGTGTTAAGGTGGTTTCTAGAACTGTTGATGTTGGGGTGGTTATCTTAGCTGGAGTATTGGCCACTTTTTCAATTAAGGTCGTTAGTCGACTGGTAGATGGTATTTCTTCAACGGTATCAATATTATCATCAGTAACCACTGGATTATCCAATTTGAACGATTTAACAGGCGAATTAATTGGTGAATTAACTGGAGAATTTACAATAGAATTAGCTGGTGAAGCAAATGGAGAATTAAGTGAACCAATTGATGTGTCGGCTATTGAAGAAGATCTCGATAAAGATTTGGTAGTTGTTGGAAATGAAACCAATGGAGTTGTTGTCGATGAGCTTGATGATTTGTTTGCTTTGTTTGATTTGTTGGATCTGTTGGATTTATTAGCTGACCTGGAGGTTGAAGAAATTGCTCTCGAAGTTGGTGGAGGTGTTTTATTGAATAAAATGGAAGATGATGGTTGAATTGAAGCTCGCAATAATTTCGGTGACTCCAAATTAACTGCTTCATTCATTGATGAAAAAGAAATGTTTTCTCTTCCAACCTCTGTCTCGAAAAGATCATCAGGTGGTAACATCATACTCGAAGCTTCCGACATGCTGATTTCGGGAATTTGTCCAAGCATTTGTTGTTGTCGACCTTGTAGACATTTTGATACAATTTCAGACCAACTGAAATCATCTTCATCTTTATCAACATTGTTGTTCACATTAAAATCACAAACAATATGATTAATTGTAGATCTGAGTGACACTTGTTTCATTTTATTGAACATGATTAAAATAAACAAAATTTAAGAAAAAAAAAGCGACTTGACAAAGACAAATTTGAATTTCTAACCAACGGCTGATCGGTAATCGAACAAATAATCGATTTCAGAAGATCGATTTTTACCGCAGTCTTTCTTTTTCTCTTTCTATTTTTCCAAAATCGATTACTTGTTTTATCTCAGAATCAACGAAATAAAAGTGATAACAATTAAGAGGGAAAATTTTAATGAGTAAAAATTAAAACTAATCAACAATGGAAAATCATTACATCAATAACTAGACAATAACAGACTAGTGATTTTGATCAAATTTACTGATTAAACTCTCAAACTAGTTGATAAACTAAAATACAATTACAATACTTTTAACTCGTAATTAAGAAATGAGTTAATTTTTCTGTTGACCGGTTAATTATAAGACACTTCAAATTGAGTCTAGGTCTAATAGTAAATCAATTAATCAAATTGAACAATAGATTGAAAGATTTTCTTAACAATTAGTAAATAATTAGATAAATAGATAAGGGTAAATGTACACAAGATGAAGGTAATTAGCAATTGTTATATAAATTGTTCCAATTGACTATTGATCCAAAGTTTATGTGAATATAATTATCAATTGGTTTGAATCAAATTTGACTGGATTTTAATTGCACAATCACGTAGCGGGTTCTCACTTGCTTTGATACAAATCAATCCTTTTGAACCTTCAGCTCGACTATCGATATGAGTAGTTTCCGGTAGGTAAGTTGTTGTACCAAGGTAAGTACAGGGTGAATAGTTGAATCCACATTCGGGAAATAAACTTGTCGCATAAACAATTAAACAATATAAATGTGAACAAGCGGGAGTCCCAAAGCACCCGGGTTGTTCAATATAAGAATAAGGTAAATTGACCAGATATTTAGTATGACCGGTGGCATTGAATGACCCAAACCGTAGGTTCAAAGCTTGAAGTTCAGTTAACAAGGGAATCTCAAAATTAAAGGTACACTGAACCATGTCAACGGCTTTAGCTAATCCTGGATGAATTTGTTTCTCCATAAAGTTTGAGGAAAAGTAATAGGGTGGACCAGAAGGATCTAAGCCTGGAAAGACAGAATTAAATTGTTATAATTGTTGATTGTTTAACTTTTTTTTTCCTATGGAAAATAATTAACTCACCTACTAGATGACCAAGGGTAATATTGTATGTTTCCTTTAACCAGGAAGCAATAAAGTATAACATGTTACCTCCGGCAGAAAACCCAACGACTCTTATATCATCGGGATTGATACATGGAGCTTGTTGGTTAACAATTAATCTTTGAGCAATTAAATTAACTGTAACTCGACCGACAACTTGAACATTTGCCTGCATGACGAAAAAAGTTTGCAGCCGGAAAAGGAAAGCCAAAAGCTACCATTGGATCAGCTGATGATCAAAAGTTATGAGTAAAACAACAACCGGAACAAGATAAAGTTGATCAGTTGATTGTGATAAATATCCATGGATTAGAAAGGCAACTTTAGATCCACAGGCGATGTTAAATGTTGAGTCAATCGATTGGGCGATGAACGTGATAAAAGGTAAAACTGTATTCCAATGGTATCGGGTGGTTCTGGACAAACAGAGTAAAAAGAATTAAGAATTATTTAGAAATTAATGAGACAGAAAGATAGAAAGAAATTCATATTGATATAAAGTGAGAACAATTAATAAATTATTGAATTTGAATGATTAAGGGAGTTGGGCGATTAACTTAAGTCTGTCGATTCTTTGAGCTTAGTAAACAAATAAAACTTAAAAGGACTAATTCTCAATCTTAATTATCTTATCAAAAATGTTTCTGTTTGAAATGATTAACTTTTAATCAGTTCTAATAGCAAGGAAAATGAAGAATCAACGTAATGAAGCTTAAATTGCAAATGGAAACTGCGATTTACAAACATCTCGTTAATTGATTGTCTTTGTTATCTTCCCTTTTCTACCCTTAACAAGATACTTACATAACCGCTTGACGAACCATAGGGTGACTCGTCATTCCAAGATAATCATTACTGCACCAAACAGTTATCGGTTTATCATTTGATGATAATTCTTGAGCAAAAGGAGGTTTATCGGCAAATCGAGCCACTTTTTTAAACACACGATATGAATGATCCTTTTTCTTCATCAATATCTTGTCCTGGAAAGATCATGAGAGTAACAAAACAGCGAGAAAATATCCAAAGATTTTCTATATTGCGTTAAATTGCTATTTGATTCTTCATCATATCACCTCGATGAATATGATGAGAGCATTTAATTTTCCAACTTAATGAATTGAGTACAATTGAATTAATTTCCCTCCGATTATTAATCGATTCATTTGGGTCGTCGGGAGAGTTTATCGTTTAATCGATTTTGGAAAATAGAAAGAGAATAGAAAGACTAAGATAAAACTCGATCTTCTGAAATCGATTATTAGTTCGATTAACGAGCAGCCGTTGGTTAGAAATTCAAAATTGTCTTTGTCAAGTTGCTTTCTTAAATTTTGTTTATTTTAATTGTTTGGGTCAGTTTTTTTAATTGATTTTGTGGTTTTTTCACTCTAATCATGTTCAATAAAATGAAACAAGTGTCACTCAGATCTACAATTAATCATATTGTTTGTGATTTTAATGTGAACAACAATTGTGATAAAGATGAAGATGATTTCAGTTGGTCTGAAATTGTATCAAAATGTCTACAAGGTCGACAACAACAAATGCTTGGACAAATTCCCGAAATCAGCATGTCGGAAGCTTCGAGTATGATGTTACCACCTGATGATCTTTTCGAGACAGAGGTTGGAAGAGAAGTTAATTTCTCTGTGTCCTTGTTGGATGAAGAAGCTATTAAGCTGCCATCGCCTAAACTGCGAACTTCTTTTACTCTTCCACAAACCAATCCACCATCTCCCATTCTAGCCGATTCGCTTATTGATAGAACACCTTCTCCACCAGCTTCGAGATCAATTTCTTCAACCTCCAGGTCAGCTAATAAATCCAACAGATCCAACAAATCAAACAAATCATCAACCTCATCGACAACAACTCCATTAGTCTCGAGATCAAATACGCGATCAAGTACTCAATCGAATTCTAAATCAAATTCATCACTAACTACTCCATTAGTTTCGAGATCAACTGCCAGGTCGTCCAGAGCATCTTCAATAGCAACAGGTAGATCTGTAGCTAATTCTACTGTCAATTCTTCACTTGCTGACATATCAATTGGTTCACCCAATTCACCGCCTATTTCTCCAGTTAATTCTCCTGTTGCTTCACCAGCTAATTCTACTGTCAATTCCCAGTTAATTCGCTTGTTAAATCTGCAGGTAACTCACCTAAAAGATTATCATCTATTGTACCAAATGAGGAATTGATAAACAATGAAAATGGTAAATACAATTTTCTCTTTGGTGTTACTCTCAATTGTTATTCCTTAAACTTATTGACCAATTTTTTTCATTTCAATATAATCCAACCGCATGAACTTCATCGACAAATGTAATTGCACCAAATTCATGAGCGATGTCACACATTTCACCAACCGGACTAATATCACCGGTCATCGAATGGACAGTTTCAAAGGCCACAATTTTGGGTAAACTTTTATCTACCGATTGTAAAAGTCTTTTCAAATGATCGACATCATTTGATTTAAAGATGAATTTATTTGCTCCACTATTGCGAATACCTTGGATCATGGATGCATGATTTCCAGCATCAGAGAAAATTTGACAATCTAAATTGAAAGAGGAACATCAATTTTAAGATTAACTTTCCAATAACCAAATTAGAATCCCAAATTAATCACTTACTTGGCAACGATTTACCCAAAGTGAACAGAGTTGAATCGTTGGCGACAAAACAAGAAGTAAACAAAAGCGCTGATTCCTTTTGGTGCAAAGAGGCCATTTCTTTTCCAATTCTTCATGTAAAGGTGTATTACCGGAGATATTTCGAGTTCCCTGAGCCTGATCCATATTGTCCAACAGTTTCACTAGAAGATACACAAACATTGATTAGAATGGAACAAAAAACAATTAATTCAATAGAATAAACTTTTCTTCAACCCAACGAAGAGCAATTGATGTGAGAATAGCTTCAAGTTCACTTGAAAATCTCAACTTGAGATAGAAATTTCTAGATAACTGAAATTCTGTGTTAACATGAGAATAAGATATTAACTCAGTTGATTCCAATTTCTGATCAATACTTTTTTTTGTAGTGTAAACATCTCGTTAATTGATTATCTTGTTATCTTCCTTTCTACCCTTAACAAGATACTTACATAACCGCTTGACGAACCATAGGGTGACTCGTCATTCCAAGATAATCATTACTGCACCAAACAGTTATCGGTTTATCATTTGATGATAATTCTTGAGCAAAAGGAGGTTTATCGGCAAATCGAGCCACTTTTTAAAACACGATATGAATGATCCTTTTTCTTCATCAATATCTTGTCCTGGAAAAACTTCTGATAATGGAACAGGTTATTATTATCTATCCGTGGAAGAGAATCAGAGAAAAAGATTGTTATTATTATCTTGATACATGGAGATTATTGTGAGAAGGAAGAGAATTAAAATTGATTGGATTGGGATAATTAGTTGAGGAGATGATATGAAACGACAAGAAAATTAAATGGTTCATTTGGATTGATTGACTGGTCAAACAGCTGATCTCCTTTTTGCTTACCAGTTTTATCAACAGGATGAATTATATCCTGAGTGACCATTGGATTAGCTAATTTGACCATTGGATTAACTTTTTAAGAAATGGACAAGTTGATGGGTCACCACCTTCGTTGGTCATTCGTTTACCATGTTGAGTATTCTCGAATCTTGATTAATAAGCAACGAGAGAAAATTAATTGGTAAGGTTAAAGAAAAGGACATGAGGGTAAATAGAAAACATTGAGAATTTTATTTGTTTACCTTTTCCATTGTTAATTAATCCTTCGTTTGTGGTACTAGTTGAATATAATCGCGATATTTTGGACATAATTGGACAATAAGGTATAGTTTTTCATGAGAAGCGATGAATAAGATGAAAGAAATGAAGAGGACATTTGGTTGAGAAAGGACATTTCATTGTTTTCATGTTTATTTTCTTGATTAGAGTAATTCTTTAATTACTGGCACAGAAACAAAAGGATGAATTTATATTAATGAAGATGAAGAATTATTGTAAATAGTGAACTTTGATTAATCTAAAGAAAATAAGATTATTTGTTGTGAGAGAAAAACTGGTTCACATTCAAGTGATTGTTGATCTTTTCAGATACATTAACGAACTGGTGATGAGTATGAAGAAAATAACACGATGAAGGAAAGAAGAGGGAGAGAGAAAGAGAGAGAGAGAGAGAGAGAGAGAAAGAGAGGGAGAAGGAGAAGGAGAGGGATTTCGATGAATGGGATTTAATTGGTGTGTGAGTTGCGAGAGAACTGGTTGTGATGATGACAAAATAATATTGGTCAATTATTTTCTTCAATGAAGTTGTTTACAAAATAATAAATAGAAATGATGAAAATTTCGTCTTTGTACTCAGAGAATAGCGAAAAATAACATTGATTCACCGTCAATCATATTTTCCATTGAATAATTTGTCTCTGGAGGATAATCACTGGATCTAATTTCTTAATCAGAGCCGGAGGTCGTTTTCAATCTTGATGGAGATACTCCTTCCATTAGAATGTATAATGATAAATATTGGCCTGTTTTGTTAACTGGTTTGTCGCATTTTCGATAAAACGGAAATAACCAACGGTCTGATTTGCTTCATTAGCTGTTATTAGTGTTGCATGTTCAAGGTTCTTGTGGACTTTTAATTTTTTCCAGTTGAGATTTTCTCGATTAAGGAAAATCTTGGACAACTTTTCCTTTGTTGTGTCACTTTTTTCCACAAAAGTTTCCGAAACATCGACTTGGTCTTCGGGATCTTTTTCCTTTGGTTCGTTCATTTTTTTTCTTTTCAATGTTACTCGCTTTTTTCTTTTCATGAAATCTGGAGTGTGAGGAGCTGAAGTGCCGATGATTTTGTAGCATCCGTTTTCCAATGGAACATAAATTGGACGTTCTCCTCTCCATGTTTGAATTCGTTTGTTTTTAAGGAATCTTTTAGGTCTTGATGAAGAACTAATTCTAGTTGGTGTTAAGGTGGTTGGTTGAATGGTCGATGATGTTGATACTCTGGCTGATGAAACGCCTGAGAGAGATTTCCTTGGGGTATCAATCTTAGTCGGTGTTAAGGTGGTTTCTAGAACTGTTGATGTTGGGGTGGTTATCTTAGCTGGAGTATTGGCCACTTTTTCAATTAAGGTCGTTAGTCGACTGGTAGATGGTATTTCTTCAACGGTATCAATATTATCATCAGTAACCACTGGATTATCCAATTTGAACGATTTAACAGGCGAATTAATTGGTGAATTAACTGGAGAATTTACAATAGAATTAGCTGGTGAAGCAAATGGAGAATTAAGTGAACCAATTGATGTGTCGGCTATTGAAGAAGATCTCGATAAAGATTTGGTAGTTGTTGGAAATGAAACCAATGGAGTTGTTGTCGATGAGCTTGATGATTTGTTTGCTTTGTTTGATTTGTTGGATCTGTTGGATTTATTAGCTGACCTGGAGGTTGAAGAAATTGCTCTCGAAGTTGGTGGAGGTGTTTTATTGAATAAAATGGAAGATGATGGTTGAATTGAAGCTCGCAATAATTTCGGTGACTCCAAATTAACTGCTTCATTCATTGATGAAAAAGAAATGTTTTCTCTTCCAACCTCTGTCTCGAAAAGATCATCAGGTGGTAACATCATACTCGAAGCTTCCGACATGCTGATTTCGGGAATTTGTCCAAGCATTTGTTGTTGTCGACCTTGTAGACATTTTGATACAATTTCAGACCAACTGAAATCATCTTCATCTTTATCACAATTGTTGTTCACATTAAAATCACAAACAATATGATTAATTGTAGATCTGAGTGACACTTGTTTCATTTTATTGAACATGATTAAAATAAACAAAATTTAAGAAAAAAAAGCGACTTGACAAAGACAAATTTGAATTTCTAACCAACGGCTGATCGGTAATCGAACAAATAATCGATTTCAGAAGATCGATTTTTACCGCAGTCTTTCTTTTTCTCTTTCTATTTTTCCAAAATCGATTACTTGTTTTATCTCAGAATCAACGAAATAAAAGTGATAACAATTAAGAGGGAAAATTTTAATGAGTAAAAATTAAAACTAATCAACAATGGAAAATCATTACATCAATAACTAGACAATAACAGACTAGTGATTTTGATCAAATTTACTGATTAAACTCTCAAACTAGTTGATAAACTAAAATACAATTACAATACTTTTAACTCGTAATTAAGAAATGAGTTAATTTTTCTGTTGACCGGTTAATTATAAGACACTTCAAATTGAGTCTAGGTCTAATAGTAAATCAATTAATCAAATTGAACAATAGATTGAAAGATTTTCTTAACAATTAGTAAATAATTAGATAAATAGATAAGGGTAAATGTACACAAGATGAAGGTAATTAGCAATTGTTATATAAATTGTTCCAATTGACTATTGATCCAAAGTTTATGTGAATATAATTATCAATTGGTTTGAATCAAATTTGACTGGATTTTAATTGCACAATCACGTAGCGGGTTCTCACTTGCTTTGATACAAATCAATCCTTTTGAACCTTCAGCTCGACTATCGATATGAGTAGTTTCCGGTAGGTGTTGTTGTACCAAGGTAAGTACAGGGTGAATAGTTGAATCCACATTCGGGAAATAAACTTGTCGCATAAACAATTAAACAATATAAATGTGAACAAGCGGGAGTCCCAAAGCACCCGGGTTGTTCAATATAAGAATAAGGTAAATTGACCAGATATTTAGTATGACCGGTGGCATTGAATGACCCAAACCGTAGGTTCAAAGCTTGAAGTTCAGTTAACAAGGGAATCTCAAAATTAAAGGTACACTGAACCATGTCAACGGCTTTAGCTAATCCTGGATGAATTTGTTTCTCCATAAAGTTTGAGGAAAAGTAATAGGGTGGACCAGAAGGATCTAAGCCTGGAAAGACAGAATTAAATTGTTATAATTGTTGATTGTTTAACTTTTTTTTTCCTATGGAAAATAATTAACTCACCTACTAGATGACCAAGGGTAATATTGTATGTTTCCTTTAACCAGGAAGCAATAAAGTATAACATGTTACCTCCGGCAGAAAACCCAACGACTCTTATATCATCGGGATTGATACATGGAGCTTGTTGGTTAACAATTAATCTTTGAGCAATTAAATTAACTGTAACTCGACCGACAACTTGAACATTTGCCTGCATGACGAAAAAAGTTTGCAGCCGGAAAAGGAAAGCCAAAGCTACCATTGGATCAGCTGATGATCAAAAGTTATGAGTAAAACAACAACCGGAACAAGATAAAGTTGATCAGTTGATTGTGATAAATATCCATGGATTAGAAAGGCAACTTTAGATCCACAGGCGATGTTAAATGTTGAGTCAATCGATTGGGCGATGAACGTGATAAAAGGTAAAACTGTATTCCAATGGTATCGGGTGGTTCTGGACAAACAGAGTAAAAGAATTAAGAATTATTTAGAAATTAATGAGACAGAAAGATAGAAAGAAATTCATATTGATATAAAGTGAGAACAATTAATAAATTATTGAATTTGAATGATTAAGGAGTTAAGGGCGATTAACTTAAGTCTGTCGATTCTTTGAGCTTAGTAAACAAATAAAACTTAAAAGGACTAATTCTCAATCTTAATTATCTTATCAAAATGTTTCTGTTTGAAATGATTAACTTTTAATCAGTTCTAATAGCAAGGAAATGAAGAATCAACGTAATGAAGCTTAAATTGCAAATGGAAACTGCGATTTACAAACATCTCGTTAATTGATTGTCTTTGTTATCTTCCTTTTCTACCCTTAACAAGATACTTACATAACCGCTTGACGAACCATAGGGTGACTCGTCATTCCAAGATAATCATTACTGCACCAAACAGTTATCGGTTTATCATTTGATGATAATTTTGAGCAAAAGGAGGTTTATCGGCAAATCGAGCCACTTTTTAAACACGATATGAATGATCCTTTTCTTCATCAATATCTTGTCCTGGAAAGATCATGAGAGTAACAAAACAGCGAGAAAATATCCAAAGATTTTCTATATTGCGTTAAATTATTTGATTCTTCATCATATCACTCGATGAATATGATGAGAGCATTTAATTTTCCAACTTAATGAATTGAGTACAATTGAATTAATTTCTCCGATTATTAATCGATTCATTTGGGTCGTCGGGAGAGTTTATCGTTTAATCGATTTTGGAAAAATAGAAAGAGAAATAGAAAGACTAAGATAAAACTCGATCTTCTGAAATCGATTATTAGTTCGATTAACGAGCAGCCGTTGGTTAGAAATTCAAAATTGTCTTTGTCAAGTTGCTTTCTTAAATTTTGTTTATTTTAATTGTTTGGGTCAGTTTTTTTAATTGATTTTGTGGTTTTTTCACTCTAATCATGTTCAATAAAATGAAACAAGTGTCACTCAGATCTACAATTAATCATATTGTTTGTGATTTTAATGTGAACAACAATTGTGATAAAGATGAAGATGATTTCAGTTGGTCTGAAATTGTATCAAAATGTCTACAAGGTCGACAACAACAAATGCTTGGACAAATTCCGAAATCAGCATGTCGGAAGCTTCGAGTATGATGTTACCACCTGATGATCTTTTCGAGACAGAGGTTGGAAGAGAAGTTAATTTCTCTGTGTCCTTGTTGGATGAAGAAGCTATTAAGCTGCCATCGCCTAAACTGCGAACTTTTTACTCTTCCACAAACCAATCCACCATCTCCCATTCTAGCCGATTCGCTTATTGATAGAACACCTTCTCCACCAGCTTCGAGATCAATTTCTTCAACCTCCAGGTCAGCTAATAAATCCAACAGATCCAACAAATCAAACAAATCATCAACCTCATCGACAACAACTCCATTAGTCTCGAGATCAAATACGCGATCAAGTACTCAATCGAATTCTAAATCAAATTCATCACTAACTACTCCATTAGTTTCGAGATCAACTGCCAGGTCGTCCAGAGCATCTTCAATAGCAACAGGTAGATCTGTAGCTAATTCTACTGTCAATTCTTCACTTGCTGACATATCAATTGGTTCACCCAATTCACCGCCTATTTCTCCAGTTAATTCTCCCGTTGCTTCACCAGCTAATTCTACTGTCAATTCCCCAGTTAATTCGCTTGTTAAATCTGCAGGTAACTCACCTAAAAGATTATCATCTATTGTACCAAATGAGGAATTGATAAACAATGAAAATGGTAAATACAATTTTCTCTTTGGTGTTACTCTCAATTGTTATTCCTTAAACTTATTGACCAATTTTTTTCGTTCCTTTCACTTTTATTCAAGATTATGAGAGCATTGAACATGGAGAAATGATGACCAATGAAGATGATGATGCAACAACTTGTCCATTTGTTTCATCTCCGGCAGTTAATCCAACAGTCGAATTGGATAATCCAGTGATCACTAATGATAATATTGATCCTGTTGAAGAGGCTGGTAAGAAAAGTTCAACAACAATTTATATTGAATTAACTCAAATTTAACTGCATTTCGTGCATTTTATGTAAATTATCATCAAATCTAATTCTTATTCTTCTTTAGCCAGAGTATCAACACCGTCTACCAGTCGATTAACGACCTTAATTGAAAAAGTTGCCAGTACACCAGTTAAGATAACCACCCCAAGGAAATCTCTCTCAGGTGTTTCATCAGCCAGAGTATCAACATCATCGACCATTCAACCAACCACCTTAACACCAACTAGAATTAGTTCTTCATCAAGACCTAAAAGATTCCTTAAAAACAAACGAATTCAAACATGGAGAGGAGAACGTCCAATTTATGTTCCATTGGAAAACGGATGCTACAAAATCATCGGCACTTCAGCTCCTCACACTCCAGATTTTATGAAAAGAAAAAAGCGAGTAACATTGAAAAGAAAAAAAATGAACGAACCAAAGGAAAAAGATCCCGAAGACCAAGTCGATGTTTCGGAAACTTTTGTGGAAAAAAGTGACACAACAAAGGAAAAGTTGTCCAAGATTTTCCTTAATCGAGAAAATCTCAACTGGAAAAAATTAAAAGTCCACAAGAATCTTGAACATGCATCACTAATAAAATCAAAGGAAGATAAGCAGATCGTTGGTTATTTCCGTTTTATCGAAAAATGCAACAAACCAGTTAACAAAACAGGAAAATATTTACAATTATACATCCTGATGGAAGGGAGTATCGCCGTCACGATTGAAGATGAGCCCCCGGTTCTGATTAAGAAATTAGATCCAGTGATTATTCCTCCAGAGACAAATTATTCAATGGAAAATATGATTGACGGTGAATCAATTTTACTTTTCGCTATTCTCTGAGTACAAAGATGAAATTTTCCATTGATTTCATATCATCAATTTGTGGTCAACTTTATACAAAGAATCTGACTAATTATTATTATATTGTCACAATCAACTACTCTTCATTTACTTACAAAACATCTTAATTCTTTACTTTCTCATGCTAATTTCTCTTCATCATCACCATGTAAATAGAAAAATGAATTTCTATCAGATGTTTATCCAGTAAAACACAACAATAATCATGAATAAAGGTGAACATCCATTCATCAATTACCCAACTAATCAGAATTGAATTTTCCACGACAGTTCCAGTTAAATGGTTGAATCAAATCAATGATAATCAAACGCTCGATTAAGATTAAATTTACCTCTTCTACAAGAGGGGTTATTAATTATAGTGAAAGTGATCAATTGACAAAAACAAAATTGTGGGTGTTACAAGTTAATTGTTACCCTCCCATTCAATTTTCAGTAATTGTAATTAAATTGGTTTACCTTCATGTTGCTCTTGAAAAGTGAGTTTTTCCTTGAATTTCAGGTTGAATTGCAGATTCATTTCATGAAACTTGTTTTCCATGTTCACTGGATTGAGGTAAACGATTGTTGATAAATTACAACTTTAAATTGATTCTTTAAAGTTAATGTATCATTGATTGTTGTTGATTGTTATTCTCATTTGGTTCACAATTTTTTTTTAATGTCACTCTGATCTCAAATATCCCAATCAGTTGGTGAAAAGAAAACAATATTTTCATAACAAGAAACTTTGATTATCATTCAATCAACTATTTGTGATTGTTTACCTTCAGTATTTTCACCAGAATAAGAATCATCTTTTAATTGTCTTGTCAATTGTGTTTTATGTGATCAACTTCAATTGTCACAATTAAAATTGGAGAATATAATTCAACTGTCTGGCCATCGTCAAAAAGGCTCTTTGTTTAGTTAATTGTTTCTCCTTCTAATTAGGTGATGACTTGAGTTTCTCATCTCATGCAATTGGAATCAACAGAAAAACAGTGAGTGTCACATTCGTCCATTGGAAATTTACCTGAAAAAGACAATCAAATCAAAAGGTTAGTTCTTATTGAGAATAGAAAAAAAACCAAAAAAAAAAAAAGAAAAGAAAAAGATAAATAGATAAATAGATAAATACCAACAAAAGAATAGATAACTTACCTTATTTATCGTTCTCTTCGTGTTTTCATCTTTAATTCATCACAATTATCATCAACTTGTAATCATAATTGTTTCTAATTACAAGTTAATCCTTTAGAATCTCAATGAAATTAATTCCAAACAAAATCCATTTGTAAACAAGTTAAAAAAAGAAGCTTAGATTTGCCTCTTTCTTTTTTCTCTCTCTTTGTTCCTCTCATTTGTTTACATTTTCTTCCCTTTCTCTCCCTCTCTCTCTCTTTCTCTCTCATTTCTAACTGAGCTTCTTTTTATTGTCAACTTTTCATCAGATTTAATTTCAACTGATCAAATCATCGTCAACATTTTAATTCATCATCCAACTGATTCCATGGAAATAATTTCAATCTAATTTCAATGTGATAAATTTTCTGGTTCCACTTTTGTTTTGTTAACAACAATCAACCTTTAACCATAAAGAAACATAAGTGAGAGAGATTGGATTTTCATTTCATCTTCTAGTCATCATTGGATTATCATAGTATCTTCATCATTCACCATAATCTTATTTTTAAATTGTTGTAAATACAAATAGTTTTAATTTAATATTCCATCTTCAATTATGGCCAAAAATTCAAATTCTAGAATCAAATGGAGATTCGTTTTTGTTGCCATTTCCTTTTACGGTTTCATCCTCAATCATGGGATTAAAAATATTCTCAGTGTAACAATCGTTGCCATGTCCGGTTCGGAGATGACCAATAGCACCTCTTCCAATTTAACCTTAAGGTCAAATGAAACTTCCGATGACGATAATAAACTTGACTGGTCCCATTCTACTCGAAACACCGTGTTACAGGCCTTCTTTTATGGGTATGCAGCCTCCCAAATACCCGCTGGACGATTGGCCGAGATTTTTGGTTCTAAGCACATCTTTGGTACTGGTGTTTTCATCTCATCCCTTTTATCATTTGCTTTTCCCTTTGCTGCCCGTTGGTCAGTGGCAGCAGCTTTTGTTTGCCGTCTATTTCAAGGATTATGTTTAGGTGTCACTTTTCCAGCGATGCATTCAATGTATGCCCGATGGGCACCGATTGGTGAAAGATCAATGGTTGGTTCATTTATCTATTCGGGTGGACCTATTGGAATTGTTTTCTCTGGTACTCTGGCTGGTTTTCTTTCGGGAACTGATTGGCTTGGTGGTTGGCCTGCTATCTATTATATACTCGGTGGTGCTGGTGTTGTTTGGTACATACTTTGGTGTACTCTTGTCTACGAGTCACCTGAAGCTCACCCATGGATTAATGAGAGAGAGGTTTCTCTCATCAATTTAGGAAGAGCTAAAACTCAAGACAATAAGGTGAGTGAACATTGAACATTCATCATGTTCTCGAAGGAAATTTTCCTATCTTTGTTTATTCAGAACTTTTATTCCTCTCTCTTTCTCTCTTTCAATTTGGATAGTGAGAAGAATTCAAAACATGAATACATAAGAGAGAGAGAAAGAGAGAGAAAGAAGAGAGAGATAAAGAACTCGATATTGACTTAAGAAAACAGCTCATTCGAAGGCCATTCTGGTTCGGTAGAGGTTATTGTGTCTAATGTGACCTATTTTGTTGATTTAATTGTTATTAGCCAAGCGAAAGTGTGTTATTGTTAAAAAGATACTGAGAAAAGGTAACAATTAATTGTTCCTCTTTTTATTTTGTACTCATTCAACTGACATTTATTCAAGTTAATTGTTGGTTTAAATCAGAAGGTGTTCAGCTTTGATTGTATAAATTGTTTGAACAGAATTGAATAATCATGTTCACCGAAACTCTGATCACAATTGAGGAAGAAGAGGAGTGAAGATTAATCTAATTAACTAATCCAATTCAATCTAATTATTATAACTATGATCAACTTCTCTCTCATTGTATCTGTATTTCTAATTGTGTACTTTCAACTTAAATTGTTGCCAATTAATTATCTCAATATTTCCCTCCTATCATTTTTTTGTTGATTATTGAAGTGACAACAAAAAAGTTTGGAAAGTTACTAATCAATTAATTTTTCTATCAATTAAAACCAATAGATTAACATAATCAGATTACAGTTAATCAAAGATCAACATTTGAGATTTATTCTCATCAATTTTAATCTTTGAACATTAATAGATTAACGGATTTTGATTAATCTACCCAAAGTATATTCAGTTAATATTGATTAGTTATCAATTATTTTTTTTCGCTAAATTGATACGATGACATAAACGAATTGTTGTAAATTAGTTAATCAATTAATTGCTAATATTAATCAATGGAATTTTAAACATGGTTGTCATTTATCAGCAACAATTTAGATTCAAGTTAATTGTTTCAATATTTTAATCTTTTCACTGTTTGGTTGGTTTTTCTTCAAGTTTCAATTCTACACCAACAATTTACTAATCACAATTAACATGATAATGGTTTCAAGTTGATATTTATTTCAAGACCATTATCAATATAATTACCCTTGACATGGGAAATTCATGTTCATCACTTCACAGATCATGTAACAATTAACTAAATACAGGAAGTTAAATGTTATATTTTTTTCACTTAACTGATTTAAAGTTTAAATAGTCATTCCTGATGGTTAATTAAAATTATATATTGGCCAATCAACAGCTACAATTAAGCTAGCAAGAAAAAAAATATACTAATTGTCAACTCATTCAACAGTTTTTTTTGTTGTTGTTGATTGATCATCATTGATTGTCAGCAATACAATTAACTTGTAATATATTTGCTGTTAATCATATCTATGAATGATCATGGCTGCAAGTGATTTAATTATTGTTAGCAATTTATCATCTCAGGCAATTAAATGCTTATATCAACAGTTTTTAATCATCTTCTCATAGATTTTGTTATTATCTCATTTATATTTTTTGTGAGTATTGATTTAATGATCTTCCGGTTGACAATAACATGATTAAAACATAGACTGATTAATTGATTATCATTTTCTTTCAACGTTAATCATTGTTATTAAAACAGACAAATATGTAAACATTAATTGCACCATCGTCTCAATCAACCTTGTGATCACAATCACAATCACATTATTGTTGATCAATTACTTTTCCCATCGGAATGATTTCCAGAACAATTATCTTGATCTGATCTTTTTTTCTATTCTTTTTAATCATGTTTCTGAATTATCTCCTCAGATTCCACCGCTTCCAATTGAAGAAATGTTGACTTCCCTTCCCTTGTACGCAGCGATCGCAAGTCAATTTGCTTACACGTGGGGACTTTACGTGGCCGCGACCCAAGAGCCCACTTATTTGGCTGAGATTTTGGGCATGAAAATTGAATCGGTAAGAATTGAGGATGAACATCAATTATAATAATAATGATAATGAAGGGAAAAGCTTATTTGAAAAAAAGGATTCACACAAGTTTTTGTTTTCAACAATTAGAGTTAATTGTTTACACTAAAGTGTTTGAAAAAAATTGAGATGCTGGTTTGGAGACAATGGACTTAAATTAATCGGTTGATTGCAGATAATTAAGGCATTTTTGGTGAATTATTTGGACAAGTGTATAATTGAATATAATGATAATTGTGATTATGAATCCTTTGTATCTCCCATGTAATTTTTCCTGATTAAACCAATCGGATTTAATTGGAACAGTTGATGAGATACTTTCGATTGTTGTTTCTTTTAGTTGCTTTGATTAATTAGTAATAAGTATCAGCAGTTAAAAAAAAGGCGGATTCATTGATAGTTGGGTTGTAATCAAATTTGTGGATGCTTATTGAAATGATTAAATAAATTGTTGTAATATTTGTACGTTCGACCACATAATCGACATCGATAGAGAAAAAGGTGAGAAGTTAAATGGTTTTTGATGGCCCGAATTTTGGTTGATTTACCTGCGGCCGAATGACAGGTTCCAGCGTGTGGTGGGTATAAACAAACGTAAAATTTATCCTCTTTACCAATTACAGAGGAAAATACTTTCTCCATCATTTCTTTGTTAATTGAACGATTTCCATTGAAAATTTGGTAACACAATCCAGTTGGATGATGGGTGAAAATGTACATATCATCAACTTCGAGTCCAATATCGTTAACAGTTTCACCTTGTTGACCACCACTGTTAATTATTAATGGTTGATCCAACATATCCATTGGGTCATCATCATTTTCTGAGATCAATCCAAGTCTGAGATCAGTTGAATCATTATCCTGGTAAGATTCATCTTCTAATTGTTGTTTAATTATCTTATTTTTAACAGTTACTCCTATAGGAGACTTATTTTTACGCTTGGTCACTTTAAGCTCTTTGATAATTTCATTTTTTAATTGGTAAATGGTTTGATCATCATCTTCAGCTTCTTCCATCAGATCAACACCAGATTGTAATGAAGATGAAGATCTAAATTGAGGAGATTCATAATAATTAACCTTATTACCAATATTATTGTAAAGTATATTGGGCATTAATCCATGACTATTATTATTATTATTATTATTAACTGTTACTAGATTTTTTGAAGAGACACCATCAATATAATTTGGTGAACGTCGGGTTACGGTAGGTTTACGTCGGGAACGAGGTAAACTGACTTGTATTGCTTTATCAACCATAAATGGTGATTCTGTTTGCATACCAACATCACGATAGGTAATAAAAGGTACATCGTAATCATCATTAACAGTATAATCATCCTCTAGATTGCTTAAGCCATCATCATCCGAGTCAATTAATTTAACAGTATTTGATTCGGTTTCAACGAAATTATCAAACTTTGCTTGCACTTCAATTCCATTAGCAAGTACTGATTATAATTATAATGGTGATGGTAGTGGTGGTGGTGGTGTAATAATCGAGGAGGAAGGTATAGATTCTCAGGTAAATGGTTAGAAACAAAACTTAATCACTGTCACATTAAAGGCTTTGTTTTCAATTTTCCCAGACAAACCAACCAACTTAATTGCACTAAATTGAGATGAAGAAAAGCAATAGAAAAAAAAAAAAGAACAGGATTAATATACAAATTGTCAACAATTTAAATGGAGAGATTAAAAAGAGAAACAATAATAGAAAAATATACAATAAATGGTGATTCTGTTTGCATACCAACATCACGATAGGTAATAAAAGGTACATCGTAATCATCATTAACAGTATAATCATCCTCTAGATTGCTTAAGCCATCATCATCCGAGTCAATTAATTTAACAGTATTTGATTCGGTTTCAACGAAATTTATCAAACTTTGCTTGCACTTCAATTCCATTAGCAAGTACTGATTATAATTATAATGGTGATGGTAGTGGTGGTGGTGGTGTAATAATCGAGGAGGAGGGAAAGGTATAGATTCTCGGGTAAATGGTTAGAGAAACAAAACTTAATCACTGTCACATTAAAGGCTTTGTTTTCAATTTTCGCCAGACAAACCAACCAACTTAATTGCACTAAATTGAGATGAAGAGAAAGCAATAGAAAAAGAAAAAAATAAAGAACAGGATTAATATACAAATTGTCAACAATTTAAATGGAGAGAAATTAAAAAAAGAGAAACAATAATAGAAAAATATACAAAAGAGAAAAGAAAAAAATGTAAAAAGAAAGAGAAAAAGAAAGTAAATGTAAGGATGAGGTTAGTTGTGTTTCTGTAACAAGAAAAAACAACTTGGTGTATGTTTGATTAATTAAGATGATTTCATTTCTCTTTTATCATTTAAATTACTATTGTAAACTTACCTTGGGAATTTAGGTTTGTGGTGATGATTTAATCACATTATAAGGAACAATTTAGAGAGAGAATTTGGTTTAATGGTTGAGCTTTTGGTGTGACGATTTTGGATTAACGGGATGGACACAAAGGAAAAACAAAGAGTAGAACAAAAAATGAATAACAAATGAGAATATTATTGTAAAGTATATTGGGCATTAATCCATGACTATTATTATTATTATTATTATTAACTGTTACTAGATTTTTTGAAGAGACACCATCAATATAATTTGGTGAACGTCGGGTTACGGTAGGTTTACGTCGGGAACGAGGTAAACTGACTTGTATTGCTTTATCAACCATAAATGGTGATTCTGTTTGCATACCAACATCACGATAGGTAATAAAAGGTACATCGTAATCATCATTAACAGTATAATCATCCTCTAGATTGCTTAAGCCATCATCATCCGAGTCAATTAATTTAACAGTATTTGATTCGGTTTCAACGAAATTTATCAAACTTTGCTTGCACTTCAATTCCATTAGCAAGTACTGATTATAATTATAATGGTGATGGTAGTGGTGGTGGTGGTGTAATAATCGAGGAGGAGGGAAAGGTATAGATTCTCGGGTAAATGGTTAGAGAAACAAAACTTAATCACTGTCATTAAAGGCTTTGTTTTCAATTTCGCCAGACAAACCAACCAACTTAATTGCACTAAATTGAGATGAAGAGAAAGCAATAGAAAAGAAAAAATAAAGAACAGGATTAATATACAAATTGTCAACAATTTAAATGGAGAAATTAAAAAGAGAAACAATAATAGAAAAATATACAAAGAGAAAGAAAAATGTAAAAAGAAAGAGAAAAAGAAAGTAAATGTAAGGATGAGGTTAGTTGTGTTTCTGTAACAAGAAAAAACAACTTGGTGTATGTTTGATTAATTAAGATGATTTCATTTCTCTTTTATCATTTAAATTACTATTGTAAACTTACCTTGGGAATTTAGGTTTGTGGTGATGATTTAATCACATTATAAGGAACAATTTAGAGAGAGAATTTGGTTTAATGGTTGAGCTTTTGGTGTGACGATTTTGGATTAACGGGATGGACACAAAGGAAAAACAAAGAGTAGAACAAAAAATGAATAACAAATGAGAGAGAAAAAGAAAAGGAAAAAGATAAACTCGCCTGGTTACTTTTTCTCTTTCTTTTTTTCTCTCTTTTTTCTCTGAGCATGTTCACTTTTTCTGATTTATCATTTTTTTCGCATATTTTGTGTCAATTATTATTATTATTATTATTGGTAATCAATTGGAATTTTTAAGCCTTTTGTCTTTTAATTACTATAATTAACATTGTAACATTTTTAACACTATTGTTAACTTTGTTTGATTGGGATTAGAATTTACAATTATCATTTGTATGTTTGGGATACATTTCATTTAGAATTTTTGTTTCAGGCTTTAAGGTTTAGTGATTGTTTTTCTTTTTCCGCTGTAACGAATTCAGCTAATTCCATTTCACTTCGAATCATAATGAATTCATTTCGCTTCCAAAATTGTCTGCATAAGATTATAATCAAAAAAGTTAAGAAAATCCTGTTGAAATAGTTGTCGTTCTTGAGATACTCCGGTTCAAGATCTAAACAGATCCAATGGTAAACGAGACCGTACAAATTAACCAACGATACAAACATGAAAATAACAAGAAAAAATCACAACAATAAATTAATTAGTTCAATCAATTAGTCTAATTAAATTATAATAATCAAGAGACAATCAAATACCCTTGAGACTTTTCACCGTCATAATTATTATCAGGATCTATCTTTTGTATTTAGGAGCAGCATTAGAACCAGCGATGAATTGCAGCAGGTTGATCACAAAGAGCTGTCGATCTGTGGAATCCTCGTCTCCCCACTAATCTACTCGATAATCTCAATAATTGAACAAATTTAAAAGACATAATTGTAATCAGTTAAATGACAACAAACAAGAAAATCTCATTTCCAAAAAATCAAAACAAAAACAAAAAACCTACGAAAAGGTAACGACATCTCGTGAGTTATAAGTTTACTTTTTTTACTTTTTCGCTGAAAATAAAACTTTGATTAAGTTTCTATGAAATCAACTCTTTGTTGATCTATGAAGAGTTAATTTTTGTTTCTCTATTTAATTGTTACAATTAAATTAATCCATTCTCTGAGCGAGTCTTAAGTTGATAAGTGAAATTGTTGAGTTGACAAGCACTTGTATCGTCTTACCGACCCAATGATCTTGATGAACTTGAGCTTAAAATGGAAAAATGAAATTTTATTAATCAATATCATTGAATTTTCTACAATCAAGGAAAATGTTAGGTAAGCCAGGTGAAAGGTAAAGTTAGAGTATGAGGAGCAGTGAAAAGGTAAGAAACACGGGTAACATTTTACCTTCTAGGCTGTGAAGAGAAGATAAAGTTCTCGAGGCTTTGCATCCATTGGAAGGCCACTGACAAATAATGTTCGTACCTAAGGTTAGAACATGATGAAGTTGAAGAAAAAAGTAAACGAAAGCAAAAAGAAATACAAGAAACGGTACAAAAGTAGAAGAGAAATGAAAAAATATCAAAGGGAAGGAGAGAATGATAGAGAGAAAGAGAGGTAGAGAAGAGTTATGTTCGAAAAACGAATATAAAGAAATAAAAGAAATAAAAACTAATATCGTAAAAATTTTCGAATTTCGGTGAGAGAGGGAGAGAGAAAAGAAATTAACAGAAATGTTATCAACTCACCTCTTCTTCAGGGAAATTATTGACTGAATCCATACTCTGGCTTAAAGTCATTGAGAAGAGTGAAGAGACAATTTTCTTTGGTTCGAAATCAACAGATAGTAATAAGATTTAATTGAGAACCGATGGTTTCCGAGGTAAATTGTAAATGACATATTCTCAGTCGAGGAGTTTGTTACTTTTCCTCTTCTCTTTTCATCTTCTTCTTTCGCACTTTCACCGACAGACAAAGGTAATTCTCTTTCTTTCCCTATTATATTTCGACTTAGCCATTTATTGGATAACATTAGTAACAGTTACAATAAAAGAAATGAACAATCAACTAAATTACTTTGGCCCATGGAGAATAAACCTAAACTTATATATACAATTGAATTGAAAAATTTAAAAGACATAATTGTAATCAGTTAAAAGACAACAAACAAGAAAATCTAATTTCCAAAAAATCAAAACAAAAACAAAAAACCTACGAAAAGGTAACGAAATCTGATGAGCTATTCACTAAATTGTAATTTCCCGGTAAATAGTTATCATTAATTTTGCTTCTTATTATGAATTAAAATGATCATAATGATTGATAAGCAACAATTTTCATTGATAATTAAGTTTTCAATTTCAAAATTAAGTGATTTTGATTAATTGTCACGGGTTATCTAAGTATGAAAATACAGAGGGAAATCTTTGATTTTACTGAATTTAATCAGTAGATTTGAAGGTAATCATTTTGCTAAGTTTTATGTTTGATTTGTTATGTTGTTTTACAATGATTATGATGATTAAGTGGTTGATGATTGGTGTATAATCGTAAAAAATTTCTAATGTAAAACTCCTGCAGCCAAGACTAAATTTCTTCGAGTAAAATGAATAGCGATTACATTAGTTGCTTTAGTCTTAAATGTTTTCAGAAGGATTTTATCGGTATTCGTTCTGACCGTTGGTGATCTTGCCATGTTCATATCTTCAGAATCAGCTTCATCTAATAGTTTAGCCAAATCCCAAAGGATGATACAATCATCGGCACCACCAGAAGCCAACATAACACCATCTCTACTAATTGATAGGGAATAAATTGTCTCAGTATGACCCGGAAGACAAGCGATTAGATAACCATGAGTTAAATCCCAGATGAAAATCTTTTTATCTTCTCCACCGGAAACCAAATATCGACCGCAAGTAGTAAACAAAAGAGTATAAATTTTTGCTTTGTGTCCAGTAAAGTATCGGACACATTGGCCAGTTAAAACATCCCACAGTCGAATAGTTTTATCGGTTGATCCAGTGGCAACATAATTAGAATTGGGATGAAATTGAATACACTGAAAGAAGAAAGAAAATCAAAAATTATTAATAAATAAATTGAAAATCGAAACAAAAAACCAAAGGTATTCTCTTACATCGACATCTGATAAATGTCCGACAAAAAATCGTAAAGGTTGGTGAGAATCGGTGGACCAAAGACGAGCTGTACGATCGTGGCCACAAGAGGCAAAGTAATAACCGTGTGGACTGAATACCGCTCCCCATACAGGGAAACAATGTCCTTTGTAACAACAGATATTTGTCCATGTCTGCATACTCCATAATCTAATTGTTGAATCTTCGGAAGAGGAAAGTAAAAGATTTCTATCAGGACTGAAAGATAGTGAATAAACTGGACCATTGTGACCATTTAAAACTTTGAGATCGGTGGCACTTTTTTCATCCATCATTCTAACCAAAACATCATCGGCTTCTCGATCAATAAAGTCCAAATCTTGAGCTGATTTCATGGTTCGCAGTTTGTTGGGTGTTAATGACCAGACTTTTATCGTTGAATCTGATAGACCAACACTTAAAAGTGATGAATCTTCAGAGATTTCCACACATAGAACGGCCATATTGTTATTCACATTGGCATTTAGTAGAGTATAAAAACAAATAGAAGGTAAAACTTCACTATTTAACTTTAGACATCTTGTTGCTTCTCTCATACGGTGAATTTTATCCAATTTTTCAGCATCTCTCAATTCAGGCAATGGAATCCTAGTGGATGGAGGAGCATTTGGATCATTTCGAGCTCTCTTGGAAAGTAATGTGTCTCTTTTTGACTTCTTTTTCTTGGGTTTCTCCCCAGATTCACCTGTAGCATCGGCGGTATTGTCATCACCATCATCGTCCAAAGTGGATAAATTTATCTCTGGTTCTTTCAATAAACCAACGTAAACTTTTGATTTATTGATCTCTCTAATAGCATCTACATCAAGACCATCACCAAGCTTATGATCCATTTTTGTTTCTATTCAATTAAATTCAAATTAACCGACATAAAACAAAATCAGCTGAAATCTTTTACTATTGAGCCAAAATCTTAACCAAAACAAAAAGAGTCAAAATAAAAATATCAACAAAAACACAAGAAAGGAAAGATTTCAATTTACACCAATTGGTTCCACTATTAAAGAAACAATTACAGAAACAATTTTTAAAGATAAAAGTAAATGTTAATCAATAACAATTAATAAATTAAAAGCCAAAAATTATCAGATTGACAATTAGACAAAAATTAACGTTTTTTCATTAAGCTCATTATAAGCCGAGAATCTGAGCCATAAAAGAAAACAAAAGAGCTGCCATCTAGTGGGAAAACTATTTTCTCTTTCTCGTTCTCTTTCTTTTCTCTTTCGGTGAAAAATCGGCGATTAGCTGATCTTCTTTTCTAAGCTGAACTTCAGCTGTTGAATGTGTTTTTTTTCTTGATTCAATTGTGAAAAAAACGTTATTTTTTATAAGATAATTGCCAATTTAATAATTTTGACTTTTAATTTACTAATTGTTATCGATTAACATTTGCTTTTATCTCTGAGAATTGTTTCTTTAGTAGTGAAACTATTTGGTGTCAATCGGAAATCTTTTGTTTCTTGTGTTGTTTTTATTTTGAATCTTTGTTGGTCTCAATCTTATTGCCTTTGATTTATTGAAAAGAGGAGTTGATTTACTCTTTTTCTTGATTGGTTAAATTAATTGGATCTACATCATCGATTAAAATGGACGAAATGGTTAGTGATGACGAGGATTATATGGTTGATAAAGAAATGATCGAAAGTAAGAACCAGAGTAGTGATGGTGATTCAGATGAAGATGAAGATGATTCCAGTGGTAATAATGGAGATGGCGATGAAGATGAAGATGAAGATGATGATGATGATGCTGATGATGATTTAGAAAGATTAAAAGAAGTCAAATTGATCCAAGATCATCTTCTGGATAATCCATATGATTATGATCAACATGTAAAACTAATCGAGATCTCTGGTCAACTGGGAGATTTAACGTTACTTAGAAAGGCTCGAGAAAACATGGCTTCCAAGTTCCCGCTAACACCTTCACTATGGATTGACTGGATTCGTTTGGAAAAAGATTACGTTGAAACAGAAGAGGATAAAATCGCCATAATTGGTTTATTCGAACGAGCTCTTAAAGATTATGTCTCAGCTCAACTGTGGCTTGAGTACATTTATTTTGTTGTAATGATTCCAGGTGAAGAATCCAATGTGAAAAGAGTTCGTGATATTTGCGAACGAGCAATAGCTTCGGTTGGGTTACATGTTGTCGATGGAGCATCAGTTTGGATTGCTTATAGAACCTTTGAATCAGGAATAATTGAATTCATCGATTCCAAAGAGGTAGAAAGTCAGTACAAAAGGATTTTCGAATTGTTTAAGCGACAATTGTCCATTCCCTTTATTGATATGGAAGACACTTTACAAGAATTTCATGTTTGGTATGAAAAAGCATCAACACAATGTCCCGGTTTAGATGTTGATCCTAAATCTATCAATTATGGATACGAACAAGCTCATTCTCTCTTAAAAAAGTTGAATACCTTTGAACAAGAATTAACCAATTCTGAGCCTCCTCATTACAACGAATATATGAAATATATTGAATATGAAGAAACCAATGGAACCCCTGCTCGTGTACAATGTATATATGAAAGAGCTTTACTTGAAAACTGCCTACAACCCGAACTTTGGATAAAATATACTAAATATTATGACACTAAAATCCAAGATCTGTCTCAGGTTACACTTATTCACGAAAGAGCTGTTCGAAATTGCCTTTGGACAGTTGGTATATGGACAAATTATCTTCGTTCACTAGAGAGGAATCGTGCTGACCATGAAATTGTTCTAGCCGTTTTCGAAAGGTCCATTCAGATTACTTTTCAATCTGGTAAAGATTATCTTGAACTTTGGTTAACCTATTTAGATTATTTGAGACGACGTACCGATTGGAATGATGAGACTCAAGTTACACAATTGAGGAAAAATTTTACCACCGCGATTGAACATCTAGTAGTTTCGAAGATGGTGATGATTCGTGTACCATTCCTCTTTATATGGCGACGATCGAAGCAAAGTATATAAAAAATATTGATGAAGCTCGACGAATTTGGAAAGAATTGTTACAAACTCGAAAAGATTTAACTACAAATGTGACAACTTGGATCGAGTATATAAACTTTGAAAAGCTTTACGGTGACAATGAGAGTGTCAAAAAAGCTCTGATCAAAGGATTAAATTCTAATGTTGAATATCCGGAAACTATCGGCGGATTATTGATAAAATACACTCGTGAAGAAAGCAAATCAATCACTGAAGTCGATGAAGTAACCAAAATCTATGAGAAAACAATGGCCAGAGTGACAATTAAACGGGAAGAAAGTTTGAAAAAGAAGCAAGAAGAAAAAGCCGCCAAATCAAAATCAAAAACGAGCGATGGAAAAAGAAAAAGACCCGCTGAACAAAACGAAGATGAACTATTTAAAGTACCCGATCAACCTCCAAGTAAATTGAATAAATTGAGCGATGAATCTAAAGGTAAACACCGAATGTCGGCAAACGCTGTGAAAGATGAGAAAATATTAGCAGAAATGGAAAGACAATCAACTTACAAAGAGAAAGGTGAAGATAAAAAGTTGAACACAATTGTAGTCAAGAATTTGAAATACTCCATTCAGGAGGATAAGTTACGTGAAATTTTCTCCCAATTTGGTGAAATTGTCGACATCCGTTTGGTTCGAAATTACAAAGGTCTATCAGCTGGCTATGGATTCATTGAATTCTCTCGAATTTCATCAGTAAAAGAAGCTCTGAAAAACGATAGAATGCTAATCGAGGATCGGCCCTGTTTCATTGATGAAATGGGTAAAAAGAATGTACCACAATTTAGTAACTGCCGGGAAAATAATAAATTGTTCGTTAACAATTTAGATAAACAAGTTACACAAGATCAACTATCAACTATATTTGGTCTTTATGGTAATATTAAAGATATTCGCATTGGAACTGCTAAAAACGGTAAACCCAAAGGATATGCTTACATTGAATATCAAAATGAAAGAGATGCCAAAGAAGCACTTAAAGAAAATGGAAAAGTGATCAACGATAGACCAATTAAAGTTCAAATCAGTGATCCACCCGTTAAAGGTACTAAACAAGATACTCGATTTCTTGGCTCTGGACTAATTCAAACACCAACATCAACGATCTCAGCTAAACGTCGTATCGATATTCCTACTTCGATGGTTCCACCATCAGTTCGGCGGAAAATGATTGCTGATCAACAGAAACCATCCACATCTTCATCATCAGTCACCTAATGGTCAAGATGAGATGGTCACTTAATTTTCAATTCTGCAAAATATCAACTGTAAATTATTTCTCATTCTTGTCTTTCATCTGAAACTCTTTTCGTAATAAGATGATGAGATTTATATTCAGAATTTGAAAGAAAGCTCAAGATAATTGATCTATTGTGAAAAAATTTCCAACTTAATTACATCTAAAAAATGATAAATTATTTTTTGATTGTATCAACAAGTAATTAAAAGTATCGATCAGTTGAATCAAAGTTTTATTTATAAAGAAAAGTGGTAAAAAACACCGACTCGTTTAATTTCATTATCTTGTTAATTAACTGAATTAAGCGAATGACAGTTAAATCTTTACCTTTACAATTTACGATAAAATTAAGCCTAAAGACAGAATGTCCAAGAAATTTAACTAGACAAAGGAACAGTATTGAAGATGATTTAGTTGAAATGAATCAATTAGCTGATTAATTGATTGTTATTTGGATTTTTTTTCAAATTATTATATTTTCTAGTTCTATGGTCAATTAGTGATTGAATGTTGTTTTAATTTCCTTGTGTGTTAAACAATACCCGATGAAATTGATTGTAAATCAAAGTTAACCGTCAATTTGCTGAAATAAATCACAATTAAATGAGTAATTTATTGATTGGTTGACATTAAATTTCATATTCTAGCAATTGAATGATAATCTACATGGAAAACATCATTTGATTTACTTTAGTGACTCAAGTATAACGTTTTGCTTGATATTCAACATTAATTCAAAGTTATTTACTAGTGATCAAGATAGAGAGTGGAAATGTATCTCAGTCGATTTAGTTTCATTTTAATTATATCGATGTTCACAATTAGTGTTAATTGTGAAAAATCTCGGATTTTAATTGAAAACGCAGAAAAGGCTGTGGGTAAGTAAATTTCGAGCCAAATGATTATAACTTAATTCAATTAACAAACGAGTAAAAATAGATAAGAATTGAAATAATCAACCTGAGGAAGAATACTAATCGTTATAACATTCGATAGCTTATTCAGAGCTAATCAAATGTGATCGGTAAAGTTAATTACTGTAGTTGATTGTTGATTTTACAGATAGTTGAATGGGTGAAGTGTAAGTGGGAAAAGAGGAAGTGTCAGTCTGCAGAATGATTTGTTAATTGTAACAATAATGTTCAGTAGATTTAATGTTTACAACTAATTGTTTGATTCGTTATTGTGATGAGCAGATAATCTTGATCGATCGGGTCGAGGAGTTTTGGCCGGAAACGAAGCGGAGACTCTTTTCACGATGGTAGAAGATTTTTACTCTGAATTCAAGGAACTCATCATGAAATTCACGAACAGTTTTGGTGAGACATACAAGTTACCAGGAGATGTAATGAACTTAATCCTCAGCCTTGTCCATCCTTTGGGCTATTCACCTGAATACGATTCAGAGATCGGTAGTTTCACCGAAAAATATGAGGCACAACATGGATCAAGGATTCGACCCTCACCATCTTCTCATGGACCTTCGAGACCCCATTATCCAAACTCTCGGTTGTTTTAAAGTTCTAATAAAAAACAATCCAAACAATTAAGACGAAAAAAGGAAAAAAGTTTCAACCACAATTATTGAGACGAATGAGCCAATTATTAAATCTATTGTTCTACAGAGAGTTAGCGCTAAAAGAATAGACTTGTTTTCAAAAAAAACTTTCGAATGGAGAAGTTCGTTCAGGCCTAAGTTCAAATTCTATTCGGCAACAACGAGACTTTTTTCTGCATCAACAGTAAGAATGTCTCACAAAACCTTTTATAACTTTGGCTTCTCAGTTAACGGAATTTCGACAATAATTTTACCTCGAACTCTCTGTCCGAAAGTAATTGTAAAACGAACCTATTTTCTAGCGCTATCAACCTGTATATAACCACTAAAGAAAAAATTAAAAATATGATGAGTTGAATTTAGATTTCGAATGCTATGATTTATTCATTTATTATTGATTCTAATTCAAATGCCGATACTAAAGATTTTAGATCTAGAACTTTTCTGGTAGTTGAATTGATTTTCGATCACCAATATAAACTAAACATCAAAAATTTTCGGTGACTTTGAAAGTTCCTGAGGACATTTCAACTTTGATGGTTCAACTTCAGAATCTTCAACTGTCCCTGATATCGATAAATCAAGAAGTATTAATATATATCACTTGCTTATTAATCTTCTCATCAACATTACATGTAAATACAGGGCATTTCACCGAGTTTTCAACAAGTTTTTCTTGAATAACTTTTTTGTTTTTGAGTGTCTAGACCCTAGACTCGAGTTATGGTGTTTTCTGTTTCCTGATGTAACAGATGATTGCGATTTAAATCGTTATTCTTATCCACATTAATTATAGTGAGAAATTGGAGATGAGTAATAGGAAGGTTTAGGTTAGGAGATGCCAATTGACCGGAATATGATCATCACGAGCGTAAGCAAGTAGTAAATACACAATTTGACTCTTGTTGAGTTCATTCATTTTGCGATTCTGCAAGATTTTGTAAACTGAGTGAGAAATTGATGATGAGTAACAGGAAGGTTTAGGTTAGGTTAGGTTAGGTTTAAGGGACATTGGAAATCAAAACAGTAAAGAGAAGTGAAAGATAAAGTGAAAGTGATTTAAATAGTCAAGAATCTGTTACATCAGGAAACAGAAACTTGTGACATTGAAACAGTTTGAAAATCAAAACAGTAAAGCATGAGAGTCGAGAAATCTTTGTGATTTAGGCTCATGTTAATTTAAATCGATTGTGACCATCAAATGACCTTGAAACTGTATCCTAACAAAATGACTGGAATGACCTTGATATTTTAATATGACAATTGAGTATGGCCTAAACCACCATAACTCGAGTCTAGGGTCTAGACACTCAAAAACAAAAAAGTTATTCAAGAAAAACTTGTTGAAAACTCGGTGAAATGCCCTGTAGTGTCTCAAGTACACTCAACGACAAAATAAATGCAAATTCAATTGAATCTGAATATCTTTGTAGTTACAATTAATTAGAAATCAGAACTTTCTGGACTTTATGATAACAATCATATGATCATTTTAATCATAAAAATTTGATCAAAAAACTATTTCCGTTACAGATAATTTACTTTATCTTTTAACTGATTTATATAAAGAGACAAAAAGAATGCAAAATGATCAGTAATTAATTAATCATTGTGATTTAAATTTGTTCTTTGTGCTCTTGACAATTGATTTAATTTCTTGATCTTAGTTTAATATAAATTTCTATCAAAATGTATAGTGAAGATCTAGTAAAAAAGATCAAACTTTTATATGAGCGGCATCAAAGTTTTTCGTTAGTGGCCAAAACTCTAGGCATGTACCCATCTACAGTGATGCGAATCATCAAAAGGAATAGTAGAGATCAAAATGAGACAAGAGGAAGGCCAAAAAAAATTGATAAAAAGACTGAGAGTCGATTGATGAGGAAAGTTCAATTACTCAAGTCCCAAAAGAAACGATGTACGGCCGTCAAATTAAAAGACGAACTTGGTCTCGACAATGTTTCCTTAAGGACAATCCATCGAACTCTCAGAAGAAATGATTTAAAATATTCGAAGGCTAAATTGAAACCAGTTCTATCTAAGAAACATAAGGATGCTCGAGTTGATTGGGCTAAAAAACGAATAAGAGAGAATCTCAATTGGAAAATGGTCGTTTTCTCCGACGAAAAACGTTTCACTCTTGACGGACCTGATAGTTGGTCAACATGGATGAGAGAAGATGAAGAAATGATTCGAGCTCATCGTCAGAATAAGGGAGGAGGGATTATGATATTCGGTATCGTAACGAGTAATGGCTTCCTTTGGGTGAAAGAGTTAAAGGGGAAAGTAAATAGTACCAAATATATTGAGCTACTTTCTCAACATGTTAAGCCAGTTCTCGATGAACATTTTCATGGAGAAAATTATTTTTTTCAACAAGACAATTGTCCCATTCATGTTTCGGCTCAATCTAAAAGATGGTTCAATGAGTCTAATTTTCATGTCATTGATTGGCCATCACGAAGTCCAGATTTGAATATCATTGAGAACGTGTGGTCAATGATGTCGAATATAATTTATTCAGAAAATTCTCATTTTTCTAGATTGGACGAGCTTCGAACCGCCGTTGACAATTGCGTCGATTTTATCAATCAGAATAAACAAAATTGTCTGAAAAAATTATTTGATTCTATTCCTGATCGACTCATTAATGTTATATCGTCAAAAGGAAAAACTTTGAAATATTAATTTAATTGTTCTAATTAACTTTGCATTTTTTTTGTCACAATTATTAATTTGGTTTTGAAAATTCTGTTGATAATTTTTGTTTCATTCATTTTACTGATTCGGTATTAATTGTGAATAATCATGATTATCTTGTCTATCGATTCTGAAAATATAAATTAATTCGGTTGCGAACTCGCTAATTTAATCGAAAATTACCTTAACTGCATTTATTTTGACGTTGAGTGTATGAGTAAGTTAATTGTTGGCTTTTTTGAGTTTCAATTGTCAATTTATACGATCTTATTTCCATTTGGATCTGTTTATGAATGTTTAGAACTGGAATATATTGGAAATTAATTATTATTACATAATTTTCCAAGTTTTCATGATACTAAACTTTAGCTAAATGAAGTTTGACTTGATATGAATTAACTTTACCTCGAAGTGATAAAATATCAATTGTTGATTTGTTTTCTTTTCAGTTGCTATTAGAAACTCAGCATTTTCGACTGATTAGAACAAAACAAAAACGGTTATGATCAATTTTCTTTGTTGTTGATTTCGCTTCATTTCAACAATTTAGTTGAATTTAATTTTTTCGGCAGTTAAATTAATGGACCATCATGTCAATAGCAGGAAAACATGGTTAAAGAAAAAGGTTAGAATTTGTGTTGAATTTTTCTTGATTCATTGATTGATTTTCTTTTCCATTCAGATTGTGTTCGTTTATTGAATAAATTGGCTTTTCTATGTGATCACCAGATAATCTCAATCAATCATATTAATCAGATCAACTATAAGATTATCGCCAGAATTTTCATCTCTATCTTCAATAGACGAGGTGTTTATCCAAATCTGTGTGATGAATGTTTGCCCGAAGAACAACAATTTAAAAAATTAGTTAATTTCTTAGAATCTGATATCCTTCATATTTCTTTGGACCATATTAAGCCTGATGATTTAATTGCTCACAATCCAATTAGTATATACAATTTACTTGAAATACTCGCTGCTTGTGAATTGTATCTCCCCTGTGATGAACAAAATCAACATAGAGATGAACCGATTCAATTAGCATCGAAAGCGTTTCAAGCTCTATCACTTTCACCTCCATTGTCTCCATCGCCTCCAGGACACTCGGATTCTTGGTCTTCTCCGACAAATTCAAGCCTATCCAATGACTCAACCTTTTCACTTTCTTCATCTTCATCCTGTCTCTCTCTTTCATCAATATCATCTATAATTCCAACCCCTCCAGTGATAAAATCTCCTAGTCCTGAATTGATTCCAACTAAACAATTTACTGATTCACCAATTAATCTCTCAAGAGTATTAACTAAGTCTGGAGTTTCTAGTCCTGATTCTGTGTATCTGTTACAGATCCCATGGTGGAAACTCTGAATACGCACCCAAATCAAATCCCCAATCAAATAAATCATCATCTTCATCATCATCATCACCAGGCAATAGATTTACCGAAACCAAAGGAAGACGCAAAGTCGACAAAGCCACGAATACAGAGCCTGAGGATCTAAGGAAACAACACCAAGAATCCGATTTAGAAAAGTTTGAACAAAGATTTGAGAGTTATGAAGCATTGGCTTCTCATAGATTCGCCCTCGAGATTGGACATAAATTACAACGAGCTTTAAGATTGGAAGAAGCAACCAAGCAAATAGAGGCCAAACTTTGTGCCATTACGGGAGAGCTAAACACTAATGTCCCCAAAAAACACACGAACAAATCGAATGGGAAAAGAAAAACTTTACTCTCGCCATGGAAAAACAAACCAATGAACAAATCGGTGTCAAGAAAATCGCCGTCAACGGCATCGACGAAGTTAAATGTTCACACAAAACCTTTGATATGTTCAAAGCGAATTGAAAGATTAATCAAGTCCAAACCACAACAATCAACCTATCGAAGTAGATTGAAATTAGATGTGAATAGTGGTCAAGGTTTGCTGGATGAATGGAAAAAGCAAAGTTCAAGATTGGCCGAAGCTCAATCAGCGCTTGAATCGCAAGTTACGAACTGCCCAAACTCTCATCGATTGCGACATATACGAGAAAGGTCATTGATCAGAGATGCTCGAACTGAAAGAGCTCGAGTTCATCGATTAATTTGTGACCTAGAAAGGAAAACGTGTTCAAAATATCTGACTGTTCAGGCGAAAGAGCAACAATTAATCAAATCACAAACTCAAGAGAAAATTAAATCTTTTCGTGATGATTTAATTAACTACAAAGATTTGGTCAAAAGTCAAATGGACAAAGAGCAAGAAAAACGGAAGCGCTTACTTGACGCGTTTACTAATTACTATCAACAACAATTAACACTGATCAAGGATAAACTTGACCAAGAAGAAAATGACCTGACAGCCCGATACAAATATTCAACAATAACTTACAATAAATTGCGACGAGAATTAAAATCCAAACTGGAGAAAGAAATTGATTCATTAATCTCATCCCAATAATCATTTGTAATTGTTAACCATTAACCCGATTTTGAAACTATTCTCACAATTAATTCAAGCTCAACAGTCGGATTGTTAAATTGGATCACATTTAATAACATTATGTTAAAATGATTGATTGATTGTAGAAAATTCAATGATATTGATCAATAAAATTTCAATATTTTTCCATTTTAAGCTCAAGTTCATTAAGATCATTGGGTCGGTAAGACGATACAAGTGCTTGTCAACTCAACAATTTCACTTATCGACTTAATACTCGCTTAGAGAATGGATTAATTTAATTGTAACAATTAAATAGAGAAACAAAAATTAACTCTTCATAGATCAATGAAGAGATAATTTCATAGAAACTTAATCAAAGTTTTATTTTCAGCGAAAAAGTAAAAAAAGTAAACTTATAACTCACGAGATGTCGTTACCTTTTCGTCGGTTTTTTGTTTTTGTTTTGATTTTTTGGAAATGAGATTTTCTTGTTTGTTGTCATTTAACTGATTACAATTATGTCTTTTAAATTTGTTCAATTATTGAGATTATCGAGTAGATTAGTGGGGAGACGAGGATTCCACAGATCGACAGCTCTTTGTGATCAACCTGCTGCTAAATTCATCGCTGGTTCTAATGCTGCTCCTAAATACAAAAAGATAGATCCTGATAATAATTATGACGGTAAGAAAAAGTCTCAAGGGTATTTGATTGTCTCTTGATTATTATAATTTAATTAGACTAATTGATTGAACTAATTAATTTATTGTTGTGATTTTTTCTTGTTATTTTCATGTTTGTATCGTTGGTTAATTTGTACGGTCTCGTTTACCATTGGATCTGTTTAGATCTTGAACCGGAGTATCTCAAGAACGACAACTATTTCAACAGGATTTTCTTAACTTTTTTGATTATAATCTTATGCAGACAATTTTGGAAGCGAAATGAATTCATTATGATTCGAAGTGAAATGGAATTAGCTGAATTCGTTACAGCGGAAAAAGAAAAACAATTAAAAGCTTCTTAAATGTCCTACAATTTTAATGTACCAAAAATTATCTGTTATCTAATGAAATTTAAAATTAGCTGTTGAAAGATTCAATTACTCTAATTTATGTTCTACATATTTAATCATTTCTTAAAAAGTAAAAAATAAATCAAATTTTAATTCAATTCCAATGTCAACTAATTGAAAGTAAAATCGATCCTTTCATCCCAACCACAAAATCAATCAAACTCTAATTGAATCAATTAGAATTATATAATAAATATCACATTGCGTTCTAATTATTAACTTTCACTCATTCTCAAAACAATCAACTAAATATCAACAATCAAAGCAATTAAATTAAATTGTTGTTTAACTTCAAATTTGAATTTGATTCATTTCGAAGCTCCGATCAGCGCCATCTGTCGACTAGCAAACGAACAAATTTTAGAAAATGTATAACCAAACAGTTTGTTTATCTCAAAAGTTGAATTAATCAAATTGTAATGATTAATTTATTTTCTTTAAATTGATATAATTTCTTGATTTTTATTGATCATCAGACACTTTGGAATCGGTGTATCTTTGTTTCAACACTTTGTTCTATTGTTATTATCTTAGTTTTCTGTGTTTACCTTGAGCCTGCTGAGGTGTTGGTAAGAGTTGAAAATGTCTTCAAGATTTGGAGAGTGGGAAAAACACACCAAGGGAATTGGTTCTAAATTAATGGCCAAAATGGGCTATGTTGGTGGTCAAGGATTGGGTGCACGGGGTCAAGGTATAATTGAACCTATCCAAGCAAAATTATCCGACAAGGAAAAACTTTCAAGCGAGTTACCGGCTGAAGAAAGAGACGAGGAAAAGACCATTTGAAAAGAGTGATTAAGATAAAAAGGAAAACACTTAAGCAACTTTTGGATCGAGAAAAGAGATTAATGGAAAACATTTCAGCTAAAAAAGATTCTTGTGAAGAGTTGAAAAAAAAATTAGCTCGAATACTCAAAATTTACCAAGATGCCAATGGAATTGTCAAAACATGGGAACCATTGGAAAAGCCTGAAGCTTTATTTGATTACTTTAAAGAATACCAATTAGCCCTTGAACCTTATGGAATTAAATATTTTGATATTCTAATGTGGGATTTTTGGCTTCCTGTTATCGACAAAGCAATAACCGAATTACCATCAATACGAAGCTGTGATACAGTCATCAGATTATTAGAAACCTGGAAACCCCTTTTACAAGGTTGGTTATTAGAATACATTTACGATCAGATTATTGGTGTTCGGTTAAAGATTGAAATAGCCGAATGGAATCCGCTCAATGATCCGGTTCCCATTCACTTTTGGATTCATCCCTGGTTACCCATGATGGCCGATAGAATGGAGCCCATTTTTGAACCATTGAGACAAAAATTGGCCGCAGCATTATCACAATGGCATCCGGAAGATCGTTCAGCTAAAATGATTCTAGAACCATGGAAACATGTTTTCGCTGGTCACATTTGGTCATCTTTTCTAATGGAAAACATTGTACCCAAATTGGAAATTATCCTCAACAGTTTCACGATTAATCCTCATCATCAAGTTCTAGACATTTGGTATTGGTTCATTGATTGGGAGAATATGTTACCAATTGAAATAACAGTTGATCTTTTAGTGAGAATATTTTTCCCTAAATGGCTTCATGTTTTATATTCTTGGTTAATTTATTCACCCAATTACGATGAAGTAACTCGATGGTATCAAGGGTGGAAAAAAATGTTCTCAGCTGATCTTCTTGCTCAGAGAAAAGTTCAACGAGCCTTTTTCCAAGCTCTTGAAATGATGAACTATTCAGTTACTGCGCCCGGTGGTATGATTACATACCAACAGAACTTTGATCTTTCAAATCGTGACAATCCATCAACCATTCAACCACCACCAAAGGAAATAATTGATTACCGATTAAATATAACATTTGAAGAGATGATTGATAAAAGAGCCGCTGAATTGGCTCTTTCGTTCACCCAATTACCAAATAGTTCCCAAGATAATAATCCAGTTTATAAATTTGCAAAGTTTTCTATTTATTTTAAGGATAACGTTATTTTCCATAAAATAGCTGATTCTTGGAAACCAATTAGTTTAGAAGATCTTTGTAATCGTGTAATTAATTGTACATGAAATGGTTTTAATTGTGTAAATAGAAATTCATTTTGATAAATATTAATGGTAAACAAATTTTCCAATAAACACAAAAGACAATTGTATTTAAATGAAAACATTTTGGCATTTAATTATAATTTAATTATATTAGGTTAAAATTCCAGTCTTATCTTAATCGTTCAAGAATCCATAATATGGTAACTTATAGTGAATTAGATTGGCTTATTATGTATATTTACAATTGATTACAATAGAAAAGAATCTCAGAAAAAAATCTCATAGAAAAAAATATTTACAATTGGATGGATTAAGTGAAAGTGTAGGTTAGAAACACAGGGAGAGAGATTAAAATTGATCCAATAACCCAAAGTAGTGATCATAAGCACTAATTGTTTCCTTAAACAGCGACTAATTTACAGAGAAAAATTTCTGGCAAAATATGAATCCAAAGCTCTTAATTTTGTTTTCCTTTTTGATAAAGTTGATTACTACTACGGTGAATTTGTAATCAGAACCAAATGATTTAAATGGCGGTGGATAAAAAAAACTTTTTGCAAAAGTTTGATTGGTTGATTGTTCCTAGTAATGATAAATTACAAATATGGTAAATGTATGATAGGTGAGGATAAATTGGTCAGATTTTCAATGAATTGTCGGGATCAACGGGTTCACTTAAACAGCAAAGTTTTCGAGCAAAGTTATGCCAAGAATCAAGAGTTTTGTGAGAAAAGAGATGAATCGACAAAGTTATTCCAGGCACAAGTCGAGCAGCATATTTGAGGAGAAAGTACCAAAGATTTGGTTTTCTGGGCATCTTATCGGAAGATGTGAATGGACAGGGTATTCCGGAATCGGGTCGAAGGCAAACATTTTGCTGCCAGTCAAGCATCCAAGAATCTAGATTAGTTGTTTCATAAATATTACAAGCGATTAAAATAAATGATGAGATTAGGTAGAAAATGGAAAAAATTGATACACGTAATAAAAGGTTATCCATTTTATAAGTATCTCTACGATCAGCTTTAAGTTCCTGATGAAGGCGAATTGAATAATAGAAACCAATGAAAAGAAAAACGATACTACAGGATAAGTAGAAAAGATAAAGGCCAGAATCGGTGAGTTGAATGTGATCTCCACGATTCCAAAAGTTGTGATAACAAACACCACTTAAAGGATCACCTTCGATCCTATTTAAGGCGATAACGCGAAAAACTTCAGCACAAGGTACTGCCCAGGCGAAAACATGGAACCAAGTTGTTATCCTTTCGAAACCCTCTCGTCCCCAACCACAAGAAAAGGCAATAAACCAAGTAAGAGTCATTATGGTGAACCAAATGTAACTCGAATGGCCAAAAAAGTACAAGAACATAAAAGTTAAGGTACAAAAGCTTTTTGAAGTTCCTTGGGTTATTGTGCTGATCATTGGTACATTGGGATTATCTTCAGGAGGTGGAAATGGTTGATTACATGAGATTGAATCGCCAAACGTGAAACCAACTATATGAACTAAAGAGATGACAGCATAACAGATTGAAATAAATTGTAACGCTTTCTCTGGATAACCAAATCTTCTTGGTTCAAGAAGATGAGTAAACAATGTGAAAAGAGATGATAGTAAACAGGCAATGGAGCAAATAAAGATCCATCCGTTGATTATTTTCTTATCATTTTTGTTGAACAACAAACCATCACAAGGTGTGGCACAATCAGGGTAACTTTTACCATTTAATCGTAAAATATAACCAGAATTCTTGGGGGCAGCTAAATGAACTGGACAAGCGAAACGGTTATTCTTGTTAATAGAATCACCATTGTTTGGATTGTAATTGTAGGCGTGGATTCCGGTTAATGGTGGATCTTGAGAGTTGATATTGATTGAAGTATCAGAGGTAAATGAGTTACCTGTCCGGCTAACACAAGGTTCATCATTGGTGAATTTATTACAATCAAGATAATCAGGCCAGACAAAACCGAAAGCGATAACTACATGTTCACAACCATTTTTAGATGAGAGGCAAATTGATCGGCAGGGTGGTAATGGAGTCTCCAACATGGTACAAGGTGGAAAGAAGACCGAGCATAATAATAGTTTAAGATCTTCCGAGCAATTAATCTTAATCAATGGAGCTAAATCGTGTAATTCAAAGCCAGCATGTTGTTGGGAAACATGATTACGAAGGTTGGGAAAAATTGTCTCATTATAACCAATGTCTTTACATGAGGCGATGGTTATTGTTTCACATCTTCTCCTATTATTATTGGCAATAACTTTGGGTCGTTCTAGGGTTGGATTAAGGGAAGATGATGAGGTAACACTAACACCAATGGTTACATCAAATGATGAACTAATTGTCAACAGAAAACACAATAGAAAATAATTCAAGTCCATTGTTAATTACTGGATTTAGAGTAAACATGATTTAAGTAAACAGATTAACTATTTTAGAAAAAGACACTTTGGAAGCCATTTTATCTCATAACAGGCTAACAAATGACGTTAGAATTATCAGAAGTTGTTTAACAAGAGAGGAAAAGAGAGAGAGAGAGAGAGAGAGAAGAGAAAGAAAAGTGAGAGAGAAAAAAGAAACAAGAAAAACGAGAAAAAAAGAAAGAGAAAAAGAAAGAGATTCTTTTTTCTTCTTAAAGAAAAGAAACTCCAATGACCTAATCCGGATTCGAATCCCAAATGGATCTTTTGTTTCGGTTAATTGTTATTCATTCATAAATTGTTTCGATTTTAAAACGATTGATGAGTTGTTGTTTTTGTTTTTTTTTCTTTTGAGAATTTAAATTGTTCAATGAAATGTTTTTCTTTTAATTGTTGGCAAAAGTTTCGGTTTGAAAGGTTATGTTTGTTTTTATGAACAAATGAAAAAGTTTTCATAGAAATTGTAATTAATATTATCGATGTGATTTTCTGAGGTCAGTTTCAGAATTGAAGTGAATCGAATTCTAATTATGATAATCTATTGGCTTTACCTTCAAATTTTTCTTTTCGATGTAATTATTATTGTCCAATCATTTTATTATTTCGTCAACTTTGAATAGAATTTTGTTCTGTATCATCTTCGATTTTGTTGGTCTACGATTGTCTTCCATCTTCGAATTCAAATGAGAAGATAACTTTCACTGCCAAATTTAATTTCTTTGCATTTTCTTGGCTCATCAAGCTCATTGTTGTTAAGTCAATACCATTAAGTGAACAACACAAACATCAATCAGTTTAGTTTTTCCTTTCAGTAAATTAATACATAAACATCGTCAGAATTTTCTTTGTGTATCACAATTGATCGACGATTGGTAATCAATTTACTAAAAGCTTTTTGTCCTTGGGATGTTTTCTGATTCAGTAGAGTTTCATGAAAGTCTCGTTGTTTGTAAGACCACAAATTAACAAAGAGAATAAAAAGTTGACTTGATTAAGTTGAATGCATCTTTTAATGGTCAATTTAAAATCAACAAAAACAATTGACATTTATCATTTGATTTCCAATTAAAAGCCAATTGCCAATCTGATGAAATGTTTCAAACGGTGCAGCTTCCAGCGCATTTCCAACAAGGATCACAATCACTTTTAGATTCACACCTAACGTAATTATAATCTTGTGATCGACCTCGAGTTGTATAACACCAATCGTGAGTGATAACGAAGTGACCGTCATTTGTCCAAAACCAGCACAATTGGACCAACAATAACCTTTAGAACAACCGAATGCATCGTCCTTTACACAACCAAAGTTCCATCGGTCCTTCAATTTGTCCAGAATCTCTTCACCAGCCAAAGCCGCTCCAACGGCACCTTCGTAACTTAGGTCGACAGAAACACTTAAGATGATTAAAACACTTGCAAGCAAATAATTCATTATTCTAATGATAAACAATAATAATAGTCCAAATAACAAAGATCTTTTATTGAATCGAATAAACAATCAACACAATCAAGAACTGATGAGAATCATCTCAATTAATTATCGTGACCTTGGCTCATGAAATGAACGAGATACTTGAAAATCCTTCTAATCAGTTTGTCGCTCAAGTGCTTTCAAGATGAAACAAAAGTTCGCACTTTTCGAGTTCTTATAACTTGCAGGCCATTTTTCCAAATTTTTTCACTAAAAAAGCAGATTAATATTCGAAGATGCAAATCAGAAGTCGCTTTTAATCAGAGTCAGAGAGAGAGAGAGAGAGAGAGAGAGATTTCGATTTGTTTTATATCGAGTAGCATGAAAAACTCAAATTGAATCAATGAAAAAATGGAAACTATTGTAATTTGAGCTAATAAACAAAAAAGTTTTAATGGAAATTGTGATTAATATCTGTGATATTTTAAGTGTCATTGTTTTGTGTTCTCTTGTTTGTTACAAGGAAAAAGTTGGACTGTTTTAAGAGCATCTTCTTCGTGTATTTCAAATTTAGCGATTGTCCCATCGTTAAATCTGTATGAAAGGCCACCGTCGATAACAACGCAAGCATCAAACATTCGTGATCGTATTTCAATTTTTGAAGCAAATCCTCGAGTATAATCATCATTAGAACCTGTCACTATGGGATCACGAACCGAATAGGCCATTACAGGTTTCGAAGCGTCAAAAATTAGGGAATCATTGAAGCGTTTGGTGATCAATTTAATTGTTTCCTCATTAGAGGCAATATTCTGTCCAGTTTCTTCTTGGACAATTTGAAATAATCTTTTAACACTTTGAACGGTTAAACGATTGATGTTGAAAGACCAGGAAGTTGAACCAGTTCCGGTACAAATTGTCACTCCTGAGCTTTTAAATTTATATCTTGGTAAACCATCAACGGAAAACTCGCAATAGGAAACTCTAGACGAGCAACTTTCTCCAACGAAACACTCATTCAGTGCGCGAACGGGTAAAGTTCGAGTTTTATTTATGTGAACCTTTGAATTTTTTGGTACTTTTACCAGTGTGAGTCAATTGTGGTGATGTTGTTGATGAAGAAACTGGTGAAGTTGCACAAGGTAACGGAGAGACTCTACCTGGATTACTAGAGTGATCAGAGATGATTTTCTCATCAGATTCCAGGTAACGATATTCAGGGTACATTAACTGTTGATTGTGTAACTCAATTGGATCATCTTCTGCATTAACACCCTCTAAAACAACACGTATTCTTTGCCGGTAAAACCATTTAAATGAACGAGAATATAATTTATCTAACATTAACTCTAAATCATTTGAATATTGGACAGGTAGACAAAGATGTCCAACCGATCGAGATGGGTCACTATTAATACCAATTATTGGTTTCGCTGAATTATTTATGTGACTTGCAGCCATAAGAAAAGTACCATCACCTCCTGAAGTAAATATTACATCGGCCCAGTCAATATTTGGTTTATTATATTCCAAACGGTTAACCATTCTAACCTCAAGTCCCCTTTTTTCAAGAGCAGTTTTCAATTTATCTCTTGAGGTTCGGTGAATCCGATGATGGTGAAGTAAATTGGTATAATCTGATCCACGAGCTTTAAGCTTTTAACAAAATAGAAAAACAATTGAATCAATTTGAGCTACTATGGTCAAGTATTTATCTAAATACCTACCTTATCAATCAATTGCTCTTCACTTAAATTAGGATTGGTTCTTTTCTCAAATTCATATCTTGAGAATTTAGTCAAAATCAATGCTCTCTTAGCTTGGAATGTATCACCTTCCATTTTTGGTTGGCTGTTTGGTGTAATATTTCTGGTTATTGTTGACATGTAATTGCACTTAACAGGTTTGTTACAGGTAAGATAATCACAGATTGATTTACGATAACTTGATGATAGAATAATAAATTTCCATGGACGATATTGTGATGATATGTGATTCATGCTTTTCTGTAAGAGAAAGGAATAGCAAACATAAGTAAATTAGCAAAGAAAAAAAAGAGACAGATAGAAAAGAATATAAATATATCATAAAAAAAGAGAATATGTGGAAAAGAAAATCAATAATAGTCGCTAAACAATTAAGCAAATAAATGAATTGATTGTAAAAAAAGAAACGAGATCAAACCAAAGATTGGATAGTAAAGAGGAACAAAAAACAATCTCAACTTACCATTCAAGTAGAACATAGTGATTTGATTATTGTGACATGAAAGCTAAATTCTTTGATAGTATTTGTAATTTCTAGTTATTAATAGAATCAAAGAGAATTGATTACAATATTGATTTTATCAAACAATTAGAAGCAATTTTTTAGCAGCAAAAAAAATTAAAATTAAATATCACAGAATCCGAACACAACAGGTTGAAACAATTAACTTAAATCAGATTGATTGATTAATCACTAAACTTAGAGTTAAATTGTTAGAAAAACAGTTTCGATATCTTCAATCAGTTGACACAATTATCGATTAAATGTTAATTGTAATCAATTTAAATTCAATTTAAAAGGTAAACAAAAATGTTTTTGTTTTCTATTCAACAACCAATCCAAAAACACGAGACCGATTAACCCACAGGAAGAAAAGCGGTTAATTCAAATCCCATAGAATTAAAATTCTTTCCAACAATTAACTTAATTAGAGAAACGATTGGAAATGATGATTAGTACATTTAATTGGGTGAAGTTGTGAAATTAAACTAAATAAAGAATAAAAAATTCTGTGAGAAAAGATAATAAAAGTTAATTAAATAGAAAAAAAAAATTTCTCAACTTAGTTTATGATTAGAATAGTAATTAAGTGTTAATCATGATTAATTCAATTGATCTCATTTTCTCAAGATAGAAATGATTAGTAAATTACTTTAATCAAATTAATCTGATTGTAGGTGAATTTCAATTAGTTGATTCGGATAGTTGGAAAAGTTTCTTTTTCTATGAGAATGTTAATCAAAATGTGACAATTAAAGTTTTACTTTTTGTACTTTTATTTAGATTTTCAATGAGAATAAATAAATAATAACAATTTAAGTTGCAATTGTTTTCTGCATAAAAAGAAATTCAATTGTGACTAAGGAATTGTAAACGTTGACAATTTAATTGATTGGTGAGGTGGGATGAGGGAATAAATGATTTTTGCAATGAAATTTTTTTTCTCTTTGTTTCAATTAATGAGATTGATAAATTTAATGATGTTGAAGGAGAAAAATGAGAGAGAGAAAGAGAGAGATGATTAACGATGATTACACATTTTACAGTAACAAGCTTGAGATTGACAAAAAAGAATTGACAAATATGGATGAAGATGAAGATGATAATGATGATGGTGATGATGATGATGATTGGGTTATTGACATTTAAATGACGATGGTAGCATATTAACATTGAGTGTTTACGTTTTTTTGTTGGTGTTTAATACCAGATGAAATTAACAGATTATTTTGAATAGTAAGATCCATTATTATTATGTTCTGATTGTTATCACACAAGACTACCCCATAGAAGTTTTTTAGTTGATTCACTTAGACTTTCAGGGAATTTAATATCAAATCCGATTAATAAATCACCTCTACGATTTGGTTCTTTGGGATAAGGTAATCCTTGACCAGGTAATCTACGAGTTGTCTTTGGATTTACAACTTCATTCAATTTGAGTTCGACTTTATTACCAGATAAAGTAGGTACTTTAATTACAGTTCCACATAGAGCCTATGATAAAAGTGAAAAAAAAGAAACAGATTGAAGGTTAGTTAATGTGTTTAGATTGATAGAATATAAGAGAGAATAAGTGAAGAATGACGACAGAAGGGGAAAAATAGAAGGGAAAATAGAATAAGAAAGAAAGAGAGAAAGGAGGAGAGAGGAAGAGAGAAGTAGAGAAAGTTCGGGAAACTCTGAATGAGATCTTTTTCTTTACTTATCCGATTTCTCTTTTCCTCTTAAATTACTCCAAATAGAATATTAAAATTGTAATTAGAAATGATCCTAAATGGACACTTACCTCTCGAAGGGAAATTTTCGCGGTATATCTAATATCAGCTCCTTCTCGTTTAAATAATGGATGAGGTTTATCTCTTATAATAAATACAATATCTGCAGGAATGCTGTTCAACTTTTGGTCCCCTTCCCGTTGAAAAGTGATCTTTGTACCCGCTTTCCAGCCTGGTTTAATTGTTACGCTTAAAATTTTATCTTCATTCCTATAAGAATTACCGTCTGGACCAATAACTTTACGAGTGATTTTCATTCGTTTAGTTGTTCCTTTTAATAATTCTTCCACAGTTACATGGAGATCATGCTCAACAGGAGGATCTTGCTCAGGTGGACGACGCCTATTGGCACTGCCACCACCGCAACTACCACCATTTGTAAATGATTGAGTTCTAAAACCATTAGATACACCATGAGGATTTCTGAACATTCCACCTGAGAATCCATTAGAACCATCAATATCCATCATATCATCATGACCTCCTAAACCTCTATAAAAATGAAATGGAAAAAATTACAACGTAAGTAATTTGGAAAACTATAACCCAAAAAGGTTTACAATATAATATTCAACTTTTATCCTCAAATATTAGCAAATCAATAACTAATTCGTTAGTAATTAAGCTTGAGAGAGAGAGAGAAAAAAGCTCAAGGTGAACATTAAGTGTAGAAAATTGATAACTTACCCGAATATTGCCTCGAAGGGATTACCTCCACCAAAGAATTGTTCAAACGTTGCCCTTGGATCTCCAGTGTAAACATATGAGAATCCATTTGTAGCTCCATTTGGCATTCCACCTCCAGAACCTCCGGTGTGTCCAGCACCTCCTTTCAGACCTTCTTCACCAACCATATCGTACAATTTACGTTTCTCTTTATCGGAAAGTACGTCATAAGCTTCAGCAATCTCTTTAAATTTCTCTTCAGCTCCAGGTGATTTATTCTTATCCGGATGATATTTAAGGGCCATCTTTTTATAAGCCTTTTTAATATCATCATCATTAGCATCTTTGGAGATACCTAAGATTTTATAATAATCTTTACCCATTTTAGTTTATATTTTCACACTTCACAATTACAGAATAGAATAGAACACAAAACAAAACCAAGAGAAAACAATCTTCCACAGTAAAGATAGAGAGAGAGAGTTTAATATAAATCTCTCAATCAAAGAAGAAACGAAAGAAAAAAATAAAATTAACAAAATTAAAACGTATGAGAATAACTGTAAGAATCGATTATTTGACAATAGAAAACTCAAGATATTATACTTGTTGTAAATTAAACACAGAGAAACACAGAGATATTAATACAAAGGCGAGAAAACAAATTAATTAAGTCACAGAAGAAAAATAGAATCAATTAAAATGAATTGATTAACAAGCGTCAGAACAGAATTTGTCAAATCAAATGTTCAACCTTTTCCTTTATTCATTTCTTTTAAAAGGTAAATCAGTTTTCCCGAACATTCTGGAATCTTCGCTCAACAACCAGAAAAATGACCTATTCGATTCTCCTGCCACCTGACGTTCGATTCTTTCAAATGAATAATGACCAGAGAATCCGATAGATGTCGTCTTTGTCTCTTTAGAATTTTTTATTCATCATTTTTGTGAGAATTTTTTTAAATTGACAACAAATCACAACAATTAAATTTCTCTATTTTAATTGTATAATTCAAGTGATTCTCTGTTTCGTTTATAATCTATTCTTTGCACCTTTTTCTTCTGAAACTGGTGGAAACTTCTGTTCGTTATTCTATTTCTATCTACTAGAATAAGTGTTTTTGTTTTCTCTCTTTGAGTTTCTCTTGTGTGTGTGTTTGGAGTTTTGTTGTTTTCTCTTTTTTTGTTATTGTGATTTTTTTTTCTCTCTCTCTCTCTCTCTTTCTTTCCAAAAATAGACAAAATGACCAGTCTTGACTCTTTGGAATCCCAGTTGGAACTGTTTATTGAAAACCTTCGACAATTGGGAATAATTGTTACAGATTTTCAACCGCAAGGACAGAATGTTTTGAACAGTAAAATTAATCAGATTATTACTTCACTTCAAGAGATTGATAAAAACAAGGCCAGAATTCCTGATATTCAAATACCATTGGAAGTTTTTGACTATATTGATCAAGGAAGGAATCCACAATTGTATACTAAAGATTGTATGGAAAAAGCTTTGGCCAATAATGAACTTTTAAGAGGTAAAATAGATGCAACCAGAAGATTTAAAACCATGCTACTCATCGAGCTAAGTAAAGTTTTCCCAAATGACATGGCAAGATACCGAGCAATTAGAGGTGATGAAAGGACCAGTTGATGTGAATTCAAATGATGGAAAAGAGGAAAACAAAAAAAACGTTAAAGCCAACACAGTGTAAAGATTTTTGTCACTATTTATGGAGTAAAAACCAAGTGAAGTAAAAACGAGCAAATTTACTAACCACAACACTTATGTAAACTCATTGTTATCTATACAATAATCATTTCTCACCATTTTGATCATCATCAACTGTACAAATGAGAAGCCAACAATTTAAATCCCAAGCCTAATTACCTGATTGCATGATGAAAAGATGATCAATAACAATCATTTGATTCCTCATCTAATATATTTCTTCAACTGGTCCACTTCAACAACAATAACAACATATCGGCAAACTAAAATATCCACTTTACAAATGTGAAAATTATCAGAAAAAAAAAATTTCCAGCTTGATCAATTTAAAAAAACTGACGTTTATATATTTATATATATTTATGATTAGGATCATTTTTACAAAATTTGAGACAAAAAAAAATTAAGGCCAACCAAGATTATCGGGTTCACTTTCGTCAATATCATTTTCGGACTCTTGTGGTTCATCTTCCATCTCGGGTTCATCTTCAACTTCAATCGTTGCCTCATTGGCTCCTGATCTACATGATGGATGTTCCAATCGTTGAGAGGCAATACAATTTGCACCATAATTGACCTCCAATCTATTAGATTAAATCAAAAATAAGAGTAAAAGGTTAGGTTTCAGTTAGGCTATTCCAACTCTCAAGAGTGAGAGAGATAGAGTGAGTGAGAGATGATGAAGAGAGAGAGAGAAAGAGAAATAAGATTGTCCAGTTTCTTTTATTCGGCCAACTCACTTAGAGGCAATATTGTGATGATGAAGAGCTTTATCTTGCTCATTTTTTTCTTTATAACAATCACCTAACATACGATGAAGTTTTTCGTTACTTTCTTCTTCGATTGCATTTAAAAGTCTACAATGAAAATAGAAAAGGAAAAAGAATACAATTAGTTGAGAGAATTTAAGAGAATTGATTAACATTATCGATTGATGAACATACGTCTCGATGGCCTTGTCAATATTTTTCTCTTCGTTGTAAAGTTTAACCAATAAGTAAACAGCGGGAAGATGACCTGGGTCCATTTTAATCGCTTTTTCCAGTGAAGTTCGAGCATTTTTCTTATTCGAACCTTTGTCCGGATCAGAAAGTAAAACTTCAGCATAAAGCTATGGAAAAAAAAACAAGATGAAATTAGAATCAATTGAAACAATGCGGAAATTTGTTATATTTACCGTTAAAGTCCTCGGGTTTTGGCCTAAAAGTTTAAACGCATTACTGACAACCGACGAACCTTGAGATCTTTTGTTTTCAGCAAGATAAACGGCGGTTAAGCCTTTTAAAGCCTCGAATCGATAAGCAGACACATCGAGCGCTTCTTTAAAATATCTTCTAGCATCTTTAAAAGGATCTTCTTTCATTAAATCTTTACGGGTACTGTTACGATCATTGAGCTTTTTACTTAACTCATCGTCTAATCTGTAAGTGTGAACTTGCAATTCCACAAGTCCACCTAAAATTAACGCTTCAATTGAATTATCACTTAGCTCACAAGCTTTTTCCACAAAATGTTGAGCTTTGGTTGTTCGCCCATCGATCCAACGACTTTCCTTGTGATCTTTTTTATTGGTTCTATCATTACGTTCAACACCTAGACAATAATAACCTAATACAATCCAGGGTTCGGCAACTGTACAATTAGAATCACATTTGGTTATCATTTCATTGGCAAGTTTCTCCAATTCTTTCATTTGATTCTCTCTGAATAAACAGGCAGAATAAAAGTCAAGTGCTTTAAGAGACAATGGATCACTTATATGCGCCTTCTTGAAAGCGGAAACGGCTTTTTTGTAATTTCCACTATAATAAAGAGCTTCACCAAGAGATCGAAGTATATCAGGATTATTGCGAAAATGATTCAATGAAAGAAGCTGTTGGAATAATGTTATGGCTTGATTAACATCAGGTGAATAAAGTGAACATTGAGCTTGAATCCAAATGGTTAACCATTCAAAATTTGGTGAACCGGTGACATTAACCATGTTAATTAGTTCATTTGGCTTAAGGCCCAATTTGATCAAGTTAATTATTATCTGAAGGGCTAAAGGACATTCCTTCAATGCTTCCTTATAACAGGCAATGGCTAATAATTCCTTCCTTTCTTTACGATAAATTTCCCCAAGGGTATTGTAAATTTTGGCAGTTCTTTGTTTCTGAGGAATACACTCCAATATCCAAATAGCATTGGAAAGTTGATTCATTTTTAAATAACATTGACTTAATTTACACTTGACATCAACTTCTGAGGAAACATCTAGTAACCAACTATTTTGACTCTTCTTCTTATTTTTACCCAATGTTTTACGTAAATCTAATGCAAACTGATAACTTTTCTGTTAAGAAAGAAAAAAAACAGATAAATGTAACAATTAATAGAAGAAAATTGAAGAAAAAAAAAACAAATCAGATCAACAGATTAACGATTAGCTTACCTCAGCTTTGCAATAATCACCTTCATGGAAATAAGCATCTCCTAGATAAATATGAATTTGATATTCTTTTTGAGGTAGTAAATCCAAATAGCTATTTAATTGTGGTAACATTACGTTTAACTGGTTAATAGAGTAGAAGATTGAAAGAAAACAATTAAACTTTAATAATTATTGAAAAGAAATTATGAAAATAAACAAAGAAAACACTTACCAGTTGAACTATATTAGAGTATAAACCTTCCTGGTGAAGGTGTTTAACAGTTTGAAAAATGTTCATATTTAATTAAATAGTTGATTGTGTAAAAAATTTGACTAATTAACTTTTGTAAAAATACAACACAGATTAAAAAAAAAGAGTAATAATCACAATAGTAAACTGATTAAGCAAATTGAAAGAAAAGTTGATCACATTCAAGTTAGAAAACAATGTGTTCCTTTTTTTATGTTTACCAAATTTCTCAACTTATTGGGTTAATTTAATTGGTTACAATTGAGAGAATTATTAAAACTAAAGACCGTTTAAACGAATAAATAACACATAATCTAATTGGTTGACAAATTAAAATTTAATTATTCAATTAGTTTAAACAATTAAAAGTCACATCAACTTGAAATGATCTGAAGACAAGACAATAAAATCAAAACAAAAAAATCTCAAAAAAACCGATGACAATTTAACTTTAATTCTACTCACTAGATGGCGCTGAAAATTTTTTCTTTTTTCTTTTTTTAATTGTAACAATTTAAGATTTTTATTAAATTGAATTATTTTCAAACAATTAGTTGAGTGAAAGAGAATTTTTTTTTCCCAATCAATTGAATTGATTTATAGTCTTTAAGATGTAATTTTAAATTTTTTAATTCTTTTAGGTGAAAATCTTAAAAACAAATTGAAACGATGAATGATTGAATGTGGAAAATATTACAATTAAAGTTAATTAGCTGGAATTAGATTCTAATTGTTGTTGGCCTCTTTTTGATAAACGAAATAACGGTAATTTGATTGACTGTGAATTATTAGAGTTTTCAATTAGCGAAATAATTTTAATCGATCCATTTTCTTGTAAGGTAACAAGTTTACTCTTAACTGAATTGACTATGCTATCTAATTGTTGAGTTAAATTAAGAGCTAATTGTAATCTATCAAGTATTGAGATTCCAAACCAAGTAGATAATATTGAACCAATGTAAATAATATATGAACTAATCGATATAAAAGGATAAGATGAATAATGAATGTCCGGTTCAATTGAAGGGGCAAGAATAATTATCATTTGGTCAGTTGAATTAACTGGAGTTGGATCAAAAATTGATTCAGAATCAGTATCATATAATATTTTATAACATTCTAATTGTTTAACTGAATTTAAGCATTTGGAAATGTATCGATTACCATGATGATTAAGATTAACTATTCTTTCATCGTTAGAAGGTATAAATGAGAGATTAGCATTGTAGCTTTTAGCTAAAGAAGATGATTCAATCTTGACCACCGATTTATGAAATAATCCAGGATTAGGTTGATTGGTCAGATATGAGTTGATACATTCGACTAGAACTTTTTTGCGAAAATAATTAGAACATTTGGTCTCATAAGGTTCCTCGAGATATTTGATAACAGTCCGATGATTGTTGATAAAATATTTCCCCACTTTTCCCCGTCGACCATAAATGACCTTAGCCGATGAACCAGTGGACAATAACGGTGTTCCCGGAGCAATTAATCGTAAGATAATTTGAGAATTGAAATTCAACTTAACGATCATGTAACCTTCATGATTGATTAACATTCCCCTGGTTAACAGGCTAATTGGTTCACCTTTTCCATTTTTACAACTTATCCTAATGTGAACTCCATTTGAGGTCAAAAAGTTTCGAGCCTTACAAATCCCGTTGGCCAATAAATTACCTGGAAATCCTTGCAGGGTAATATTATCAATCCAAGTTTCAGGTGAGATAAGGAGATTCTCAAAGTCTAAGGTGAGTAAAGGTGTTAATGAATGAGTAAAACAGTTTGGATAATGAAATAGAGTTGAACATTTTTCCGTCACGTTCATTGAGGCCACTTTTTCCGACCCGATTTGTTGAGATAAAAAGCTATCAATAGCTAATAGGTGATTTCTATTGTTACATAGTTTTTTCATATCGATCGCAAAGGGAAGTTGAAGTTTCAAATCTAAATCAGGGACAATTGTTACCTCAGGGTAAATGAATTTAACTGAAGTTTCAACTTTAAATTGTAAAAATTGATCAGTAATCAAATAGACATGAAAGAAACATCCAATGAAACAAATTAACTTGATTCCTTTAATTGCCAGAGATTTGGTTAACCACAACATCTTGTCCTGACTTTTCAAAATTGAAAGTGATCAACGAATTGGATTGACCATTCCAGATTGACCATTAGGTTATAATTTAATTGTTCACTTACTGACCAATCGTTGATTCAATGATTATGATTAATTTTTACTCTTTTTTTCCCTAAATTGTTTAATTCATTTAGATGATTGATTGTGATTAATGTGTTTACTTTTACCAAGATCAAGGTTACATTTAAACGATTAATTGTTGACATGGGACAATCAATTGATCACTTTGGGTGTGAATCATTTCCGAGTAATTTAGTTATAACAAATTTAAACTTAATCGGTGGGAAAATATTTTAATTATATTGATTGGTATTTGATGAGTTTACAATTAAAGTTAAAGTTTTAACTTATACAAAATTAAATAGTTTCATTGATTATTACAATTAAAAAGATACAAAATATTAGTAATTGTATTTAAATTGATATGCTATTTAAGTTAGTAATACAAAGATAAATTGGAAAGTATAATTATAATCAAAAAAATTGGTCCATTGATTGAAAAAGATAACCAATTGAAATTGAAAACAATTAAATTGATTTGATTAATACTTTCAACTAATTGTGTTTGGTCCTTTGCTTTCTCCCATTTATCAATTTGGGTGATTTAACTTGATCATCATGGTGATTAAATATTGTTTCTAATAAATTGTAATTGTTGAACATAAGAGTATGAGGTTTGTAATGTTGATTGTTGATCACAATTTAGATATCAATTGATTATCATCATTTCAATTGTATTGACAAAAAATTTTGCTCATCAAAATCTTTAAATTGTATCAATTTCAAGATAATGATCAACAATTTCTTGATCTAATTGTGATTAGTTTTATTCATTTTTTTATCCTTCTTTTCCTTTAATGGCTTATGTGACTTTTTACCTCCATGTTTCCTATTCTTGTGACCTGAGGCACTATGTTTGTGACCTTTTCTCCTTTTATCATGGGCTCTTTTACCACCGGTGTTTTAACATTCTCAGTGTCTTTGGAACTATCGACTTTCACCTCTTCCGATTTCAAAGATTCATCATTATTTGATTTAATCGTTTTACGATTTTTATTTGACTTCTTTTCCTTGGTCACCTCTTTCTTGAAACTTTCCTCAGACTCCATAGATCCTTCACTCTTCTTGTGACCTTTAACCTCATGCCTATGGTGTCGTCGTTGGTGTTGCTTTTCCTCTCCATGGATCATTTCTTGTAGTTTAGATTCAGAATCTTCCGCTTTCTCACCCGCTACCTTGACCTTTTTACCCTTGGGCTCCAAAAGGCCATCAGCTTGCATTTTAGCATCTTCCAAGGAGGCACCATGTTTCTGAATGGTTTCAGCGTCAACATCAGGATGGTCAACATGACGATTTAAATAGTACTCATGTTTATCCTCCTTCTTGGAATCGCGTTGATTTTTTTCATTCAAATCAATTTCGTTCTGAAAGGTAAGAGAAGATGAAGAAAAAAAAATATTACTTTTCATTCAATGAAAGAAAGTTAATCGTTTCTTGGTTATAATCAAATCACCTAATCTTATAAACGGTTAATGACTGATTATCTACTTTCATCATGAAACTCAGAATTATGATCTTGTCTTGATGAAATAAGTAACAAGTTAAATCAATTTTTCAAACAGATTAATGGATTACAAGAATATCAATTGTAACTTACAATTTGTAAGTCTAAATCTTAATACCGGTGGATTAATAAAAGATTAAGATACCAAATTGATCTGTTATTCATTGAATCTAGAAACCAAATTAATGGTAAATAAATGATAAAATCTTGTTTATCTATTAATTACTTGCATGTTCATTATATTTATCTTGATTAATTAAAATGTGAAGATTAATCCGTATAACATATATGAGAGAAATAGTAAAATCATCTGATGAAGATAAGCTAATTGATTGGAAAGTCACTCTCTAAACAATTAGATATTCTTAATCAATTTGATTACTTTCTCATTGTACACAACAATATTTCTCAGATTGAGTCTATGATAAGAGAGATAATCAAAATTAACAATTGATTAACTTAAACAATCAATAGTGAGGAGATACAAGGAGAGAGAGAGAGAGAAAACCCAAAACCAGATAATTACATTGATCTAACAAAATGGAAAACCAGAATTACCAGAAAAACTCAGGTAAAGAGCCAGTAAAACAAACGATAGTCTCTATCTAACTTACCTTAGATAATTAGCTTTCATTATCAAGGTTTAAACAATTTAAATATACCAACAATTATCTCCAACAATCAACAGGTAGATAATTTTTTTCTTCTCTTATTTTTTTGTATAGAAAAACATTGAACCAAACAAAGAGAAAGGGAAAACAAGTCAAAAGATGAAAACGGTTTTCTCAATGGGAGTAAATGTAACAACCAGAAAAAAAAACAAAGAAATTCAAACATTTGAAAGGTCACAAAGGTCACAAATCAAAGGTAATCAAATGGACAGTCTCTTGGGAATTAGTAATTAATTTAATTTACCAAATTGTGAGGTGAAAAATTGATTTAAGAGGAAAAATGTAAATCTCCAAAAAGGTAAACAAAAGGACTCACCCCGCTTGAGAGATTGGCCAAAGAAGCAAATATAAACAAAGAGAGAATCAGGAATCCGGTTGATTTAATCATTTTCTTTGATTACAATTAAACTCTTACAATCAACAATAGAAAGATGGTTAATCAGATTAATTGGAAAGAATTAAATTAAAGGTTAAATTAGAAAATTAGATTTGAAAGAAGAAGAGAAAAAGTAAAAGAAAAGTTGATGTAACTTGTTTGGAGATTCAAAGAGAAATGAAAAATTTCGGTTCAACTTTTTCACTTCTTTTTCTTAATCAACTTGTTTTACTTTCAAGTGGAGAAACCAACAAATTAATCTTCATCTTAACTATGATAACAATTAGTGGATAATTAACTCTTAAATTGTCATCATTCATGATTAGTTGTTATTGTTAATTATCGTAACTTTTTGTTATTCTAAACACCCAAAGACTTAAGGAGATTGAGATAAGAAAGTTAATTGCGATTTAGATTGTTAGCTTAACGTTAATTGCATCGACTTTTATTATGATTAACATTTGATAAATTGTTGTGATTAAGATTTTTTTTCTTATTGATCTATTGGATTAAAGTAAACATTAATTGTTTACTGATTCTCTCTCTTTGCTACCATCAATTAGTTGATTAACTGCCATTTTAAACATTTGAATTAACTATTATTAGTGTGACAATTACATGTCACATTGATTTAATTGTTCAACTAGGGCGTTCAAATGATAAACACTTTGGCGAAAGAGATCTCTCACCTTAATTAACGACCTAACAATTAACATTTATCATTGGTGATAATTGATGATTAGTAATATGATTTAATTGTAAAGATTAATTGCTTTCCAATCAACTCGACATTTGTAAAGATACAATTTAATTCACTTTGCATACAGGGCACAGCTCATGAGAGTAAAGATGCCGTTTGGGGACTTTAGTAAATCGACATGTGACCATTATGCAGGTAAAATCATTTATCGATATTTGGATATGAAATATTTCATTCTAACGATAATCCATTTTCTTTTCCAGTAAGATTATCTCGAAAATATCACAAAATCCCAGCCAGGATCGGATTGTAATGAAATTTTCTAGTCTCTTGTTCGGTTCAGGTGGTTTCTTTTTGGTTCGACAGACTGTAACTTAAAATTTGTGTCATTAAAGAGAATTCGAGAAGATTATATTTAATAATTGACAAGAAATTAATAATGAGGCCTTATCATTTTTATTGAAAAATGAACTTTTTTTATCAATACAATTCAATCAATAGTAACAATATCAATTAAATATATTGACTTACATCTCGAATACATCAAAGCAAGAATTGTAAGTTACAATACAACAACATGATCATGCTCATGTTTTCCAAAGTATACTGTTCATGAGATCATGATAAATTAGTATTAATTTATAGTCAAAATTTGGCTGAATAGTATTATCATTAATACTCACATAGATAATAAATGACCTTTGTAAGGTATAAAAATCACCAACAGTAACTTCTGAATGTGGGCCAATTATACGAGAAAGAATCTCTAATCCCTTGAGTTGGAAAAGAAGTAAAAAATTTCCAGACAATTTGTTTTAATTATTGTCTAATCATAGATAAGATACAAACTTTCAAATTTTCCTGAATATCCTCGATAGTTTGGACATTGGTGTAAGATAAAAGTTTTATATAATCGCCATGAAATTTATGTATCTATGTGGTGATGATATTGGTAAATAAATGAAATACATCAATCTGAAAGTAAGAACATGTATCATTAATAAATGAAAAACTACCTTTTCGATGAAACCTCCACCAACATAACCTGCACCTCCGACTAAAGTAAGGCCTAAACAAGCGAAACATGCGAAGACGTTTTTGACCAATACCTCGGTTCGCGATGATATCGGTCCTATGATGATGGCAAAATCACAAAGGAATGAGACCACAAAGAGCATATTGAAATAAAGATACTTTAGGTTATCGTTAAGCCAACCATATTCATTCATAAATTCAATGAATTCTGAATTGAGTGTATGAAGCGATAGCATTGAAATTTTTGAATAGTTTTCTTTACAACGAATGTTAAAGTTTTTAATTATCTCGGAGATACTTGCAAGTCGGCAGAAATATAAGGGCATTAGAATTACAATATGTGCCCCAGTACCAAAAACACCAAGAAGAAAAACCCAGAGTCCAAGCGTTTCGGTAAAAGTCCAAAAGAAAGCGGAAACAATCAATGGTTTGGTCGCAAGAGTTTCGGGATAAGTTAATCGAGCCCCGAATAAGAAAAAAGGTGAAACTATTATTCCAATCCAAAGTATACGAATCCAATTGATAAGAAGCAAGTAAAATGTTACTCGAAAAACTTTAAACTTTTCTTTAGTTAACTTGAGTTGTTCAGCATTTAAGCCATTTTCACGAATCATAACAAGAACTCGAAGCATGGTGAATGCTCCTTTCTCTTCAAGATACAAAATGTATTCTCTTAACAGTGCACAGAATACAGCTGAGACCATGAGGAAAATAAGAATTTGTGATTTACTTGACGCTCGACCCATAGGATCGCCTGCATACAAAGCGAGAACTGGATCATCTATCAAAGCTAAACTCGTTAGTCGAATAGCTTGAACGATTATGAAAAAACGCCAGAAAATATTATAAAGAGTAAACTTGAATTGCAATGGTAAATGTAAAGGTTGACTTTGTCCTCGACGAGTGATGAAAAGACGATATGCAAACCATTCAAGGGTTCTCACTGAATCTTTTATCGTATCATCATTATCTGGATCAGTAGGTAATCCTATTCCTCTGAGTAAATAAGGCTGGAATTTTGTAAAAAAATGGTTTAAAAATCTCACCATGTCCACTCAACATTAGAAATTAGTTATTAAACACATAGACATTACCTTGTTGATTGAAGTTCAATAGGCTAATTTAACTATATTTATATCTTCAGAAAATCTAAAATATTTATAAATTCAATAAAACAATAATACATGTACTTTCCCACATGTGAGCGATCAATTGTTTTGATATTCAATCGATATGTGCGTGAATCCAAATTAGATGAAAAATAAGATAAAATGTTCGAAATGATTCAATTGATATTGATATTAAAGCATTTCTTATGGTGTGATCGATACTCGCTGAAAAGTTCGAAGCCTCAAGTTTATCAGAATTTTCGTGACGATGAATGAAAATTTAATTATTAACCACGTAAAGATAATTGAAAATTGATAATACTTGATTGAATACTGGAGTTGCATCGGGTTCAAACCTTAAGAGGGATAGTCTTGACACTAAAGGATACTGTGACTTGAAGTTTGAATAATACAAATCAAGAAAATTCAAATAAAATTTCTCGAAAATCGATTAATTAACAAAAAAACAAAAGTAAAGCTCAGTTGTCATGGTTACAACGGAAACTTGATTTGAACAGATTCTCATTATCTCAGAATTTACTGTAGTAATTGAAAGTAAATCATAGGATTGAAAATATTTTTTGGTTATGGTACTTGATATCATGATAAGAATAATGATGATTAGTTAGAGGATTAGATCTGATCATAACTAGATATTTAATAAATTTAACTTTATTCATTCATATTAATCGCTCATTGAACTGAGAGTCCAGAAAAAAGGGACAGAAAATGAAATAATCTTTATAGTTCTATTGATATCGATTGCATGGATGAGGGTCGAACTCACAGTCATTAAAAGTTATCACAATTCAAATGTTTTCTTTAACTGAAAAATTGTAAACTTAATTAAGGGGCCAGCGAAAACCATAACCAATAGTACGAAATAACTTGTCACCATAAAGATTGTGTAAGTTGATATAAAAGTTAATGGAATCGGTTTTGATTCTGATAATCGTCCATTATCTTGATAAGAGCAACTCCAATCACCAGCCGAGGGATTGTTATCGTTTTCAATGTCACATCGCCAAAGAATATCATCTAAACCCATTTCCATTATTCTGCTAAAATATTTGTTGATGAAACTTTTTTTCCTCGGTGAAATGTTCATCACCAAGAAGGGTAATGAGACTGTCGTATGTGCATACGGTTTACTTACATGTAACCGTTTCTTTGGGTAATAGTAACAAAGTTTAGTCTTTAATTGAGAAATTTCATTGATTGATGCAAGAAAAATAACTCTTCCTGATGCAGATTCACCCATCATTCTGAGAACCGTTTCGTCGCCTCTTTTATTCAAATAATCTTCGTATATCGGTAAATTTGCTAAAACTGATGGACATATTCCAGTTTTCGCGACAAAAGCCTTCACATCCCACCAAGATAGCTGATCTAGCGATCGTATCCTTGGATATCTTTTAGCCACAGTTAATTTAGTCGAAAAGTGGACTGAGAAAAAGATTTTTATTAAACTGATTGAGAAAACAATTACCATGAATGTAATAGCTCCATGTTGTGATAGTTTCATCCTCAACTTCCGCGATGATGGTTTTACATTTATCTGATTGAAAATTAGTAAAACACTCAACCAAATAGTTTCTATTGAATGATAGATGAAATTTTTACTTTTACCAGTGAAAATCCAGCAGAAAATGACCAATAACGGAAACAAAGCTGCGAATATATCTATCGAGAAGAATGATATCGATTTTGCGAATCCAGTTCTTACTATTCGATCGGGAATGGTATGAGCGAGTACACAAGTCGTTGTACCAAAAGGAACTGATAGTGAGATTTCCGAGCTGTTTGAAGGAAGATGAGCTAATGTGTTTAAAAGAATATCTGATTCCAGAAAATTGTTCGTATAATTTGTATTGAAATGCTGCTTGTAATCGAAAAGTGTTTGGACTGTTCGACGAAAACACTTTTCCAATGATCCATATTGTTCATTTGTCAATATTGAGAATGCCGATGGACTAACCCAAAAGATGATTGTCGATGGATCCGTTTTATTCATATCGCATGTTGGAAAATTCTGAATATCAGAGGAAACAAAGTTGCACTTGGGAGTATCTCATATACAGTCGTGAAAAATGAGTTTCAAATGATTTTTTAATCATTCGCGAAAGTAGTGAGTAAAATTAACTGATTAAACAATCAAATCTTTCAAGATAATTTCAATCAATATGTGAACAGATTAAGTGTTATCAGAGATGATAAAGATTATCAATTAGCTTTGGTCAGTAGCTCGGATGATCTAAAAATGATTCAAAACTCATTTTTCACGACTGTATTTATCACTTTAAAAGGTAGTTCTCTGTATGAAAGATATCAACTCATTGAAAAATATGAAAAATTTAAATTCGATCATGAAATTTATGTAATTAAAAAGTGTTCAGAATAAATTATCTTTAATAATTGATATGAAATTGATAATTAGTCCTTGTGATTTTTATTGGAGATGGAACTTTTTTTCTCAATATAATCCAATCAATAGTAACAATATCATGATATTGTTACTTTTCCAATGTTAGGATAATGAATTATTTAATTAACGATCTTATATCCGATTGATTAACATTTCTATTATATTATAAACGTCCGATTTTAAATGAACATTGTAATCGGCGTTTTATTATGAAGATATTTTGATGAAGAGAAAGGAAAAATGGTAAAATGTCGACTGGGTAAAAGGTCAAATTTATTTTTGATATAATACTTGATGAAATACTAGAATTCAATCAGATTCAAGGCTTTAAGAGGGTTAATCTTGATGATAATTAAAGGTAAATGTTGTAATTAAAAACTGTTAATCCCCCAGGATATGATTTCATGATAATAATTGATTATTGTTTATATTAATCGCTCATTAAGCTGAGGATCCAGGCAGCATGATGAATGTTTACTTGGCCATATGATTGATCTGAATGTTGCTCGACGAAGTGGCCTTCGAATTGATTTTTTATCTCGACTCTTTCTTCCTGGACTTTTATGGAAATGACTGGGTGAACCATAGATATCGGTTGAATTGGCGTAAAAGTTTGAGAATACAAGTGATATGAAGATGATAATATAAAATATCACCGTTGCCTAGAACATGATATTATGAAAAAAAAAGTAGATCAGATTAGTACGAAAACCAATGTTCGAAATATGTAGACAAAAAATTTCGACATTTAATGTTTCAAATGCTAGACACTAGATGGAAACTCAGAAGCTTTGAACTTTTCTCTCCAAGAAATATTATCACTTGATTTATCATCAGCTGATTGGTTGGGTTGCATCATTATAATTCATACAAGTGCATTTAAAATGCTACATGAATGTTATCACAAATAAGAATTGAATTTCATGTAAACTTTTGTGACGAAGTAAAAAATAAAGAAAAATCTGAATGTAGAATAAATTTACATGAGAGTAAAATCATGAGATAGAAAAAGATGGAGGAAAAGGTAAAAAGAGCAACATTTGAAAAAGAATGATGCTTATGTTACATACAGAATAAGGAAGGAAGAAGAAAATTACCTGAGAAAAGAAAATAAGATGAAAGTAAATTCTACAATTGTTATAACAAAGATGAATCGAAAAAACTTTATTTACATGAGTAGACATCGAATATTAAGATCTAATGTACAGATAGAGAAAAAGATCAATTTGAATTGCGAATTATGATTCTCGTAGTTTCTCATGCTCACTAACTTGCAACTATTAATATTAAGAATTGATTCCCAGTGATTAACCAATTTTTTCATGGTTCTGATCATTAGCATTACTATTAACGTAAACAATTAGTCTAACGATTCTTTATGGATAGTTGATAATAGAAACTTTATCTTGACAGTAAAAGTTTTCTATCACTATGAAAATTACATGAGAACTGGAATATGAGAAAATAAATGATAGAAAGATGTCAAATCGAGACAAATTGGGCTTGAAGTCGATTTTAAGTTGAATTTTTTTCTTTCTCAATATTATTTGTTAGAATCTTCAAGTTCTGTTTGAATTTGAACCTTGATCGAATCGTTTTCTTTTATCTTATCTGTATTCTTTTCCATTATTAATAATATAATTTATCAATCATCTTAAATCAAATCATGAGTAACAGGAAAAGTTGATTAAAGTTCTGATTGAAAGAATTGATTTTTTATCACTTTTCTTTAATTTCGATTGTTCAGATTACATACTATTGAGATGGGGATAAAGATGAGATAACTTGTTGGTCACCATGGAGATTATCTTGGAACTTTTTTCTCTTCAATGTTTTTTCTTAGAATAGAGAAAGTATTAACATTGGAAAGTTAATAGAGAGAAAAAGTAAAATGACATCTTCGAATCATAAAAGTGAAAAGATAAACAGGTAACATGTAATCGGAGAGAAAATGAATGTCTCGATCTATTTCTATTCTATCGAAGTATTTTTCTCTTATAAATCTTTTTATCTTTTCTTCATCTTTCCTCTGTTGATTCTCCATCATCATCAACTCTTCATCATTATCATTATCTTTTTATTCCATGTTTTCTTTCTGTCTCTTTCTCTCTCTCTCTCTTTCTGTATCCTATTCGGATGATATTTATTATATATTTCATCTTATTTCTTAATGCGAGTTTTATTGCCATCGGTAAGTGATGCTTGAGTGGAAAAAGATTTTCAGATATGATGGAAGAGCAAAAGAAAGAAAGAGAGAGAGAGAGATCTTCCAGAATATGAAGAAAAAAAAAACAGGAACAATATGATGAGAATGAAGACGAAGAGAAAAAAATGTTCGACTTTCAATTAGCTATTGATATTGATAAATAATTGGAACTTAGTGTGATGAAGAGAAAAGGAATGGGAGGATGTAAAGAGATAAAGAGTCACCCGAAAGTGACATATTGACATACACAAACACACAATAGATAGATTGTTAGTCTTTTAAGTGAATTGATGAAGATGAGCAAGTAGAGAGAGAGAGAGAGAGAGCCTTGAAACAATGAGAAGAGACTAAGAAATCGTAGTTGTTAAAAGATGAGCATGAAGAGGAGGTAAAGTTAACTCCATATCCGAATCAAAGTTACAACCAAGATTATTAACAGTTTGGGTTATTAACTAAGGTTAACCCTATTTCTACTCTTTATCTTATATTGTCTAATCAGATATCATTGTGTTCAAATTCAATGAGTACTGAGCAAAATTATCCCTTGAGTTTGAATATATAAAAGAGGAAAGTTAGAAGTCAATGAATCAGATTGATGAAACATTCATTTCATCATGTTAAGATGAAACTAAACTTGCAATCACAGAAGATAAATGAATAAGGAACAATTATCACCAGTCTCATGGAAATGAATGGAACCATGAAAATGATAGTAAATACATTCGGTAAGTTGATTAATTTATATAGTCTAACTATTAGGAAAAACGATTTACTAATAATAGATATTAACAGGAGTGATAGAATACTGAAAAAAATATTACAAATTCCAAAGTTTGTATCCATTGTAATTAAAGTTAATGAGAGTGTCAAATATTTTGAATACCTGGATTATAATAGTTTAGGGAGCTCATAATCTAAATGAATAGATTATCTAAAAAGACAAGGATAACAATTAAAAAAGATTCAACATTCCAGATTTAATCAACTATTAACAGAGCATTTAAAATATTAGCTTTATAATAATATGAACCTGTTAATATTAATAGTTTTTGCTATTGTAACAGTTGATTGTATTGAATTCATTATGATTTGGCTCACCATTCAATTAATGATCACACAATTTGCAATTTACGTTTCTGACTAATTTTAATTTGATGGTTATTTGGTAATCGATTGAGCTTAGTCATTATTATGGTAAATTGTCAAGCTTAAAGCCAATGAAAACTTGGACGAGGAATTAATTTTAGTTTTTTTTGCTCAAAATTGATCATTAAAGTTAATTATGAACAATTAGTTGATAATAATACACAGATCAATAAAAATTGCAGATAACAATCAGATTGCTGTTTATTGCAACAAATTAACTCATTTCGTTGGTCCAATCAAAGTTTTAACTTCGAAAGCAAAGTTAACATCGTTACAATGGTAACGGAACTCCTGAATAATGATAATTCTGATATTGATATGGTGAAAACTAACACATGGATCATGAGACTGTGAAAATTAAATACAAAATATCTCTTTAGGTATAAATATTGATTAAATTCAGAAAGTTTTTTCTGTGTAGTTTATCATTCAATCTGAATAATATCACTGAGTGCATTGTCCTAGAATTTAAATTTTCATTGATAATGGATTCTGACTAGAAACATTATTTTTAACTTGAAAGTTACTTTTATCATATCGATATTGATAAAACATTAGATCTTTTTGTAATCATTGTTGTTGTTTCATTTCTTGTTAAATTATCATGAACTGTATAAGATCACTGAAATAGCCATTGGCCATTGTCAGGTTGAAGGTTACCCATCGTATACATAAAAGTAAACAGTCAAGTGTAAAAACAATGATAAATGAACAATATCAAATAGCAGAAAAGAGGGAAAGTATTAATAGATCAAGAGGAAACATTATAATGTAAACACAATGAGTTACATTTGGTAAACAGTAACAGAAGAAATGATTTTGACAATTGACAGGACACAGACATACATTGTAAAGGTAAACAATGTCATGATGATACTAATCATCACCAGTGAAAATCATATTATCATAATAACAATCCTTTTATGAACGAGAAACAGATAATATTGTGTAGTAAGGATAAAGATGATAACTTTTCCTCTTTATTCCAATACTATCACAGTTTTGCTAAAAGTCTGAAACTTTAGATGATAAAGTAAAGCCATTTAATGAGCTACAGTAATTAGAAAATAAATGGACATAAGAACCAACAATAGTTACACTGACAAGGTAAAATGGCAAATGAAACCTATTGAAATGTTGAACTGACCATTAGATTTATACAGCTAACCGATATGAATCAGTTCATTAACGATATGAATAAATTTGAATTTGAATTTGTGTTTATTTCTAAACTTTAATCATATTCTATTGGAAAATAAGTGATTAACGAATTTTAAAGATGGAAAGTTGGTCAGTTATTGATCTGCTTTCAGTTTCCAATATTTATTACTCTCTCATATCTCATATCAATAGGATGAATTGAAAGGTGATGTTGATTTTTACGCTTGAATTGCTTACAGATTTTTTTTTATACATTCTGTCAATGGAACTTTTTTATTCGATTTCTACAATTTTAATTTCATTTTCATTTCTTCAGTATCATAAGTCAAACTTAATCAAACTCATACCTATTTCTATTGGTTTCGTGTTACTTTTGCTTGAAAAATGCTTAGGAAATGTGAGAAATATCTCTAATCGATTATGATTATCGTTTTTTTTGACGGGAAAAAATGATTTCTGTTATTTTTGTAACTTTCCAAAATCTTAATGCGATCTAGATAGAAACTCAAGTGAATGAGAAGGCTAACTTAAGTGGAAAGTCTTAAGAAAACAAAATTTTAAAGGAAGAGGAAAAGATTGGACACTGAAAATCAATCTCTTTCGTTGGACATTTAGACTCAAATAAGTTCTGAGATATTTTGAGAAATAAATGAAATTCCATTATAAAGTATGAGTAGTAACGTTTCGCAGCGTCTTTTCAAATCAAAATTAAGAAAATAACACTAGAAACGTTGTGATGAATATGACATGTAGTTTGCGTTAAAGATTTAGTTTGATCAGTGGAAATGTATAGGACCCAGAGGTCGAGCGGACAAACGCTGGTGATGGGATCACAAGCAACTGAGAAACTGATAATGGTGTTTCTTTTGGGAACACTAGTAATGTTGGTGTTGGAAACACTAGTGGGTCCACAAATGTCACATGGATTCGTTAGGTCATGCCACTGTTAACAAGTCAGTTTCACACCGATTTCATATTATCTCTAGCTATCCTATCGCGTAACCTGCAAGTTCAACCAATATAATCAATATGTATTGAGCAAACACTACAATTCAATGTAAAATTATGAAAATGATTAGATCGTTTCCATGGATTCAGAAGTTTAATATTTCTCCTGTAAATATGGGTAATAATGAACATCAGCCATCA